AGAGATATTAATTTTGAAAATCGTCGAAAAAAGTATCAAGCACCCCCTTGGCGATTTTTTCTTATGAATTAAAATTTCATCTCTCAGATTTCCGTTTTAACTATCCTATCTGATAGAGAACATTCAGTAGATTAAGACGCTGCGATCAGATCTTATTTATCTCTATTAGTTTACGAGATATTCGCGATTGAATAAAATGGGCAAAAATTGCAAAATGTCACTTTTAGCACTTTTAGTCGCGTTTTCGACCTTTTACTGTAGGAAATATAATTATTATATATCTTTATCTGATTGAGAATTTTTCAATCTTTCATAATCAACAATTCGTTGGTAGCTATCTCTTTTAGTTTAAGAGATATTAATTTTTGAAAATCGTCGAAAAAAAGTATCAAGCACCCCCTTGGCAATTTTTTCTTAAGACTTAAAATTTCATCTCTCAGATTTCCGTTTTAACTATCCTATCTGATAGAGAAAAGTCCGTAGATTAAGACGCTGCGATCAGATCTTATTTATCTCTTTTAGTTTACGAGATATTCGCGATTGAATAAAATGGGCAAAAATTGCAAAATGTCACTTTTTAGCACTTTTAGTCGCGTTTTTCGACCTTTTACTGTAGGAAATATAATTATTTTATATTTTTATCTGATAGAGAATTTTCCAATCTTTCATAATCAACAATTCGTTGGTAGCTATCTCTTTTAGTTTAAGAGATATTAATTTTTGAAAATCGTCGAAAAAAAGTATCAAGCACCCCCCCTTGGCAATTTTTTCTTAAGACTTAAAATTTCATCTCTCAGATTTACCTTTTAACTATCCTATCTGATAGAGAAAAGTTCGTAGATTAAGACGCTGCGATCAGATCTTATTTATCTCTTTTAGTTTACGAGATATTCGCGATTGAATAAAATGGGCAAAAATTGCAAAATGTCACTTTTTAGCACTTTTAGTCGCGTTTTTCGACCTTTTACTGTAGGAAATATAATTATTTTATATTTTTATCTGATAGAGAATCTTCCAATCTTTCATAATCAACAATTCGTTGGTAGCTATCTCTTTTAGTTTAAGAGATATGAATTTTTGAAAATCGTCGAAAAAAAGTATCAAGCACCCCCCCTTGGCAATTTTTTCTTAAGACTTAAAATTTCATCTCTCAGATTTCCCTTTTAACTATCCTATCTGATAGAGATTGGTCCGTAGATTAAGACGCTGCGATCAGATCTTATTTATCTCTTTTAGTTTACGAGATATTCGCGATTGAATAAAATGGGCAAAAATTGCAAAATGTCACTTTTTAGCACTTTTAGTCGCGTTTTTCGACCTTTTACTGTAGGAAATATAATTATTTTATATTTTTATCTGATAGAGAATCTTCCAATCTTTCATAATCAACAATTCGTTGGTAGCTATCTCTTTTAGTTTAAGAGATATTAATTTTTGAAAATCGTCGAAAAAAAGTATCAAGCACCCCCCCTTGGCAATTTTTTCTTAAGACTTAAAATTTCATCTCTCAGATTTCCTTTTAACTATCCTATCTGATAGAGAAAAGTCCGTAGATTAAGACGCTGCGATCAGATCTTATTTATCTCTTTTAGTTTACGAGATATTCGCGATTGAATAAAATGGGCAAAAATTGCAAAATGTCACTTTTAGCACTTTTAGTCGCGTTTTTCGACCTTTAACTGTAGGAAATATAATTATTTTATATTTTTATCTGATAGAGAATCTTCCAATCTTTCATAATCAACAATTCGTTGGTAGCTACCTCTTTTAGTTTAAGAGATATTAATTTTTGAAAATCGTCGAAAAAAAGTATCAAGCACCCCCCCTTGGCAATTTTTTCTTAAGACTTAAAATTTCATCTCTCAGATTTCCCTTTTAACTATCCTATCTGATAGAGAAAAGTTAGTAGATTAAGACGCTGCGATCAGATCTTATTTATCTCTTTTAGTTTACGAGATATTCGCGATTGAATAAAATGGGCAAAAATTGCAAAATGTCACTTTTTAGCACTTTTAGTCGCGTTTTTCGGCCTTTTACTGTAGGAAATATAATTATTTTATATTTTTATCTGATAGAGAATCTTCCAATCTTTCATAATCAACAATTCGTTGGTAGCTATCTCTTTTAGTTTAAGAGATATGAATTTTTGAAAATCGTCGAAAAAAAGTATCAAGCACCCCCCCTTGGCAATTTTTTCTTAAGACTTAAAATTTCATCTCTCAGATTTACCTTTTAACTATCCTATCTGATAGAGAAAAGTTAGTAGATTAAGACGCTGCGATCAGATCTTATTTATCTCTTTTAGTTTACGAGATATTCGCGATTGAATAAAATGGGCAAAAATTGCAAAATGTCACTTTTTAGCACTTTTAGTCGCGTTTTTCGACCTTTAACTGTAGGAAATATAATTATTTTATATTTTTATCTGATAGAGAATCTTCCAATCTTTCATAATCAACTATTCGTTGGTAGCTACCTCTTTTAGTTTAAGAGATATTAATTTTTGAAAATCGTCGAAAAAAAGTATTAAGCACCCCCCCCTTTGGCAATTTTTTTCTTAAGACTTAAAATTTCATCTCTCGGATATTCATTTAAACTATCCTATCTGATAGGTAATAGTCCGTAGATTAAGACGCTTTTATAAATATAAAAATATTTATTGATTAAAATTACAACGTGATTTTTTGGATTTACAGGTTTTTGTTGAGTTTGACATGTTTCGCCCAGAGGGCATCTTCATAAACTGACTTTAGTAGGTTTGTTAGGGGTGTTTTGTGTGTCAAGTGTTTGTGTTATTGTGTGTTATCGTGCTTGTGGGAATGTGTAGTTTGTTAAGTGGTTTAAAAATTGTGTCGTGTATTGAGTGTGTCTGTTCGTTTAGTAATTGGTGTTTGATTTTGTGTTTGTATATCTGTATGTGTTCTTTAATGTTTAAAAATTTATCTGTGGATGATTTTAATATTGTAAGTGTATTGTCTATTGTGTTGTGTTGGTGATTGTGTTGTAAGATGTGTTTTGCATAGTGTGAGTGGTATGTTTGTGGATTTTTTATTGCGTTTGTGTGTTCTTGGTATCTGATTTTCATGTTTCTGTTAGTTTTCCCTATATATATTCTATTGCATGTGTTACAAGTGATTTTATAGATGCCGCTGTTATTGTATTTGTTTGTGTTTAGTGTTGTGTGCGTTTGTAGTTTGTTGAATAGTTTTTGATTTGTTTTATAGGCAATTCTATGGTTTTTGAATATTTTTGTGATGTTATATGTATCTTTGTCTATGTAGTGGAATGTATGGAATTTGGTGGTTGTGTTTGTGTTGTCTATGGTTGTGTTTGTGTTGTGTTTTGTTGTGGATTTGTTGTGATTTTGTTTTATGATTTTATTGTATATTTTGTTTACGTGCGTTTGTGTGTATCCGTTTTCTATTGCTATTTTAATTATTTTATTGTATTCAATGTTGTATTTAATTTCGTCTAGTGGTGTGTTTATTAATCTGTTGAAACTGAATCTAAAGAAGGCATTTTTGTGTTGTAGTGGATGATGTGATGTGGTGTGGATTATGTTGTTTGTATCTGTGGGTTTTCTGTAAATGTTAAAATCGAATTTTGTTTTGTGTTTTGTTATGTTTATGTCTAGAAAGTTAATGCAGTTATTTTGTTCTGTTTCAGTGGTAAATGTTAGGTTGTTATGTGTGTTGTTGATTATGTTTTGTATATCTATTATATTATGTTGTTCGTGTATGATAAATAAGATGTCGTCTACGTATCTGTACCATTGAAAATGTGTGTATTTTTGTTTTATGTTTCTAATTATTGTTTCTTCTATTGTCTGTAGAAAACTATTTCGCTAATGAAATAGGGAAATATAAACATATATATATATAGGGAAAACTAACAGAAACATGAAAATCAGATACCAAGAACACACAAACGCAATAAAAAATCCACAAACATACCACTCACACTATGCAAAACACATCTTACAACACAATCACCAACACAACACAATAGACAATACACTTACAATATTAAAATCATCCACAGATAAATTTTTAAACATTAAAGAACACATACAGATATACAAACACAAAATCAAACACCAATTACTAAACGAACAGACACACTCAATACACGACACAATTTTTAAACCACTTAACAAACTACACATTCCCACAAGCACGATAACACACAATAACACAAACACTTGACACACAAAACACCCCTAACAAACCTACTAAAGTCAGTTTATGAAGATGCCCTCTGGGCGAAACATGTTAAACTCAACAAAAAAACCTGTAAATCCAAAAAATCACATTGTAATTTTAATCAATAAATATTTTTTATATTTATAAAAAATATATTGAAAGTTGTGTGTGTGTGCACCGTAGTACTCTTTGCGCTAAGAATTGTAGTTTTTTTGTTATAACTCGCAAACGCGGTGTTACAATTAGTTCGAAATATCTTTCCTAGATGCTGAATTTAATTCTGTATCCCTCTGTATAGAAATTTATTGCAAGAAAAATCCGTAACGCGAGTTATTTTGATAGTTGTGTGGGTGCGCCGTAGTACTCGTTGCGCTAGGAATTGTAGTTTTTTTGTTATAACTCGCGAACGCGTTGTTACAATTAGTTCGAAATAATTTTCCTAGGTGTTGAATTTAATTCTGTATCCCCCTGTATAGAAATTTGTTGCAAGAAAATTGCGAAACGCGAGTTATATTGAAAGTTGTGTGCGTGTGTGCCGTAGTACTTGTTGCGCTAGGAATTGTAGTTTTTTTGTTATAACTCGTGAAGGCGGTGTTACAATTAGTTCGAAATAATTTTCCTAGATGGTGAATTTAATTCTTTATCTCCCTGTATAGATATTTATTGCGAGAAAATTCCATAACGCGAGTTAGATTGAAAGTTGTGTGTGTGCGCCGTAGTACTCGTTGCGCTTGGAATTGTAGTTTTATTACGCAGCTTTAAATTTGAACATCACGACTAATATAGGTTTGTTTCTAGGAGTCTCTACTACCGCCTTCGTACGGTGCCTTGAATGGGAATCACTTCAGTCGCTACCTTCGTACGGTGCCCTAAATGGGACTCTTTATGGATCCTGTAAGAATAATTAATTTAATTTATGTATATATGTATATTTCATTTATATAAACATCTTCCAGTTGTTGAATGAAGCATTGGCTAATCCTGAGATAAACAACTTTATCAATAAGGACAAACTGGAGAGATTTCGTGATACTGGTGAAGTGCGTATTGAAGATGATGTTTTGTTTATTGAAGATGGATGTGTCAACTGGACTAAAATACCCAGGACGTATGTTATATGTTGGCAATTTATAATAGTTTATATTTTACTATTCTGTTATTCTTTCTGATTTATAGTGTCCACGAAATTGAAGATTGGATTGCCGGTGTTGATGATGATTCCAAACACGATTGAATGAATTTACAACATTTTGAAGCTGATATTGATATCATTTTTATGTATTCTGTTAAAAGATATAAAAAGAGCAATATATAATTACATATTATTATTCTGTTTTCATGCATATTTTGTTAAAAATGGTGTATATATTGAGAAATTGAGTTTGTGATTCTACATGTTTGAATAAAATTGTTGTTTTATATTTTTGACTATAATATTTTATTATTTTATTTGTTCCAAACGGGCAACATAGCTCGCAACATCGTTACTCCTTTAATTTATCCATAAATCCCTTAAACTTTAATGGAAATGCCACTGCTAGATATGAGAAATAGTTCAAAATCAATTTTATATTTTATCAATATTAATTTAAAAACGGTATCACTAGTGTCATCTATCCACGAGTAACTAAACTACGCTACTATTCAAGATTGCTGGAGATTCTACCTACTGCACTTTCTGCGATCCTAATATTCAAAAGAATTTTGTTACCAATTTCACTGGATTTCTCGACAAAATTTGTCGAGAAATGCTGAAATGTTGCTGCTCATCAGTCTGTAGTATTAGGAACGCAGAAAGTGGACATAGGCAGTTCCCGCCAAATTATTATATATATTATTTCAATTAGTTTCGGTACAATTTCAATTTTTTTTATAAAATTGCAAATAGGGCCTAAGCAGTTAATGCTAGTAAAAAAATTACTAAAATAAATGTTGTAGAATTAAATTGTCTATCAGAATTCGAAAACTGAATTCAGAAATTCCAACTTATCATTTGCATCATAAAAAAGAGAAATCTTTTGCCTTTTTTATAACAAAATCTTTTCTTTAAAAATTTTTTGTGCCATTTTGATTATTTTTCAATAATGATGCCACCTTATAGAGAATTTTTCAAGGATCAAGATTATGTAGTTCTTAATTTTCTAGCCCTCTTAGTTGTCGAGATCCTGCAGAATTCGAAAACCGAATTTGCTGAATAAAGATTTTTAAACATTCATATTACCCGCCATTACTAGTTACCACCTCTTTTATTTACTTACCTCCTCACCCTTTCTGCGATCCGAATACCAAAACCTGAGTTTCGACTGTTTCGAGTCCAAATTTTGTGTCATTTTGCCTCCCAGAGTCGAAAAAATAAAGATGGAATATTAGGAACGCAGAAAGTTGAGGAGGCTGATAAAATTTTCGCGGTAACTAGTAATGTGCTGCCTCTGGTGGCGACGGACCGAAGCTCAAAATTTTCGGTTGTTGTAGTTTCTAATTGATAGATGGCACTAGCATGCACTTTTCAAAATAAATGGTTTAAGGAATCGTTAAATATGAATATGTGATCAGGTAGAAATAACAGAAATAATTTTAATTAGAAAAACTTAAAAATATTCTTTATTAAAGAAAACACACAAGCATAAATTTTGGGAGTCAATTTGTGTAATAATCACAAAAGTTATTTAAGATAATGAAATTTAATAATAACAATCTGATGCAAGAATGGTCCTTCTACGATGTCAGACTCAGGTGCAAAATTCCTAAAACAAGCAAAAATTAGTCTTTCGAACATAAAAATGCAATTTTCAGGGTTAATTTGTGAGATAATCACAAAAGTTATTTAGGAAAATGATAAAGAAATTAAATACTTACAATCTGATGCAAGAATGGTGCTTCTACGATGTCAGACTCCGGTGCAAAATTCCTAAAACAAGCAAAAATTAGTCTTTCGAACATAAAAATGCTATTTTAAGGGTTAATTTGTAAGATAATCACAAAAGTTATTTAGGAAAATGATAAAGAAGTAAATACTTACAATCTGATGCAAGAATGGTGCTTCTACGATGTCAGACTCAGGTGCAAAATCCTAAAACAAGCAAAAATTAGTCTTTCGAACATAAAAATGCAATTTTCAGGGTTAATTTGTGAGATAATCACAAAAGTTATTTAGGAAAATGATAAAGAAATTAAATACTTACAATCTGATGCAAGAATGGTGCTTCTACGATGTCAGACTCAGGTGCAAAATCCTAAAACAAGCAAAAATTAGTCTTTCGAACATAAAAATGCAATTTTCAGGGTTAATTTGTGAGATAATCACAAAAGTTATTTAGGAAAATGATAAAGAAATTAAATACTTACAATCTGATGCAAGAATGGTGCTTCTACGATGTCAGACTCAGGTGCAAAATCCCTAAAACAAGCAAAAATTAGTCCTTCGAACATAAAAATTCAATTTTGAGGGTCAATTTGGGAGATAATCACAAAATTTATTTATGACAATGATAGAGAAATTCAATACTTACAATCTGATGCAAGAATGGTTCTTCTACGATATCAGACTCACGTGCAAAATCCCTAAAACACTCAAAAATTAGTGCTTCGAAACATAAAAATGCAATTTTAAGGGTTAATTTGTGAGATAATCACAAAAGTTATTTATGAAAATGATAAAGAAATTCAATACTTACAATCTGATGCAAGAATGGTTCTTCTACGATGTCAGACTCAGGTGCAAAATCCCTAAAACACTCAAAAATTAGGGCATCGAAACACAAAAATGCAATTTTAGGGGTTAATTTGTGAGATAATCACAAAATTTATTTATGACAATGATAGAGAAATTCAATACTTACAATCTGATGCAAGAATGGTTCTTCTACGATATCGGGCTCACGTCGAAAATCCCTAAAACAATCAAAAATTAGAACATCGAAACACAAAAATCCAATTTTAAGGGTTAATTCGTGAGATAATCACAAAATTTATTTATGACAATGATAGAGAAATTCAATACTTACAATCTGATGCAAGAATGGTTCTTCTACGATATCGGGCTCACGTCGAAAATCCCTAAAACAATCAAAAATTAGTGCATCGAAACACAAAAATCCAATTTTAGGGGTTAATTCGTGAGATAATCACAAAATTTATTTGTGACAATGATAGAGAAATTCAATACTTACAATCTGATGCAAGAATGGTTCTTCTACGAAATCAAATTCAGGTGGAAAATCCCTAAAACAATCAAAAATAAGTGCTTCGAAACACAAAAATCCAATTTTAGGGGTTAATTCGTGAGATAATCACAAAATTTATTTATGACAATAATAGAGAAATTCAATACTTACAATCTGATACAAGAATGGTTCTTCTACGATATCGGGCTCACGTCGAAAATCCCTAAAACAATCAAAAATTAGTGCATCGAAACACAAAAATCCAATTTTAGGGGTTAATTCGTGAGATAATCACAAAATTTATTTGTGACAATGATAGAGAAATTCAATACTTACAATCTGATGCAAGAATGGTTCTTCTACGAAATCAAATTCAGGTGGAAAATCCCTAAAACAATCAAAAATAAGTGCTTCGAAACACAAAAATTCAATTTTAGGGGTTAATTCGTGAAATAATCACAAAATTTATTTATGAAAATGATAGAGACATTCAATACTTACAAACTGATGTTAGAATGGTTCTTCTATGATATCGGGCTCAGGTCGTAAATCCTAAAACCATCAAAATTAGTGTTTCGTAACACAAAAATGCAATTTTAGGGGTTAATTTGTGAGGTAATCACAAAATTTACTTATGACAATGATAGAGAAATTCAATACTTACTATCTGATGCAAGAATGGTTCTTCTACGATATCGGGCTCACGTCGAAAATCCCTAAAACAATCAAAAATTAGTGCATCGAAAACAAAAATCAATTTTAGGGGTTAATTCGTGAGGTAATCACAAAATTTATTTATGACAATGATAGAGAAATCCAATACTTACAATCCGATATAAGAACGGTCACTCTACGAAGTCGGGTTCAGTAGCAACACTTCTAAAACAAGCAAAATTAGTGCGTCAAAACACAAAAATGGAATTTTCATCGGTTTCCCGCCCGTTAATTACTTAAGTTATTAGTAAAATTGATAGAGAATTCCAATACTTACAATCTGATACAAGAACGGTCACTCTACGAAATCGGGTTCAGTTGCAACACCCCTAAAACAAGCAAAATTAGTGTCTCGAAACACAAAAATGGCATTTTCATCGATTTCCCGCCCGTTAATTACTTAAGTTATTAGTAAAATTGATAGAGAATTCGAATACTTACAATCTGATACAAGAACTGTCACTCTACGAAGTCGGGTTCAGTTGCAACGCCCCTAAAACAAGCAAAATTAGTGTCTCGAAACACAAAAATGGCATTTTCATCGGTTTCCCGCCCGTTAATTACAAAAGTTATTAATAAAATTGGTAGAGAATTCCAATACTTACAATCTAATACAAGAACTGTCACTCTACGAAGTCGGGTTCAGTTGCAACGCCCCTAAAACAAGCAAAATTAGTGTCTCGAAACACAAAAATGGCATTTGCATCGGTTTCCGACCAGTTAATTACAAAATTGCAATACTTACAATTTAACACAACTACATAGTCATTCCTAATGGTAGAATTTCCGAAGGGCTGTAATTAGATAAAATAGGCAAGATTCCACACAGAATTATCGCACCAAAAACCAAAGTTAGACATTGAACACAAACGTTTACGAGTGCAAGTTGTTTTTTACAATACAATACAAATTTTTATGGGGCGAAAGATTATTCAAGAATCACAATATCGTCATGGGTACCCCTAGTGGTCGGGTCGTCCTCCTGCAGATCTTCGTCGATATCATCTGAATCTGCACCATCTGTTAGCATTCGATCGGTATTCGCAGACAGATTCATTAACTTCAGCACTTCCCATTTTTCCTGAACCTGCTCCTCAATTTTCTGAAACTCCCGGCGTATGAAATCGTCGAAAGCATTTAGTTGGTTCTTGACGTGTGACTTAAAATACATAACATATTTCTTAACGTGGATATCTATATCATCTTTCACATTTTGCAAAAGCAGGGCAACCGAATCTTGACTCAATAGCGATCGAATCGTTTCCGGAGAGAGTTCAGTGCCGTTCACCGTAAATGGTCGCAAAGTGGTGGTGCCTCGAGAGTCGCAAGAGAGTTGACTACCAGTGGGACATGTTGTGGCCTCAGCTTGAGTGCACAACATATTTGAGAAGCGTAGGCAATGAATCCTCCGGTTTTCGTGTATATCTAAGATTGTCGCCGGTGTTCGAGGATTTCCCGTGTCAAACAGGCAAACGCTGCCATTCGCCATCGCAACACCGTAAAACTTTCCGTCCTGGGAATAATCTATCGCTGTCAGCGGCTGTTGCAGACAACATCGAAATAGACATCTGCCTGTGAGTGTTTCGTAGGTGCTCACTTTGTACTCCTCGTCAACAGTAACCACTTGTTGGATGTCCTCCTTGGGATAGAACGCAAATCCGTTCAACGCTTTCAAAGCCACCGTAACTGCCCAAATGGGTTCGTTTTGGTTCAAATCCATGTAGATAAACTTCCCATTTCCGGTGCATATACCAAAATTATCCGCATAGAACGGATGAAAGCGTATACCCGAAGAGGGCTCCTGAATGTCCGCGTTAAAAATCGGTTTGTGCGTGGCCAGGTCCATGATGACCACCTGGCCCGCCTGGCACGTCACCCCTAGGTACTTATCGTAGCAATTAAAGTCTACCCCGAATACAGGTCCAGGTACATCGTACAACTGCATTATCGTTTTTGAATGTGTATCGTACAACGCAACGGTCCCCTGTGTAGTGCCGATGGCAACAGTTCCATTGCGGCTGCGAGAAAACAACACCGTGGAGGCATGGTCGATTGCTGTGACCACATGGATCACCTTGATGTTCCTGCGGTCCTTGAGGCTCAGAATTTGGGGCCGACCGTTGCGCTCAAGGTAAATCATAAACGCGTTGTTTTTACTCCACGAGACGCTGATAATCTCGTCGCCTTTCATGTTGAAGGCATCCAACTGGTCAATATAGGGCCAGTGGCTTACCTTCAGATCGTTAGCTGCTGTCACCAACATTATTCACTAATAGAGCACGATGAGACCGATTCGAAATTGTACGATTGCAACAAAAAATTTCCTCTTCAATGTGGCGAAAATACTAAATTTGTGACCGCGAAAAATATGACGTAAATAACTTGTGTATAACTGGCGCCAGCGATACGAGTTTGTTAACTGGTTTTGTATTTTATATGAACAAAAATTTTAGACATTTAAACGTCAAGACTTCAAACAATAGCGCATATGCTTCATAATTGTTTATTAATTAAATATAAAAGCACTTACTTATTTTGCATATTGCTGTTTCTTTAATTCTTTATATGCTTTGATGATTTCTGCTTGTTGATTGTCCAATTGTCGACGTAAAGCAACCGGTAGATTCTTCCTTTTGCCTTTTCTGTCAATTGTTTTGTTTTGAAGCGGTGATTTCTTCATATTTTTCATTGGAGACTTGTTTGTTGTACTGTTTTTAATTGTTCCTTGATTAAAAACACCCTTCAATAACAAATCTTTCGCCCCAGGCTAGAAAAAACAAATTATTACAACCTGAATTCAAGTAATAGTTTAATTCAAATTCATACCCTTGGTGCATTCATTGATTTTGCAACCTTTTTTGGTTTAACTAGTGTTGGTGGAGCATGTGCAACCTCTCCAAATTTAACATGTTCATGCCTTACTTCAACTAAATCCTCTATGACATCTTTTCTCTTCAATTCTTTCTTTAATTTAAGTTTTCTTGTCTTCTTTTGTGTATTACTGATCTGCTCCTTGCTGGCATTTTCCTCAAGCTTCTTCTTCTTCTTCTTGCCCTTGGATTCCTTCTTTTCTTTCTTTAACTGCTCAGAGAACAATTCCAATGGATCCTTTTCTCTTTTTTCAACTTTTCAACTTCCCCTGTCTCCTGATTTCTCTTGATGTTCACTTTGTATCTTTCTGAGAAGGAACTCTCCTTGATCACTTCTTGTACCACTTTATTAACTCTTTGCATAAATGATCTGTCTGATTCACCAGCTGCTTGTATATACACTGGTCCAGCATTCCCATCCAAACCAGCTTGACTTGGTTTGAAATGCACTGGTAAATTTTTCTTATTGTTCTTCTTTGATTTACTTTTTGATTGAAGTTCTCCAGATTTCACTTTTTGCCGCAACTCCATAAGTCGAGCCAAACTCTTAGGTATTTCTTGGTCATTCTTATTAATTGGTGGTGCATCAACTTTGTCTTTTAATCTTTAAGCAAGTTATAATTAGCGAGGGAAATAGATTTGTAGGTTGAAAGTTAGGTATTTGATTAATTGATTCATACTTATTCAAACGATCTTGTTGCTGTTTATCGAAGTCACGTACACCACGATGTTTTCTTCCTGGAATTTTCCTTCCCATTGTGTGTTATTTATTAGAAATTATCAATAAATCACGGAAAATATGAGCAGCGTGCACAACACACCGCACGAGTTACTACGTCTAAACAATGAGGTTAACGCGCGTATTTATTTTGATTCACAATCATGCATCAAGGTTTTGCATCTCAAAATTTACAGTAAAACTATCCAAAACATATATTTAGCACAGGATCATGTTTTCATCACTTGCACCTTGAACTCGCGCGCACAAAATCCATCATGCCAAATGTTTTAGTAGTCTACATTCAAACAAAACATCATGCTTCGCTCCATTTGTATGTAATTTTTATAATAACTTGAATTAAGTATTAATTTTTGCATTGTAGGTCCAACAGGCCAGTTTAGGATAGTCTACAGATCATTCAGACTATACCTAGCTTCATATAAAGATGTAGAATCAACAAAGTCGGATGATTCTGACACAATAAGCACAAATTCCAAAGAAGAAGATGAACTTCCCGAAGAACCCACCACCTGCTGCATGTCAGGATGTGCAAACTGTGTCTGGTTAGACTATGTAGAGAAGATGAATGAATACTTCAAAGATGGAGGAGATCAAGCCATGAAAGAAATTGAGGAAAGAGTACAAGATCCCAACATGAAGGCATTCCTAATGTCTGAATTACGAATGAGAGAGAAACTAAAGAAATCTTAATAGTAAAGTACTAGGTGAGTATAGTTTTATTAAAATAAAAGCTGTTTAAAGTAGTAAAGGTTTAAATTGAAATAATTTTTGCACCACCACTGGGCTGACAAGCATAAAACGTTGCTTTGCCACTATATTCCTTCTGGATATTCTCAATCAGCTTCTCTGTATACTGTTTGTACACCTAAACACAACAATAAAACATGTAAATGACATGAGAATCACACAAAGAGACAAATACGTACCATTGTAACAGTACAACCGCCAAAACCACCTCCGGTCATCCTGCTGCCTAAAACACCTTCGCTTTTCAGCGCAATATCAACCAATTGGTCGACTTCCGGACAGGAAACTTCGAAATCAGTCATCAGTGATCGATGGCTTTCTATCATCAGCTCACCGAACTTTACGTAATTCTTTTCTTTCAGTGCTTGCGCGGCGAGCGTCGTGCGTTCAATTTCGGTGACGACATGACGAGCGCGCTTTACCACATCTTTATCCGTGTTTATACTTTTTAAATCTGAAATTACAAATATTACGCCTAAGAATATGAAGAAAGTATTTATGGATATGTTTATACATTCAATGTCTTTTTTTGTTGCGTCCCTCAGGCTGATCTTCTTAATCAGGAGCGCTGCCTCTTCGCATTGCTTCCTTCGACTGGAGTATTCACTTCCGGTGAGTTCATGCTTCACATTGGAGTTGGTGATGAGAATCACAATCTCCGGATCATTCAGTACCACCTGGTGACTGGCCAGTGTCCTATGAAAGCAAAAATTACATTTTTATACTTTACATTAACTGTAAAATATGACCTGCAGTCAATTAAGAGAGCGTGATCTTTACAGCCCATCATAGAGATGAATTGATCCATCACTCCGCAAGGCATCCCAGCGTAATCATGTTCTGCTTTCTGGCAAGCTAAAGCTTTGTCAGTTGGCATGACACTATACGCCTGTTCGCCATTCAAAGCGTCTAGGAAAGTATAAGTTGCCACTTCCAGAGCCGCGCTGCTGGATAACCCACCACCGGTTGGTACACTCGACATCACAACAGCCATGAACGAAGGTTTCTCACCGATGTAGTTTGCAATCACGCCTGCGAATGACCAATAAACATTTCAAAACATATACCACTAGTATATCTTCTTCTGGATTACCTTTAATGTAATTCGCCCATTTGGGTTTACCAGGTCTACAAACACAGACCAGGGAGCTTTTGTTCGGCATTTCGATGGTAATCTTCTTGGGCTCATCGGCATCCTTATTCGTGGTGACCACGATTGATTCCTCGCCCGAAATTTTACTTCCAACAATTACCGTTACCATGGGCAATGCCTACAAATTCTCCTCATGTTAGTACACAATATGTCAACCAATCTCAGCAAATGAAACCATTGGCAGGACGAATCCATCGTTGTAATCGGTGTGTTCCCCGATTAGGTTGACTCGACCTGGCGCGGCAGCTGCGACCTGCGGTTCACTCTGGAATTCCTCGCGGAATTTCGCAATGGCTTCCTGAAGAAGTGAATCCAAAGGTTTAATAGTCTCCATGGTGTTAAATTTTAATGAAATTTGTCTGTTTACACTGCGTACGTTTCGCTTTCGCTGTAGAATAACAACTGATGTGATGGAGCAACGAAAGTTACGCGTAGATTGCTTGTTTTGCTGATTAGCTCAAGTAATCTACAAAACATGCGTCCAATGACAACCTTGCTGTAGTTATACACCAACTCCTAAATATGGGGTTTCACCATAAGCGATAAGAGCAACTCGAGTGTTTGTTTATATCAAACACACACTCACTGTGTGCACTACTAAAAGTGAGATGCATTTGTTTATGGGTACAACTCGTGAACTTCAAACTAAAACATTTATTCAATTTGTTATTTTATTCATTTTTCGATCGCATCACCTGCGCCATGCGTGTGACACATTCATTCATCTCATTTCTCATCTGAGTATTTTTTATCAACTCAGAATCATTCATATATTCATTTATACACATACAAATAAAAATGGCCTGTCTCTATCCAAAAGATCCTTTAATCATGGAACTGAAAGGGTACACCTCCAAATTCCTGGAGTGTTATAAAAAGGGGGACCCTGTGACAGATGCGCATCCATTGCTGCTTAGTTTAGAAGGATGTCTCGAAAACATTTTCTACTGTTCCATTAAAGCGCAGACGGCACTCTTTGGCTACCTGTGGGATGGCTCCGCATGGAGATGGATAGAGAAACCATGAAATCGGATGATTTCTACAATGAAAACTATCAGATCACGCAGGTCATCGAAAGCGTCAAGCAGAGGAAAGATGTGTTGACCCAAGATGGACGCTTTCGACTTGCTGTGCGCTATTGCCTCGTACGAAAATGCCTGCATCGTCCGATTGAATATTTGGTACGTGATCAAACATAAAAGATTAAAACGATAATTGCAATGACATGATGATATTCACAGCGGTCATCAGACAAATGCGATAAATATTACGTGTCTGATGCAATCCTCGCCGATGAAATCCTTATCGAAATACTGCTCTCCGTGATCTACCAATTGAACATCGTAGATTTTAAGTTAGACTTAGAAAATTCAGCGTTTTTGGACCTCTCGTGGGAGTTACCACGAATTATCAACGTCGACTTGGTCCCCAGTAAAGATCTTGGCATCTCTGTTAAGTAATCATAATTACCATTAGTTTTTATTAAGTTTTACTATGTATACTTCCAGATATGCAGGAGAAAGACCCATCATTACGAAGATTCGTGCCAACAGCGTTGTTCATGAATCTGTATTGCAGAAAAAAGGTTTGTGTGGTTAAATATTTGCAATTAAACTCAATTTTCAGGCTGATATCAATATCGGGGACGTCATCGAATGCATCAACAACGTACCAGTGCTCTCGGTAGCCCATGGAAGCCTCAACACTTTATTAAAAACTTCACGTATCCAACCTGTGACCTTGCGATTAATCAAAGCCATTACTGATCCAACTAAAAATACCATACATCCCGCAATGATCCAACTCTACAAGGAAATTCAACTGGACCCGGAGACGGTGCGTGCCTCCCTGAACCGAAATCACAATCCCACTCAAGGATCAACTTGGAGAAACTGTAATCTGAAACTGAAAGCGTTGTAGGTCGATTTGCATGTGTTAATATCGCACAGCATCGCTCTGATAGTGGTAACACATTTGCAGGACTGGTTTCACAATTACTTACCTGGGATGTGTGTGTGTGGGGCGCAATAATGAGGCTAAAGCAATTGACAAGGTATTCGCCAACTTTTTCTGGCCGCCCCGCACACCGCAGCAACGTGACAAGAGTCTGAAGGAGGAAGTGCTCTTCGAGGTTGGCGAATTGGGCATCAAATTTTCCAGCGTAGCAAGGAGATGTTTAATGAAGAGTCACATGTTCATGGAAATTTCTGGTTGTTCATGCATTACATTGATGCCAAATTATTTCGCTTACATCGCAGGGTAATGTGACGAATCCATTTTTAAGCAAAAATAATTGATATTTATGTTTTAGGAATGCAAACAGTCAACCAAAATTTTCTTATTACTTTTTCTGCGCACCTGATGCCGAAATCGCCAATGTCATCATGCAATTAATGCGTAGGTGGCATTAAAGACAAAATGGTAAACATCTAAAATATTTTCTTTCAGAGCAAGGATTCCGCCGCACAAATTACGCTGTTTAATCGCAATGGTACCACAAATGTTACTCTAACTTTAGATAATATTTTGATACTAATAAAGAATACATTATACATTAATATAATACATATATCACAATAGTAACAATTAATAAATTTTGTTTAAAATTACATACTATACATACGTTTGAGCATTAAAATTCGTTACGATCGGTTAAAATTACAATTGTCGAATGTAAAAATACGTAAAAATCGAAGTCTATCTTGGTTAGTGAGTAGATTATTGTATATAATGTAATTTGGGAAGACTATATGAAGACTATTCAAATTCTAACCTAGCTAACAAATCATTTTTTTACAATAGCGCTGTGAATGCATCGTTATTAAGTCATGACACAGTATTCAGTCACTCGAATATTTTTTTAAAAATTGGTAAGCTTGGGTGGTACCTAATTGATTAGACCTTCTCCACTTTATCAATGAGATAGTCCCGAGAGCCCATGTCACTGGACGCGCACTGGCAGCTGTCGCGGCAGCTGGAGTCGCTGCAGAGGCTGTTGTTGCGCGAATCACAGATCTGGATGAACTCCTCGGCGATCATCCTGTCCAGGCCGGTGTAGGTCTTGGCGACGTCGGCTTCGGTGAGCTGTTTCTCTTTGGATTTGCTTCGGGAGCGGGACCTGCTGCGGGCACTAGGGGCTTTCGGTGCTGGTTGACGATCGCGTAACAAACGACGGTAGTGATGCTATAAAAATAAATAAAAAATAGTTTTTTCTTTAAAAAAAGATAGAAATACGTACATCACGTGGTAGTGTTGGTATAATCGGGGACGGTACGGGTCCCAAAGGTGCAGGTATCAATGGATACATGGTTGGACCCATCATTGGTTGCTGTAGAAGAATGGGCATGCCTCCAGAATGCTGAAAAGTTTTTTTTATTTTAATTTTTAAATTTTAAAAGACATCAGATGTCTTTCATGGAGATGAAAGTGTTATAAATCAATATGGCGGTATTGGTACCTGCTCATATTGACTGTTTGGTAAAAGTGGACAAAGATGAGAGCGGAATGTCATGAAGATTTATCGCTATCGAAGTGGAGCCCATCAGAATTCCGAAATTTCACTTTTAACTTTCCCTTATTATTTGACATTAACATCATCTCGGAAATGTCGGACAGCGCACCAATTAAACTTAGATGTCGTCCAACCGGTTCGGTATTACAATTTCATATCCAACCGCATCCTTCCGTTGCAATGCAATTTACATACGTATTATTTAATTTCGCGTTATTTTAAGATCTACTGCGCAAAAAGTACCGATTTTTTTCGATTCGGCTCATTCTGTGAAAGTTTCATTTGAACGGCGCAACTTTTTGATACCCGGCCTGGCGATTCGTGCCGGCTACAAAAACATAAACTCGATTTATTGCCGCGGCGGCGTATTAAATGAATGGCTGAAATGTTCGAAACGCTTCGAATGCATACAATTAAGGCAGGCCTCGGCGACGCATGCAATGCAAAATCGAGCGCAACGAAACATTTCAATGATTTTCCACGATAAACACACGAACCGCATTTCTTTTCCCCTCGCTCGCAACAAGTCGAAACTAATCGATATCTGTGTATCCATAGGATATTTATTTTCGTTTTTATTCCGCGTGTGTGTGCGCTGTGGCTGGTTTGGAACGGGCCTCACTTGTTTTCTTCGTCGAAGTGTGTCATATCGAAAGTGTTCACTACGTCTCGTTTTCGAAAGGTGCGGCACGAGCATCGTACTCATTTATTATTATATGTTCGCGCAAGTGGCTTGCCTCCTTTGGTCGAATTCCATCGAATTCCGACTTGTTGATCTGCCTGCGCCATGACTATCGTAGTTTTTTCCAGCGCACACAGCGGAAGCGTTATTAATGAATGAATTAGCCGGATAGCGCGCTGGCCGAAGGCGCATCTCGCGTGTTCCTCGCTTCGAAAGTTAATTTACAATAACGAAAAAAAGGGAAAACGATGCCTGCCCGAGGCGCATGTAATTAATAATCCGGCGAAATTTCAAAAATACACACATGCAGGCGGACATGTCAACTTCAATTTATTTTTCGGAATAAAATTACGCAATTTTACTTAAAATCTTTGCGTTGATGGTAGAAAATAATATTTTTTCGATTTTCTTCGTGCGACTTTCTCTTTTCACAAAAGTTTCAGGAAACTCTTTAAACTTTGCGCGAAACGCCGAAGAAAACACTGTTTGTTCACACAAAACGAGACAAATGATGCACGTAATATCGACAGGAATATTATAATAACGTATGCACGAAGCGTGTGTAACGGGGCCGTCAAGCATAACGTCCGCGGCGTAATGATTAGAATTACGCTAACAAAGTGTACGAAACAAATTAAGCGCGCCGAGTGCAGAGATGCAAATGCATCTCGACAGATTTCCAATCGGCTGGTATCGTGAAGATGGCAAAAGCGTTAATTGTAAACGAGTATAGTCCTAGTCTCCTAGTATCCCAGATAGTAATAATTGTACGCATTATTGTAACTTTCGAAAATGGTTCTTCTACGCGCGCAAAACGCGTTATTACTCGTGATTTTTCAAGACGTAATAATCAAGTAAACAAACAATCAAAATCCGGAGTAAATACGATGTGTTTCGTTGAATTCGATCGAGACTAGAAGCTTGTTCGGGGCTTCGAGTAGCCGTTAGCCGCAGGAATGCACAGGAAATAAGAAAGCAGAACGACTGACACAACAACGTAAAAATCTCCGACGTGGATATCATGCGCTGCTTTTTTTCGTTGGTCATAATAATCGATATTTTAGCGTATAACTTAATTGCACAAGCCGACAAACGCGATAATTGCGTGTTACATAAACAAATAGAAAAGAAAACGTAAGTTTTGCTTGAGGTGTAAATATTTAAACCCATAAATGGGTAGAAATTGAAAAAATTGCAAGAAAATCAAAGAAAAAATTTTAAAAAAATTAAAATTAAACGTTTTAGAGATAGAAAAGTTGATGCATCGTCAATTTGAAGTTATGAAGTTTTATGTTAATGTTAATTGTCCGCTCTACCGCCTTGCTAATTGAGCAAATTGAGCAACGCAATTGAAAATGACTTTCGAATGCATATAGCGCATTGCAAGTACCATTTGCGTTTGTGTGTCACTTTTCCAACGCGCGCACACGCATCGAATTCTAATTGCATTTCGGCCAACAGTGGATGGAAATTAGCGATGTCGTAAAAAAAGAAATGATGACCATATCAATCGAAAACAGTATTCGCAAATAAACAAGAATGTGCTGGCAAACCTGCCTGCGACACGCAATACCTCCCAGCAGCCACTTTTAAACACTAAACGTATTCGATTACAAATGGACGTGTGCGCTGCGGTAATTATGCGCGCGAAATTTACGAGCGAGGCATTTTATTTATCTCTTGATTATTTATCAATACATCTCGGTACCTACGCTGGATTCAACGTGCGCGCGTCGACATTCAATGAGTAATTCACGTGCGCGTACGGTTCTAATGTTTGTCTAGCTGTTTTTCAATTACAAGGCAAACCACTTGAATCCCATGGAATTCAAATCGTACATTTACAAATTCCAGCCGGCGCGCACCTCAAGAAATGGCAGCCAATAATCTCGAGAAAATAATAATGAAGAGAAGCGAAGAAGGAAAAAAAATACACAGCATCGCAAGTTGAAGTTTGAGCATATTGCAACCTTCGCAACCGAATACTTTTGTTTATAAAATGCATGTGGTTTCGGTGGCTGGCATGAAGGCAACGCTCAAGAACACGCCGAGAGAAAAAAACACACAATCATTTGTTACGTGTGATACCGACGTTGTTATTCTTTTGGCTTCCAGCGCGCGAATTCCCGCAGGTATCAATTACATCCACAAATCTTGCAAGACTTCCCGGAAGTCGCCCAGAGTGCATTCAATCAAATCTTCAATTATATAACTTACTTTGCTATGTCGTCCCAGCGTGGATGGCGCATGCACGACGTAGATCTGCGGTTGGACGGTCTGCATCGAATGTTTGCCCAGCCACGAGCTGACCAAAGCGTCCCGACCGCCAATACGCAGGTTTTCATGCAGATTCTCATCTCCTGAAGACTGGCGGAAGCACGGGCAGACCAACCTCGCCGTCTTGTACGAAGCCACCGCCGCGCACACCGTCTCAAACGCAGCGATGATGAGCAGACCAACATTTGATAACAACGCCGGATAATTCGACGGTAGAACCTCGACGATATCTTCGGTGACCTGTAAGATGACAATCAACGCAATTGAAACCAATTAAAATCTATTAGGAGATGATTCATGCAGTTTGAACTTTGGATGCGCATTGTGTCCAGCTGGATTGATGTCGGCTTGCGCGTTGAAATAAAAGTTTCTTTTCGCGGCGTGCCTGTAACCTACATAACTTCGCTCAATTAAAATTCACCTGTGCCAATGCGGCGACATGCAACAACAACGCATGCCTACATTCTTGTAATTGATAAATATAAGTAGGCACCGAATCAAAATTCGCGCAGAGTAATCGATATTTATACGCGTATTGAAGGTTGGGGCGCGCCGAATGAATTTATCGCTCTGGTCAGAAAAAGAATGCGAACGAAATTGGTGCGAGTACACTTGCCACTTGCCACATCAGTAGGCCATCAACACGCAGAGTTTCGCTTTCTTCTTTTGAAGTGCCTGCAAGACATTTAAACTTTACAGCAGAAACGAGGAGCGGCGAATTGATATCAATTTGCAAGTCGATATATCGGTGCGGCACAAGAACTTACAAAACGGCCTTGGTAATAATAAATGATTATTTAATAAACTAAGTGTATGGTAATATAAACAACGGCGACATGTGATTGCATACTACATACGGCAGCACGTGCGCTGACAAGTGAATTCCAGCGACAATGTGGGACATTCTTTTCTCTTACAATCGTCACCTGGTACATAAGCATTCGTACTGAATTATTTGTTTAGTTAATTTTAGCAAAACAACGTTTTCATGCGCGATTACCAAACCCATGCGGCGTTGTGGGCACGGTGGGCACGTAACGGAATGTTTTCGAATCACGTTTTTCGCCTTTTCTTGCGCTTTTTTTCTTCTTTTCAAGCGCGCTGTGCTTTTACCACACATACGAGCTGTTCCGAGAAGAATCTATCCGTAAATGAAACCCGATTGCATGCGATTACTTCGTATTGTTGCGTTTTGATGCTCGCGGCTTGTGCAATATCTTCAGCTGCGCGCGCGCGCGGAATAATTAGCCTCATTCGAGCATCGAAATTGTGATATAACAATATTGTGAATCTTACACACAACACCATGAATTTCGTCTGCGTTAAACGTTCAACATGATTCAGGGTCATGAGAAAATCCGGCGCTCACGCTTCGCAAACCGCGGCGTAATCGTGAAAATCGCATGTTTTTAATTTTAAACGATTACCTGCGTATTGCTCTCGATGATTTCGCTCTTGTGCACATCCCGGGCGAGTCCTGTCGCTGCCAGGACTAACACTAACTGGGCGATCGCCAGTGTTATCATATTGAGGGTGAGCGACACCGTCTGCGCCACTTTTTGCGCTCCTGTGCGCAAAGGACACCAACTTTTCGCAGCTGCAAGGATCCCAGCCGTTCCGGCACTGACTGCTAGACATCCGCCCCATAATCCGCCACCAATCTGTAACAGAGAAGTCAAATAGTTCAAATAAGTAACGGTTTCGTGCGCTAATTACAACAACTTGTGCTAACAATGTGCCTCGCATGATACGAGTATCATGAGGTAATAATAACGATCGCATGTGTCGCTTTTCGTGCCTCATAATGATAATTATTTTCGTGTTGTTGTGCGTAGAAAATAATCACGACGTATCGCGTATGCGTACGGAAAAACTACGAAACGTCAAGGAGTTTGGTTTTTACCATTCTAATAGGCGCTTTCGGTCGCCTTGCGGGCGATTTTTGGTCGGGCCGGTTGGGTAATCACATTCTCGATTATTGTTATGCGTTCTTGCCCGGGCGCGGTAGCTGGCCGTAATGAAGGCAATTTAAAATAGTTTAAGTCTGATTAAATCTTATTAGTGTTGATGTGCGGCTGACAAATTAGGAGTTTTTCGATCCGTGTTTGCACAATGCGGAATTACAAACAATCAAATATTTTCAATGTCAATGTGCCGCACCCTAACTTAAAAAAATTAATAATAATAAATAAAAATAACAATAATCAGCCCTGAATTTTTATCCAATCGAAAACAAAAGAATAAGATCTGTAACTGACCAACGGATGCAGGAAGTGATTATAAAAGAATTAACGTACTCTGCGCACATCGTTACGCGTACATATAGATGAAGACTCTGAAGATGCAACTACTGAGTTGTCTAGAAGTATAAGTATAAGATTATGTCGTGTCGTGAATGCGCGTGAATTTTTTGCGCCGGCTGCGAATCTGGTTATGTTTTTTCAGCAAACAGGATGAGGAGATGATTGCAATTGCTGAAGTTTCTTCAGATTAGCGAAAAACAAAACCGGCACATCGATTACCATAGCCTACGGGCGCAACTACAAAATTGTTGCAGTTCTTGTGCGCCGCTAAGGCTTCCTCTGTCGCGAAACGGCTTTGTTGCACAATTAACATCACAACGGCGGGGCCCCCGACAAGATCAGTTACCGGCCGTCGTTTTGTTAGGTTTGTGTATCTAAAGTGCTCGTGGTGATGACTGAATGGAATCCAGCGAGTTCCTCAATGGCCTCAAGGATGCTGCACATCCTCTCGATTACGTCGCCGCTCGCGCCGTCGTTACTACACATACTCGCGCCTCGCACGCCGGGGACGCCGCCTTCTCGATGCTTTATTTCGCGTGCGCCGCTCGTAAATTAGCTGGCTATCGCGCGAGACAAGAGGAACTTTTCTCTCCAAACACCACGACAATATAATGCAGCGTGTGTAGGTAATTAAAGCGGCATTAACATTCAATTGATTTGGTGCGATAAAATGATGAAATCAACACGCACGCATTTTTTCACTTTCGTTTGCTTCAATTAACCGTTAATTAGACGCTAATCGAATGCGAGCGCGAACAATCCGCGACACGTTTATGCCGGTGTGATGTGTCGCTGCTTATGAATGGCGTCGCACGTGAGCGCCGCGAATGCAAATGCAATTACAATCAATCGCGAGCGGAATTTCGCGGCGCACTCGTGTCTGGCCTGCCAACCATTAGAAATAGCTATTAAAATGCTCGCGTTGTGTGCTGCACACGTGCCGCCACAATCAAATTGAATGTCGAGTAACTGAATTCAATTACAAAAATCAAATTACAAGATTATCCCGACCTTGATCAGCTAATAATCATAATCCATCAAAATTTTACTCCTAGAAGAATTTTTTCATATTAAAATTCATAGGAAGATTAGGAAATGTGAATGGTTGCATAAATATTCGTTGTCTACACCTTCTGCAATAGTGAAACTGCAGATATTCCTTTGTGCAATTAAGCAATCATCCAATTAACGCGCAAAATAAATACTTTCACAAATTGTGATTGAAAATTGAAACATGCATGACTTTTGGGTGCAATTGAAAGTAAAAAAATGGCAAGATTTTTGCTTTTGCTCCACCTACAATTAATTCGTTGCTGATGATAAAGCCAACGAGCGACGTGGAGTAATTTCCAACCTATATGCGAGAGTTGTGCATGTGCGGGCATGTGGTTCAATCGACAGCTAAGGTCGTGGTTATTAGACTGGATAATGTTGATTATAGATTCGCATTCCGTCAGCCAGCTTGGGTGTATTTCGTGCGCTTCATTTTTTCCGCTTGATCGCTGCGCGCTTTGTGCGTGTTGCGTCGATCCACCGCGCGCGACTTTGTATCTCGTTGCAACGAAACAAAACGAAAGTTCGCGCGCATTTTCAGCCACGCAGCGCACTCCACATAAGGGAAAAAAAGAGGACAGTTTAGGCGTAATCTAAATCTCTTACGCGTATGCACGCAACGGAAATTACGCGCAATTATTCAGTAAAATGATTCGCGAAATGAAAACGACGCTGCACGTGTTCCAGATTTAAAATGTTAATGAAAAACGTGTGCAATGTTAATCGGTGAATGAGACGCAGTGACAGACAAGTTGAGAGTTTTTTTTTACGACACGCTCTTAGATTTTACGGGCGCCCGAATCAGGGCAGCAGCGAAGCGTCAAAACAGAATTCCAGCCGCGCGCGCCGTAAACACGTCAATTAACTAGTCAAAATAATGAAAATGAGAAAGTTCACTCATTTCAACGATAGATAGATAAGAAAACTTTCTGTTTACGCGTTTTTCATTTTATTTCGTGTTTTATTACCTGCGCTAAACTGGCTTCGTTCATGATAACCAACACTCCGAACGTGCACATCAACAATCCGAGGAATATCTGCATCAACGCGAGATATAACAACACATTGTAACAATTCGTCTCGATGGTGTCCACCTCGGAAATCTTCTTAGCGTTTTTCTCGAACGCCGGATCGTCCTGAATCTTACGCTTTGTTTTCGCAAGGGAATTCATCGGTGAATCCTGCGGCGTTTTACAAATAAGTTGATCCGTTGAAATCTTCGTACTGATTGTGAGATTGTTATCAAGTTGCGGTGATGGCGGCGCTGGCGAAGGACTCGGGGGCGGTATGACATCCTGCGGTATCTGCTGGCGGACCACCTCCGGCCTGGCAAAGGTTTCGCTCATCGCGGCGAGTTGTTTTCTGCTGTAAACACCGGCGCGCAACACAACAAAGTAAGCGGTTCGAAAGTTCGCGAAGAACTGACAGGCGCAATGAGCGGCGCGCTCGTGTAGTGTGCGCGATCACGATCCGGCGAGCGTGCGGCGAGGCGGACACTGTCCGCGTTCGACGATTCGACGCTCCACCAGACTGATGCTGATGCCGATGAAGAAGAGTCTCACACGCGCTCCGAGTCTGATGTTTCGCACACGGCGAGTTGATGACTTTTTCACCGCCACGGTAATCATCTCCAGCGTTCAATTACCTTCAATAAAGAGCAATTAAGCACGATCAAGTGCTCTCTGTGAATATTTCCCTTCCAACTCGCGGCGAGTGCGGAGCAGTATTTGTCCGACAGCGCTTATTAACTGATTTACGACGGATAAAAGATGCCGGATTAAATGTTATTACCTATTTACAATGAAAGCCCCGCACGCAAAACGGCGAATAAATCGCATTGCAGAGGCGCCCAAGGCGCAGAAGACAATCGGAAAATGTACGATGTTTTTGTCCCCGATTGCGAGGTACATTCGAATCTGCGCGGCAAGAAAATCGCTGGAGGAAACTAACGTCTTCATGTGTACAACATTCATGGATGCAGCTTTCTCTTGGATTCACTTGTACCGCGCCGTTTCGTTTCGGCTTACATTTTATGCAAGATAAATTCGAAAAGTCCGAAATTTTTACTTTGCATATTTCTAGTTCATCCGTAATTACCTATATCATAAACCGCAAATTATTTTCTATTAATTAACCATTTCGTAATTGCGTGCGGAGTATAACGACGCGCATAAAAGCATGAATTGTATCATAATATGTAAATTCTTTTCTTTCCAGCCGCGTGCAGTGAAATTGACGTGTGGTCGCAGCGTTTTTCACACTTTGTACGCCATGCCACTCTTCCGTTCTTTTATGTAAGCAGCGCATAATTATAGGAAACGGTCATTAAAGCAATTTCGTGCGCTCGCCGCTGCAGCGAAAAGGAAGAGCGTCGTGTGTTGTGTGTTGTGCGTTTTTTCACTCCTTGGCTATTGTTTCACATAATCTACGAGCTTTCCTATCGCAAATCGATGATACGGCTGGCGGATCAACACTCGATTGTCGTCTACGAGGAAAACAAAGCAAAATTTGTCCCGCGACGTAAGCGCGAGAAAGTGTACAGCCGGCGATGTTACAAAGCGCACAAATCGAATGACGAATCGATGAACGAACATGACTTTACGAACGTAAACAGGAAAACACTCATTGACTGTTATTATCATCGCATTCTTCCGTATACTATAATTAATAAAAAGCGATAAGATAATAGGCAAAGATTTGATTGTTTGTTTGTTGGATTTTTTCTTGCGTTTGCGAGGATAAAGATAAAACTTATCATTGGCATCGTCACAATGTTTAATAAATTTAATTTTCATGAATTTGCGTGTATGTCATTCACAGGCGCGCAGAAATCTTAGGTAAATGCTGACTACATTCGCAGAGGATGTCGTGGACATTAATTAAGCGAAGATTTACATCAATTATCATGCGTCGATGCGAAACGGCCGCCAATCTAACGTATCGCCATCGCATCCTTCCTCCGCGTATGAAATCAACGCTAAATCGAGATAAAGACGTACAGGAGACTAACAGAAATTAATTTTGTCAAAAAAATAAGCAAATTGTTTATAATTTCATCCGAAATTTTAAATGCTTAATAAAATACAAAATTTTCATTTTTTCGAAGAAATTTTTTAATTATTTAAGTGTTGGAGTAATTTATGTCACTTTATTAAATGTATGGGCGATGTTTGCGCAACAGCAATGATGCCATCCGAAGAAATTGCATGCAAATGCAATGTTGTGATATTCAAATGACTCGGCAGGCAGGCAACCAAAAGAACTGATAAAAAAGTAAAAGTGTTTGTGTTGATGAGGCGATTGGCAGTGAAACTGAATCCGAAGAGATAGTTACGAAATCGTCGCAGCTCGAATTGTTTCTCACATTCTCGTTTCTGGCGAAATGCGTTGCGATGTTCAAACATCGCGAAATTAATTATTAGGCCACATATTGTGCGCGCACGCTTACAAAATGCGCACCGCAGACAATACGCGTCGAGCGGAATACAGAATGAAGCAAAAGTGATTCGATTTGTTATGAAATTTATGTAATTAACTGAGTATAACTGCTTTAATAACAAATTTATGCAATTGCCGTGTGTGTGTGTTAGGTGGAAAAATTACCAAACTCCAAACCTTTCACATCATAAAATTTAGTAATTCACATTTACGGTGTTGGATTTTTTAAAGTGTAGTGTAAACCATTGATTAAATACTAAATTATTTATTCGAATTACATAGTTAAGTGAATACACAGTTTGCAACTTTTGCACTCCGGGAATTTGAAACAATTTTGTAAGTTTTAAAAAATGGAATCCTGTTCGTTGAAGACTGGTTATGATTCGACTGGATTGAAGATCCCATGTTCCATTTTCGATGATGTATGCTGAAGGCTACAACAAAACAGATTGATGGAGAAATTGTTTATTTTTCTATGTGCTTACCTGATAGCTGAAGATTTGGGTAACAAGTCCTCACTCTTCAAATATGCAAGCGCCAATTGGTAGCACCTAACCCAGCGGTGGCCAATCAAGAACAATGAGTGCCCGAGACCGCAATAACGGTCAACCCGAAGCGAACATAATTGATAAGGAAAAAAATGCTCACTTCGGGTGTAGTGCTAATGCGTCTGGGCTGATGAAATTGCACGTACACTGATTACAGCACACGTGCAATATATGAAAACAAAGTTTGGCATTTGTTTGTTGGATGATAATGAAATATGAAATTGTTTTGATGGCTTTGTAGATGGATTTTTGAGAGATTTATAGAGTTTTCACACAAGGCCCTTGCCTCACTCATGGGACCACGCCCGAAGACAAGGTCACCACAAGTGAGGAAAGTGCCAAGGGAAATCCAGCCGATGTTGTTGGCTGGACCTCTTACCCCCAGTGTTCACCGAGGGCAGGCGCATCGCAACCGGAAGGCATAGTCTCCGAGGGAGCCGTCACATGAAAGGGCCGAAATCTGGATGTGGAAAATATACGCAGTATATATAAGTTCAGTAAATTAGAATGGGTAGTAAGGACTCACCTGATGATTGGAGTGTAGAAGTTGCAAATTGTGGAAGTAACTTATCGTTGATGCAGCGCGCGATGTGCGCGCTGCAACAGCGACAAGGCAACTTGAAATATCGGTTCGTTGGGGGAGGTATTTATAGCAAAGTTTATCGGTTTCATGAGTCATAAAGACTTCTCAGTATATCGTTTGCATATAAACACGAAACTATTTTAAACACAGCTTCATTACATATAAGTTTTATAATTGTAAACAAAAAATTGCTTCAGTCGCCATTTTATTGCGTAAATAAGATATGATGAAGTACTTCTCAACAAAGGTTAGCGATTTCTGATTATTCAGAGGCTGGTGTACAAACTTTGACCCTGCGTTATTAATTACCCCGGGGAATTATTGTTTTGTTTCAATTATTTGTGATATAGGTAATTCAGTAAAATACCTAAACGTTCTCATGATATTCTATACCTAATCGCATTAAAACTATAGATTACTATAGGCAACCAAAACCACTTCGCTGTATTATATTCCCGATTGCACTTTATAATTATAAACATAAACAATAAGATTTTGTTATAAATATTTACTAATTCCATGGATGAATTTATTCAGATCACTACATGAATGCTTCGTCTACAATGATTAAGTTTAAGATTATTTACGATGATAAGATACATTTTATATTTACATTACAACTAGATTTAGAAAATACGAAGTCGTCCATCTTGGACAGCGTAGAAAATATTACTATATATTGATAGGTTTGGGTTGTATACATTTCATTTAGCTTTGTATACGAAATATCACATTTAATTGACGACGACCACTGGGCCCGTGCCATTGGTACCACAATTGCCTGGGGAGTATTTCTGTAGCGTCTCCTCCAACTCATGGTACGTCCCGCAGTACTTGAAGCCCTTCGGTTTGAGGCCTTCGAATATTCCAATCACGGACGGTTTTAGGTTGAAGAACAACAGCATCTGATTGCGATTCAAGAAGTCCTCGATCAGCAGTTTGATGCCTTTCGCTGCTGTGAAATCGGCACCCTGAATGTGTCGGGCATCGATGACCACTGGAATGGAACTGGATCCGTGTTTGACTCCCGCTTTGGATACGCTGGCCCGGACGTATTCCACCGAAGGGAAGGCAAGGCTTCGATCTGGTGTGATTAAGAGGTATTCTATTCCGGACCTTGCGGTTAGTTTTTCGATTTCCACTGAAGGGCGAGCACTGGCGTAGAGTAAAGATAGCAGATTGATGCCCACACCAATTGCTATACCCAGTTCCAGACGTAGGAAGAGACAACTCAGGAATGTGGCAGTTGCCGGAATCAAATCAGTTTCTAAAAGTTGCAAAATGTAACATTTGGTAACCTAACCAACAAAATTCTTACTTTTAGTACGCCATATTGGTTTGATCACGTGTAACTCCACCATGAACACCACGGCGGCAATGATCACCGCTGCCAGGGAAGCTTTCGGAATGTAATAAAAGTATGGGGTGAAGAAATGCAATGAAACAATAACAATCAAGCCGGTGTAGATTCCGCCAAATGTGGTTTTTACTCCGGATGCATTATTGACAGCCCCACGGGACAACGCGCTCGTCACCGGCATGGAACCAACAAAGGAGGAAGCAATGTTGCAGACGCCAATCGCCAACATCTCCTGGGTAGCGTCAATTGCTTTACCCTCAGCTAAAACCCGCCATTTTAGTATTGAATTAGTCAATTACGGTAAAAAACTTACAGAAAACTTTAGCCAAAGCAATATTTTCTAAAATTCCTAACAATGGTACCACAATCATCGCTGATCCCATGGTAGTGGTCATTTCCACGAAATTGTAGGTCTTGTTACCGACTGTGGTTTCAAAAGGCGGAGGTTTCAATTCTGGTAAACCAGGTTTCACCTCCCCCGTGAGTTTAAAGGGATGAGTTCCTCGGCATTCGAAGAAGTAAGCCAGGACCGCACAGAAGATGACAACGAAAATATTCCTCGCTGTTGATATCAACCAAATGGACTTGGCCAGGAAGTCATGGATGGGTTTGCGCTCCTTTGGGTCCGATGGCCCAATTTGGAAATCCTTTGATTTCTACATGAATAAAAACATAAATTTCCTTCCCTTTCCTATGAAATGATAACCTACCCGTAAAAATAATATGATCACCATACAAGAGACACCCAGGAGTACGTCCCAGAGCTGTGTCTCCGTAATATGCATGAAAATATTCTCCCATCCGTCAAGGAAATTACTCGCTGAGACCGACAAACCTAAAATGTCTTTAACCTGCGTTGTGGCGATAATGATAGCGGCCGCTGAGGTAAACCCGATGGACACAGGTCCGGAAATAAAATCAATCAGGAAACCCAGTTGCAGACATCCCATCAACAATTGAACGATCCCAGAAAGTAAACAAAGCAAAACCGCACCGTCCACACCAAAATCATGCACGTTTTCCCTGGTCAGGAGACCTGATATAGCCGTGGGACCAATTGCAGAATCCTTCACACTACCCAAAATCGTATAGATGAAGCATCCCATGAATGACGAGTATAACCCAATCTGTGGCGGCATACCCGCAACATTCGAATACGCAATCGCTTGCGGGATCACCGTCAAACCCACGGTGATACCCGCTACCAAATCAGACACTCCAGAAGTGGTGTTGTATTCAGGCAACCAGGCGCAGATTGGCAGGCGTTTCAGGAGATTCTTCTTGGTAAAGCAATTTGAGGTCTTCTCCATCATCCATTTTTTAACGGTCGGCTTGAACTCGTCGTTCTTGGTGGTACCGTTGACGTACTTGTCTGATGGTATGTACAATACTGTGTTGGCTAATGGTTAAAAAACATCATATTCAGAATTCGTTTCGTCGTAAGTTTTAAAAAAGTAAATTTACCCTTTCTGGAACAATCCAAGCAAGATTCTCGACGTGGGTCTGCAGGTACATCATTCTCCATCGAAGGATTCTCCACACCTTGACCACGCAGGTCTGTGTCACTGCCAGCAATCAAGGTCAACTGACTATTGTTAATGCTAGGGTTGTAATTCTCCATGTCGGGGATGAAGTGGATTACTTTTTCGGCGAATTTGTGACGTGGGTTGCCTATTCGGCGAATGTCTTTTTCGTTTTTTTTTTCTTTTTAGTTGTCTCCAGCTGTTTCTATAGGCTTAATTTGAATTTACAGTTATATTTCATGATTACGAAGATTTATATCTCGCAAATTCCAATCTGTGTTTCCGGCAGCAGGCTGTGGAGGCGCTGCGATTGCTTCCTTTTCGTGCCAAAAACCACTGGAAAAAAACAAAACTTTAGTTTTTGCTTTATCTTCACGTGGAGACCAAAACAACAAATACACTTTAAATGACTATCAGGAAAGATGAAACTTAATCTATTGACCTGCTTCACGGCTGGACTTCTACGAAATTCGTGGTGACAACGCACTAACTCAAACAAACAACAATTCACAGCACTTACCTGACTCACTGGAAGAATTTTTATTGCCGCCTATACCAATAAGTCATAAATTTTACTGGGCTCTCTCGTGTATTACGCTTCAAACTTTAATATGTAAATTATATGGGCAGTTAGCGCAAGTGCCGAGCATGATTATCAAAATATTCAAATTGTTAGCACTCGCACAGACGCATGCATGACTTTTGAATAAATTGCCGGCGGTTTTTCTTCCTGGTGTGTACCATCGCATTGTGCGCGCGCGCAATTTTCTTCAATCGCGTCATTCCGTGCCCAGTTTAATGAGTTTTTTTTGTCTGTTGTGAATTGTTGTTTATTATTACTATATTATTGACCGCCGCGCGATTTCTATCGCAAATCTGCGCACAGCATTCCAACCGGTTCGAACTGGTTCTGCAAAAAGCTTGTCTAAATCGTCGGCGAAAAAAATTTATCGCTTGAAATTCATTCATGTTCATTTATACTATATAATTAATTACAATAAAGATTCCGCGATGATAGATGGAGAGATAAATTCATTCCGGATTCAAGCTACTGATTAAATTTTTAATTAAATTAGCGGATTTTCCAGAACGCCGCAAAGAAATTAATTCCAAATTGATGCAAATCGTCGATGGCAAATGAGGTTTAAATTGGGACGCACGTAAGAGATGCGAACAATGCGATTTGCATAGACTACTTTTTAAAAGATGTTTTCAAAACATGGAACTGAAAGTGGCGGGATTACGCAAGTAATTGCGCAAAGCGCGCAAATCCGAAACCCGATCCGAAAGATCGGAAATCTGAAGCGCACAGATTCGAAATCGCATCACATCACAACAACCAGCGAGTTTTTTTTTCTTTCCTTTTTTCAAAATTGAATTTTTGCAATGGCTGCTGCGTGGGCAGACGAGTTCGACAAACAATAAAGATTGTATAATTTAAAATTTGATTTATTTATTATTCAGCAAGAAAAAAACGATGGAAATACTCGCAGAGTGAATAAAAGAAACAAATAAAGGATGTGTCGCTTCGACACCACGGCGAATTCGCGAAACTTTCACTCCCGAGCATAATTCATCGATAATTCGCAATATGTCGCTTTGGTAAATGAAAATTTACGCGCCGACACCGATGATTTATCGGAGAAAATGATTTTCGTCACTGGAATGCAATTTCAACGCTCAAGTTCACATCTTGTGTAATTCGGCAAACGTATTAATTAATCCATGCACATAATGTGCCCGTGATCGCTATTAAATCATAATTATTCATTAATCACGCACGGACGCACGGAGCGCACGTTTTCAACACACGCAGATCGCGTTTGTTTTTATGTCGCACGCATCAAACACAAAACAAATAAAAATTTTGTTTTGTTTCACCCACCGAACCCTTGAATACGCGTGGTCTGCGGGTGATTGCCGCACAAGGAAATAATCAACAGTTATTGAATTAATGCGCAAGTGGCATGACTCTGATTATTTCGATTGGTTTTTTAAATTTACGCAAAGCACGAAAAATCGTTTACTGCGATTTGCTTAATTTGTCTTTTGTTTTTTTTTTAATTTTTATTATTTTAATGTCTCGACGAGACAATTTGACGTTATTGGCTTGCGTGTGCGGTGGTTCGGGAGGCCGTGCGTGCAATTAGGTGCAGACAAAACGTCAAAAACGGCAATTTCACGGTAATTTGTCCGCCGAAAATGAATGCTCAGCAAGAAACAAACAATCGGACATGAGCACACCGTGTCGCGTCTTAATGTAAACATCGTTGCGTTGAGCAAACACGAAACGGCTACCGGCGCGAACTCAAGAGACAAGAAAGCACCCGGAAAAAAAACGCCGCCGCCGGAGTTCAACGCTAATCTAATCGCAAATGATGATTATTTGCGTTATTCTAATTACACGTATCTAACGGGGTAATAATATAAAATCAGCGCTGAATTTCTGCGAGTACAACTCGTACTTCATATGATGTAACATGTGATTTATGAATAATCCGCGCACGAATGGATATTTTAAGCGTAACGCCGACCGCAAACTTGATTCGGTGTACACGTGCGCGTTTTTAATCGCATATTTTATATTGTGATAAGTAATTACCTTGTCATAAAAGTCACCGGCGAGCAGAAACGCGCGAAACGTCCCGAACGCGGACAATGCGTTTTCGATTTGTTTGCTTGCAGCGCAAATCGCACGGATATTTGATTGTTTTGCTACGAATGTTTAGATAACATTAATTAGCTGGCCGGGCGACTCACGTAGGTACGAATCTTGGAAGTGTATCAGCGCATCGTGCAAACGCGATTTGCGTACGTCAATAAACACGTGAATAAGCCGCGGCCGATTCCAAAATATTAATTATTGTTTTCTGCACACGGGTATTATTAAATCCCGTTGCGGTACACCACACGAAAAATACACCGATCATAAAACCCAGCCGCGACATTCACTTCTTTTTAGGATGATCGCGCAAAACAAGGTTTAGATGACAAAATGCGCCGCCAACAAGTAGGTTACTTGCTGGAAACATTAGCGAAAACATTTTTATGATTTAATTTCGGCGTGTTAGTTTATTTCGCGCAGATTGGTGCAGTTTTATTGCTGCCTAGACAGATTTTCACCAGCGCCAAGTGAATTTATTATTGTTTTACGACGCTTGTGAAATAATTGACCAAGTTTTTATTTCGGCATTCATGCGAGATCTCAATGCGAAACCTGACAAGATCAAAGGAATTGTTTTTATTGACGCAGTGAGACATTGACAAAGAAATTTTTATGTCCATTTTCTAAGGTTGACGCTTTTAAGCATTTAAACAATCAAAATTTTTGAAAAATCACGTGCATGATAAGCATTTCAATGAAACGTCATTGATGCCGATTAACTACTACCTTATTCGAAATTAATTCCGCCGGTGTAATTAATAGGTGGGCTAATTAATGAGCGTGCAAAAGATACAACACCGAGTCGAAAAACTAGTTCAATCGCATGCGCGTCGAGCCGGGCCAACAAGAGTTTGAAACGCGTTGGAAACTTTTTTGAAACTTTCAATGAATTCGCTGGATTTTTGCTTAGACACAAAACACTCACCTGTGAATATCAATCACGAACTTTCGATCGATCCAATTCGATTAACAATCGAAGCAGGCGTTCCGCTGCAAAACGCGAATTTCGGAATTGCGAAACTTATCAATGGGGAATTTAAACGAACGAATCAACACACTTTGCTTTCTTGGCTTGTCTTATAGCTCCGTAAGATGATGCCTCGACGGACGAACGCGCGCGCTTGACTGACCTGACCGGCGCGCCGAGAATTGCTTTATATCTTTGAACGGATGAATTTTCACTTGACAATGATGGTCGCTTTCCGCGAACGCACCAGGGGCCCGAAACTCGATGCTCGCAAGAAGAGGGACTTAGAAGAAGAGGCGACTGTGATGCGCACACGGCCAGCCACGCATTCAAACAAATCGCGACCGACGCGCGGCGCGTATTTTTATTTTACAATTCGGTTCGTCGTCCCGTTGCGCACCTCCACACACAACACACCATATAAACACCAGCCAAAGCGGGTGACACTGCTTTGATTGAGGTGGAGGTGGCAAATAATTTCATCCCAGAAAAAAAATTAAAATAAAAAAAAATTAAACGGGTGTTAAATAAACACGATTATCGTCTGATTATACTTACTTATTAAAAGTAAACGTGATACAAGTGGTTTAACGATTGCTTGCTCAACAATTAGCATTCGCGCGGCAGTTGATGTCCGATGCTCATATTAGAAACTATAGAAAGTAATTTTTTGCTAATTGCTTTCGATCATATTTTGCAACGTTTTGTTTTTCTGCTTGCGCTATCAATTAGCGTTGTAATTGGTAATCGTTGCATTACGTCGCGGTGATCTTGTGACTGCAAAAAATCACGTGCACGTGCAAAAATTACACATAAACATAAAAAATAAAAATAAAAACATTCAACACCCCAGGAAGATACGATTGTGACAGTTTTCTGTATCCGATATTTCACACACCGATGTCGCGGAAAATACGCGATTTAATTGCCTCGTGTGCTGCGCATCATGCCGGTATTACATAAAAATGGCAAAATCCTTAGCGTTATTGCGCGCACACCTGCGCAAATGCGACATTATTTAAGATACGCAATCGGGCATAATGCACTGGCGCGTTTTCCGCGAAGCTGCGATTGCGTTCAGACGGAACTCCTGATATTGTTACCGATGCGCATTATTGTCGTCTTATACTCGTGTTGCGCCGACACGCGACACACGGAACGATATGCAATCGACATGCGAATATTACATGGGTTTTAATTGAAAAATCTAGCGCATCATTTCGAATTAAATCGTTTAAGTGCACAGTCGCGGTTAGCGTGCGAATAATTGCCGCTGGAGAATCAAATAAACGTAATTAGATAATATTGATGAGCGCATGAGACTAGGAATTTAATAATCTATGGAATTAGATGCATTTCCACGTGTTGCGGAGAAAATCGAATATTGCGCAGTGCATTTCGTTGTTTTCGTCTACGAACGGAATATATGTTATCACAAGATGATGTTTAATCGTTAGGGGCTGAGTTGACGTGGCTAGAAACATGCTGATGTGGTTTATGAGTCTCCATCAGGTCAAGATACAGTTTGGTCGACCGAATGTCAGTTATTGATGCCGTCCGGTTTCGTTAAGACGTCAGCGGACATTAGCTAACACCACTAACCGACCACACCAAACATTTTTTAGGCAATTTGAGCGCCTTGTGAGTCACACACCATGAGAACTTTCATATTCTATCTTTCAGTGGTTTTTATCTTCCCACACGTCAATGGAATATTTTCTGAAATTTTCCATTAAAAAACTAAAACTAAAAAAATCCCGCATTTTCATTTCGAGAAACCAGAATAAATTACGGAATATTTCCATCAATAGAATAAAATCCATAAACAAGTCAAACAGGCGAATTTTGTTTCAGACAGTTTTTTTTTAAAATTAGTTTCTTGTTTAATGATATTTACATTTGCTGTGAGATAAAGACGGATTGTTATATCATACAAGAGTTTTGTATACATTCGCAAAACACAATTGCCTTGACTGATACGCTCCGCTTGACTTCCGCCTTTTTTCTGCTGAGCAAATAATAAAATAAAAGTTAGACGAATCTGCGTGAGAGGCCTGGATCGTTCATCTCAATGTAATTGCTGATTCGATTTGCAACAGTTGTACTACTTCGGAATACATTCAAGCAAATCAATATTATTATTAAATTAACCAGTGAGAGGTGATTGTTATTCAATATGCAGTAACAGGCGTGTTTAATTGCTGCAAGTAGTGTAAGTAATGCAAATTGCAAATACTGCAATTATTTATTTATTAGTTTTAAGTTTAACATGTATAGAGTGCTAGTTTTGCTTGGTTTTAGCAAAATGTGTATTTTGTGTTGCCTACGTTGCGACCCTAGACTGGAAACATCGCAGAAGGGATAAAATTGAATTTATTTGAATTTCTATGGTAACATGAGTGAAATACAAACAAAAAACTGACTACAAACAATATATCCTTCAATATCATTCCACGTTTCCACTCTAATTCGTCATCATGTCGTATCGGGATGTGCGAAGTAAGTTTTCGTTTAAATATTTACAAAATTTTCAAATTATTGTTCTTAGATTGTACAGAGATGTTGCGTGCGTTGGGATACCCAAAACTAGTATCAATGGAGAGCTTCCGAAAGCCGAATTTCCCATTGATCACCTCGCTTCTCCTTTGGTTGACCAAACGCTTTGATCCGGATGTAGATATTCCTGGGGATATGCAGACTGAAGAGGAAAGGGTAGCTCTGATCCGCAACGTGGCGCAATTCATGGGCCTGAAGGCAAACATCAAATTGAACACCAAACGACTCTACCAAGCTGATGGTTACGCTGTACGGGAGATTCTGAAAGTGACTTCGTTGTTGTACGAAGCCCTGGTCACCAACGCTGAAGATGATACTCCTGCCAATCAGGAAGAGGATGTGGAGTTGACCATTCGCGACTTTGACTTTGCTGATAAACTGCATGATCTGAAGCAGTCTCGTCAACTCGCCACGGAAATCACCATGACGGGTGCATCTCTGTTTGATCTCCTGGGTCACGAGATCAATCTACGCGTGAGTTTCTTGTTTGTGCAGTGGGTTGCAATAAAGAGGAAATTGAAATTGATTGAATTTCAGGGTTTGCGCGAGACGAGCGTCAGTCGCCAGTTTGAAGTCCACGATGTGGATGGAGGCATTCGACGGGCGATCGACATCATTGGTAACGAGGTCGACGACACAAAAGCGCAGATTGATAACGTATCAGCCAGCGAGGCAAGTCTGGATGGTAAACTGGAGCGGCGCCGTATGGAAATCGAACGGTACGAGAAACGCCTGCAGACGTTGAAGAAAGTCCGACCCGCATTCCTGGAAGAATTCATCAACCTCGAAGTGGAGCTCAACAGTCTCTTCGAGAAATATTCAACGCGTGTACGTTGCCTGGCCCAGTTGGAGAAGCTCGCTTCAGATGCAGAACGAGCCCACATTCAACGCGCTCAATTAGCATCATCCCAAAGAGCAATGACCACCACCATCCCACTTGAAGATACCAATGAAGATGATTTGATCTTGGATGAACCAGTAACAGCTCCCAATCCCAAAATCAATCAAAACCCACATCCGGTGATTGATAAGAAGCTCCCTCCTAGCAGACAGGAGAGACCCAGAGCTAGAACCGGTGGTAGGACGCGTCAGGATATCATCCCACCAACCAACAACCTTTCCAAGGTCTATGGTGGGATGGATCCTGGCATGAGTAACAGTAACTCCTCTTTTGACATCTCCTCAGATGACACCGACGATGATGAGCTTTTCCTTGATAAACACGAACCGGAATTGGAAGATGTGCAATCCGATGAAGATTCCTTAGGTTTGGAGTTCTCAGCGATGGAGATCAACAAACGGGCGCCTTCCGGGAGGATGACCAGCAGCAAGATCACTATGCCCGACAATAGCGATGATGATTTTTAAAAGGGACAAGTGAGTGAGTACTAAAAATAATTTATTACAAATCAAGATATTCAAAAATTACATTAGAGTCCAATAATAAATAAATAAATACCAATTATAAAAATATTCTCCAATGATCTAGAGTTTTCTTCAAAAATTTCGTCCCAGAATCATCCTTGGCAGTGTCCTTAGCTGATTGCTAATGATTAATTTACAAACATACATAAATAGAATTTATTTATATTCTCAAAAATTTAACAAAATACTTTAGCCTTAAACTACTACAGAAAAAGATATAGCTGTTATCACAAGATCAAAAAAAGGTAGAAAAATAAATAATTTTGTTAAAAAAAAAGGGGGCACCAAATTGGTCACAGTCAGTCGTAGTTGTAGAAATCAGTCAGGTTTGTACTATGGGGTCATATTTCTCAACGTTAATAAGTTTCGTCCTGTTAGAGTCGTCAAGTCATTGTTTTGTCTACAGTTTCGAACATTGTGTCCGCGATCGTCAGTTGCAGTCGGTCGTCAGTGGTGCGCGCCGCTGGAATTACTCGAAACTTTCTCTATCTACGGCTCCCGATCGGGAATTCTGGTCGGATTGTCCAATTTGTCTCGTCCGTCTGCGTTGTCGTCCGTTGTGTCGTCGTGCTTTTTCCAAAACTCGCTCATCGGCTTCGGCAATTCGTCCGCGACGCGCTCGCCCATCGGATTCATTTCCGGCTCGTCCATGACGGCGATATCCGCCTCGGACTCATACAGCACCCAATCATCCTGCCGGCTCTCGCGCGGAATTATATCGATTTGCAACTTCGCGTCGTCCGCGCCCGTGTCGATTTCCACCGACTCTGCGTCGAGATTGATATTCGCGTCGTCAACCGCGCGCTGTTCGATGTCAACACTCGCGACTGTTGCATTCTCCACCGAATCTAACTCTATCTCACCGTCTTTCTGCTGCGCGGTGTGTATGTAATGCTCCTTATCGGTTTTATGCAGATATCTATTACCCAACACGGATGAAATTTTGACGAAATTTTTCTCGCCTGAATCGTACGGTGAATTACCACCCTGCGAAGGGTTCTGAACCGCGTGGCTGATATAAAACGAATCGCTTTGTAAATATGCGGGAGCATTGGAACCGTATTGACTCTGCTGTTGCCCTTTCTCATTAAAATATTTCCCGTCGTAATATAAATAACTAGGTATCTGAGGTCGTTTTGTGACTTTGTCTACATAACTACTAATATACGTCGGGCGGGTACTAACTGACGGGCCATAATGTACTTGCCCATAATTATTCTGATGCATTTCCTCGAACATTGCAAGGAAACTCTCCGATGGCCGGTAAATATACGGCCGTTTTGATGTAGAAAACGGTCGATCCTCAAAGCGATCGTAGTTGTACGTCGTCGGCTGATAATAGTACGATTGCGACGAGGGTGACTGTGTGGGTCGCGGTCTATAATAGTCAGGTCGTTGTGTCGTCGTGCGGATGGGGATGACAGGCGAGGGACGCTTGGTGGAATACTGATAGTAGCCATTGGATGGCTTGATCTGCTCGTAGTTCACGTACGAGCCGTCCACCTCGTGCACATTTGGATTCGACAGCTTATCGCTGAGGAGAATGTCGGTCTTCGGTGTGCTTGACACCAGGTGGATGTTGATGTTGACTTGATAGTCGGGGGACTTGGGATGGGATTCAGTTGTAGCCGCTTGCAGCTTTTGCACGGTGCCATAGTTCGCCGCAGTCAGTTTATGTCGGTTGGGTTTGTTAATCGTCGGATGGAGGACGTAGTATTCGTCTTGGTCGTATGTCAGGGGACGTCGCGTCGTGTGATAGAATGTCACGGGTTTGGTCTTGTCCGGGGCGGGATTGGAATTGCTAATGGTGAATGTGGGCTTCTCCTGATAGAGTGCCGTGTGGAGCTGGGGTTTTAGGGAGAAAGGCGGTGGTGGGTTATCGTTATCGTCGGAATCTAGGTCAATCGTGCTGGTCGTTATGTTAGTCACTTTAATTTTGAGCGGATTGTAGAAGTCCGAAACCATCGGCCGGTTTTGGAAATACACCGTGGTACGTTTGGTTGTTGTTTTTGGCGCGGTAATTGGTCGCACTTTCGCCGGCTTTTTGCGTCGTTTTTTCGCCACGTGTTTGCGACCATTATCGGCATCCTGATTGGCTATTAGTTCGTCCAAAAACTCGTCAACTTCATACGATTCCCTTTTTTCGGGATCATCATCCGCACTTCTCTTGATTATCCTGCCGTCTGTTTTGGTTTTACTTTCTGGTAAATCGAACATTTCGTCAATGTCAATATCTTTGTTTACTTGCAACTTTTTCTTGTCACTTTTATTCGTACCGGTGAGGAAGATAACGTCAAAATCAACGACATCTGTCGTTTTTTTCGTAGTGGTTGTGAGTTTTAGTTTGTCGCTGATTTTGTGCTTGTTTTCATTTTATTAAAAGCTATATTGTCGTTAACGCCGCTCAGAGGTTTGATTTGAAGTTTATCTTTGTTTTTATTCCTGTTACCTTTACTGGAGTTGCTTCCGGAGGAGAAGTCAAGATTATCGTTGATATCAATCTTATCGGGTTTCGTCAGTTTGTCGCTAAGTTTAATCCCGTCGTCGAAATCCAGTTTGCTGTCAACTTTCTGCGCAAGATGCGTTTGTGGACGTGTGTTTACATGATGACCATTTATAAATTCAACTTTACCTTCCAGATCGTCAAGTTTTCCATTCACGTTAACATTCGGTGATACATTGTTGTTATTATTGTTATTATTATTGGGTAATATTGGCGGTGGGACTTGAATTGGTATAACTGGCGGTGGCGGCGGTGGTTTTCCAAGCTGACTCTGCGCCAGACGCCGCTCCTCCCAGGCGCGCAAATCTAAACTTTCCATTTCGGGACTATCACAAGGAAATCTCGAATTCCGAAAGTTATCCGGCGAGAGGAACACGAACGGCTGCACGGATTCAATCTCCGGTAGAACTTGGCAGAGTACCTGACCGAATGTAACACGTCGGATTTGTTGTAGTTGCGCGGGCGTGAACGAATTCTCAAAGCCGCCATTCTCGTACCAGAATCGATCGCCCTTGCGCAGGTTAGCGAATTGTTGTGCGATAATGCATCCGAACGTGGGACCCACCACACCGCCGCGAATCGGCCGCTCGGCCAAACCGCCCGGGTACAAGTCAATGTCGTCCACGTGGTCGTAGATCGACCGGAAGCGCTGGATTGTTTCGAAGTTCATTAGCGGCTCGAGGTCGACCCACGTGCGTATCGGCGACAAACCGCAGGGCTCGCGCCACGCCGTGTAGCCGGGAATGCCGTGATCTCGTCCGCGCTGAATGTTCACGGCGGCGAGGTCCATGCCGAAGGGTTGACCCGGCTGTTGGAACAAATGATGCGTCAGCTCGCGGCTTATAAATTCATCGCGGCGCTGCGAGGGTTGATTGCAAAAACCCAATATCAACCGATCCACACTCCCGAAACTCCAAATATTCTCGTGGTTATTAAGCTCCTCATGGATGGATACATCTACACCACATAATATTACAAAGTGCTTAAATTTCCCAAACAGAAAAAAACTTACTGTTTACTAAAAGGCGATGTTTTGAGTCGCTGCGTAGGAATGAGTGTTGAACCAGGCTATGCCCGAAGCGGAATGCAGCGCTACTGAAGGCATTCGCAGGCGCAGGATTAACAAGAGGGTCGTAACCCCTGAAATACCCCTTGCGTTCCACGTTCAAGTCAAAAAGGTCCATCACCTCATGCCCGAGAACAATCGGTAGGAATTCCTTGAAAGTAATATGCTGGATAAGCGCAGCGATGATGCGTCGCGTTTCTTGGTAGTTCTTCTCGTCACTCCAATGCGGGTTGAGGTTGCCGAGGATGGCAGCGATGCGGTTGTGGTATCGCAACCACACGGTATGGAATGCCGTCAGGCCTGGCTGCTCCCCAACTCGCGTATCTCCACCTTTGAAACATTCCGTAGACAAAGCCCCCAAGCGACACAACTCCCCACCGGGTGGATCCGGAGGTGTCTGAGATTGTCTACGAGGGCGGCCATATTGCAATAAACCTATAAATAACCTGTTAAAACCTAAAACCTTCTGATAGAAACAAACAAACCATTTCGGAATATTCTCAAGGAGTCAGCCCGTTCGGAGTCACTACCATAAACAGTCGAGGCATCAATGTAACTGGTCACCTGATTGATCTGCTCTCGCCATCCAAGGTCACAATTAATTCGGGATGAAGGCGCACTGCGTACGAACTCAATACACCTCATACCAACTCTCCCCAAAAACCAATCATCTTCAGGTACTTCAATTGGTAGACATTCCGGATGCATGAACTCCGGCGGCAGGAAACCAGCACCACCACGTGCACAACATCGAGGTATACTGGCGTTAAACGCACGCGATTGCGCTGTCGATGTGATGTCATGATCAACAAACTGGCCCCACTGTACGAACATCATGGTCACCGACGGCATTTCGACGTCGCGGTCACGATGAATACGAATGCTGACCTCCCTCGGCGAGGGTAACCTAGCACCGCCTCGTACAGACCTCCGAATCGCCTGCACATCATCATCGTAATCAGGCAGCAGGAATCGTTGCATCGGCAACATACTCGCGCCTTTCCATGGAAACTCCAGATTATTACAGGTGCCATCCGCGGTCCGGTAACGCCTGGAAGCAGAAGGACATCTTGGTATCCCGCGGATGGGACACTGGTCATCAAAGGCATCAGTGCGCAGAAAGGAGACATGCTCCGGATTCCGTCTGCTGCGGGATTCCGGATACCTGCAAGGAAATAATGCGAATGTGCAACGATACAACACACAATTTTTTTAAATTTTTTGATCACTGCGCGTTGATACAACACTAACGTACTTGTTGTTGTATACAACTTCAACTCTCAAGTCTTCGCCGTCGTCTCGGCCCCATATAAGCAACGAATTGATTTCTAATTCGGATTAACATCGTCTTAAAAAGTCGACTGTGCCCGTTGCTATCGCGGCGTGCGACTAAAGTCAATTTCTAATTCGTTAAAGTCTTTATATCTGCGAGACGCGCTTTCCCTCCAATTTTAGAAACGTCGGCCATCCTCCGCGCTACACACGTCTACCTGTCTCTCCACTATACAGTGTTTTTTTCTTTTCTTTAGATTTATTGTGTGCGCGCATGAAGATTAAAGTCAATTGCTTTTTGCATTAATCTTGCATTCACTGCTAAGTGTTCTTCATGTCCGCGGAACGTTTTTACATGTGGAAAATTATAGAAAAAAAAAACCAACAACGACGTATGAATATGAATAAATGGTGCAATTACGCTCGACTAATACATATTTACACATCACTTCACACATGCATGATTCGTCCATTCCATTACTGTACTCGTATTGTTTCGCAAGATGTTTATCGTCGTTAATTATTTATAATTTTATTATCGCTGTAAAAACGTTCGCATTATGTAAATGGCAATGATGGGCGAGTAATATTTGCAGAACTAGTCATTTCTGCGCTCCGGGGAATAGAAAACATTTATTTGTTCACGGATGACGATAGCGAATAATGATTTTCCTTATTAAAAGAAATCGCCAACCCGGAAAATCGAAGATTGACAGGAAATTGTAGAATAACGTGTTTTGTCGGCGCGATTAGCGTCGGTATTGTGATTAATTCGTGTACTCACTTCTCTCGGATGCGCAGCGACGCCTGCAGAGCAGCATATCCGTACCGCGATTGATGCAAGGCACGTTTTGATGGTGTGCTGAAAGATGCCACGCGTCCTGCTGCCTCCGACTCGTCCAGATACAATCCTATGAGTAAAAATAACCCGCATTCACATACTACCTACATTCCTGCTGATACTTAAATAAGTTTTTTTAAATTTTTACCCATTGAATATAAAAGTGGTTCTTTGACAGTGTGTAATTCGTTCATCAGCTTCAAACCGGCATCCACGGCGTCGTCGATGTCGCGCTGCTTGATCTGATGTTCTTCTCCTTCGTCTTCACCAAGTTGCAGCGCCTCGGTATCGATGTTAAGTCCCCAATGCAGCAGCGTTTTGCTTTCGGCGTAATCAATTTTGGCGGCGGTCGTGTTCGAATTTCCATTACGGTCGCGGCGCGAGCTTTCACTCGTCGTCGTCGTATTGTTAGTATTAAAAATGCCATCACGATTGCCCATATTTTCAGTCACAGTCGTCTTCGTCGGTGTCGTCGGTGTGGTCGTTGGTGTCGTAGATGCGATGCATGAAAACAGCAGCACCGCATAAGGTATGTGTACGTAGAATCTGCAAATCGTCAAAGAACAGGCGCTGAATGAAAATGAGCGTGTCGCAAGCGCATTGTCGGCAACACGGACGACACCGTTTCGTGACATAATGTATGCGTGGCTGCAGTGTGCGCCTTAGTTTCGTTTCGCGAATGACACCGTCGTTGAATATAAAAAAAATCGAACCAAATAAAAAGGAGCACTGTGTTACCTCATTTTGAGCACGTTGTTCAATGATTGCGTAATCGATTGCGATTGTGAGCTAGAATGGCATCACACGCCAAACTGCAGCCCCCTTTGGATTCGAACACACTCGATGATTCTGGAGGAGCGCGCGCGCGAAGAACTTTTCGGACCGTTAATTCGGACCCGAAACGGGAAACTGCGATGCGGACGAAACGCGTCTCTCGTCCGGTGCGAGCCGTGTGCCGTGTGTGGGTATTTTGTTTTAATATTTCTTCATCTGGACGCGATCTGCCTCGAAATGAACAGTTATCGGCCGACCGGCGATTGAAGTTCTAGCGCGCCGCGAGAGCGCTGGGTAGCGTGATGCCGGCGATGATCTGATGATGATTTTAATACTCGAAAAGCCTACGGACATCTGAACCGCCGAACACGCCGTCCACCGCGCGACGCCGAGATGCGCGGAGGCAAGCGCTGAAACGACGGACGCGACTTTTTGCGTTATTAAAAGTTACACATCCACAATGCGGGTTACGGTTACATACAACGCGGATGCCGCCGGCCCAAGCCACACGCAGAAACAAATCCCTAATGATGCTTTACTTAATCTTCAATTGCATGCATAGTACACTGGTCAAGACCTGCGCAACGTGATATTAACGCCCGATTTGCATAATACGCGCATTAAAGATTACTATATTCGCATCGGGCGCGAACACAGTGTATAAATGCATTTGTTGCCGCGATTGAAGCAGCTAATCATCATTTTACGGTAATTTGGCTTTATTTTCATGACTTTCAAGGTGTTATATACACTCGCAGCGTGTATTACAAGCCGTGCACACGTAACTCGCGCATTTATTGCATGGGCGTTTGTATGTTTTTTTTTTCATTATTGAAAAATTAGCCTGAAGGTGAAGTACGCTTGTCATTGTTTTTCAATGAAATTCTATGCGGCGCGGCAATGCGCACGAGAGATGAAAGAAGGAAGTACGTGCACACACGGCAATAATGCACTTTTTACGTAACATTAACAGAACAGAACAAAAACCGATTTATTTTTATCCGTATCAGGTGCTCGCATGTTTATTTATTTATATATAGATTCATTTAATGTAATAGAATGACCTTAATAACTCAAATAATAAAAAGTCAAAGATGAGAATTTCGGGCGCATTGTGCTTAATTTGAATAACTGATCCGGCAATCAAGCAGCAATCACCGTGGAAACAAAAAGTGCAAGCCGAAGGAACCGCGCGCAAAAGTAAAAGCAATAATAACGCGATAATTATCCCATAATGGTGCTGGCTGCGTTGATAATGATCACAATTGGTAGCGATTGAAATCGTTCATTTGCAAACAAAAAGAAATCGCGCGCAAATTGCTCCGTAAATCAACGGCGAAAGAAATGAGGAATGATGCGCGTAGTGCGTGTTGCAGGCCCCCGGTAGGCTACTCATTAAACAGCGCGCAAAAAACACCAATGTATCTATCCAACATTGTAAGAGCAACTTTCTCCACTTCAAACCGAAATAGAGAAAAAATTGTTATTGAATCCGCAATTATTATCATGTCGAAATTAAGTATCTATTTGGACCAAGACACCGTTGTCTTTTTTCCGTGCAAGCGCCGCGGCTTTCTCTCCAATTTTTGTCCGCCGCGGCGAGAGATGCGAGCGGGATTCGAATGCAAGTGAAACGCACGCTCCCGATACGTATTTGCATTTCTCTGCGGTCGGCTATAATAAAATTTTTCATAAATATGCGAATGCGCGTACGTTCCACCATATTCGGCGTGTTGTGCTGGTCTTCGTTTTCGCCGAATGCTTTCTTCGCGCTGGCGCGCGCTGCTCCCAAGTCAGCGCACGGCGCACGAATACATTAAACATGTCGTAAATGTATGTCGCGCTGCCTTTTTGATCTTGACAGTGACCCCAAGGTCGGTGAAAGTATTCAATTTCACTCGCAAATTAAACATTCTTTGCCCGCTAACCACGTGAATGTGAAACGCGCTTGATTGCCACTCCAAAACCCACGGATTTCAAATATTAAATAAATGGTGGCAGCGCGCGCGCGTTGATTTTTCGTATTTATTTATTTTTATTTACGATATTTCTGCGTGCTTCGTCGGCTGCATGATGGAAATAATGATGATGTATGGACATGCAATGATTTATTGTGACAAATGTGCATGGTTGTGTAATTATTACACCAGTGAGATGAAAAACCAATTAACAAATTAACAATGCAGCACGTCGTCGACGAATACGAGAAACAGTTGCGCATACAAATGCGAATCGGCGGAACAATGCGCGCCGGCCTATTGAACGAAATGGCCACACTAATTATAACGGATACACGGGCTGTAAATCATGCTCTATGAAGGAAGTGATATTTTTTTTCCATGCGCGGCGCAAATCGAATATTTGACGTTGGTGCAATTTAGGAAAGCTGCAGCGTGCGAAATATGAAACACGAATTTTATTGATGGAAAACGTGCGTGCAGCGCACTCGAATTTCCGGTGTGAGTTTCACTTTTATTGTGAAGCGCATACCGGAATCGATATCAGAGCAATTCAATATTGCGAAATTGTTTTTTTTTTGTTAATTTTTAGTTTTTTGATTTCATTGTCAATTTTTTTACGTTTATGAGGTTTTAATTCAACGTCGACGGTCAACCGTGTGTTAATCTGTCACTTACCTTAAACTTAAAACACCAAGCGATTATTAAATACGCTTGTTTTCCCTGGCGGCCTTCTCCTCCTGCTTCAAGCGGGTGATGGCCTGCACAGAGCCAAAGAGTACTTTGGCCGTGACTTGCACGCTTCGGTGCTTTGGTCCATTGGGACCCTGGCCGCCGCCGGAGTAGGCGCCGTTCTGCGACGCCGGATAGTTGTTATTGTTGGCGTCTCGCAGCGTGCACGACTTGCAATTGTCCGGCATCTGCCGGAAACAAAACCCACGCGCATAAATTTTAAAAAAAAAAACGGAAAACCGAAAAATTTAATTAATTACCTTGTGAGTGTTGTTGGGTGATGATGATGTTGATGATGATGACTTTTCGTTCCCCAAAGAATGCTTGGACGGCGGACGGAAGGAAAACTCGCCACTGGCTGGTTTTTGCGCGCGTGGTTCGGACACGGCCGTTATTGCTGCTCGCGCGGCTCGTGGCGGTGTTCTTCGGCGCGGCGCTGGTGCTCGCGGAGTCGCGGTCGCGCTCACCGGTCGGACGTGGAGCGTTGGACGGGACGGCACGCCGCGTATGTTCGACACACTGACTGACTGACTGACTTTGCCGAACCCATCTACTACGCCGATATACCCACAATACACATTTCGCCCGGCGCGTTGTTCTTCGCCGGCGCGGAGACCGTGCCCACCGAAACCGTTCGCTGGTGAAACTCTCGAACTCTCACCAATTCCGACGCCGATCTGATGACACCCATTAAACACCAACATCAACAACAAAACAGGATATTAGGGAAGTAATCAAATCAAATCAAATAAAAAAAAAATCTTAAACTCCAGAAGCCAAATCTTTATATTTATTGTAATAATTTTATTTATTTTTTGTTTTTTTCAAGGGTTTTGTTAGTAGATTGTAACATTGTCGAGCGCCCCACAACTTCCACATTCACATCAGCGGCGTGGGCATCGACATCGGCGGTCTCCGGTTCGCCAGCAGCGCACAAACCAAGTGGCGCTGGTGACCTAGTGCCGCGGCGACCTGCTGGCCCAGATCGCTCACCCGCGAACTCTTTTCTCTATATTCTTATGATTGGCCCCGGCGCGCAGCAAACACGCGCGCACCGGGGCCCGTTCGCAGCATGTCGGCAATAAAGCCGTACGACCGAATAATGAACGCGTACCATCCGCGCGCGCGGTTTTAATTCGATCGCCGGTCGCTTCCACATCATTTACTGTACCTGTAAATAGATCCGCTAGATTTTTCATGCACATACGCTTACAATACAATAAAAGACGAATTTTTCTGCATTCTGCAGTTCTTTATTAGCAGCCTGATGTTTTGTGCCATTCGCGTCATAAAAGCCGATAATTAACACAAAAACACGGTTAACAGCCGAACGTGTGACTACAGAATGAGTGTGCCGTGCATAAATTAAGCAATGAAAAGTAACCTGTGCAGAAGAATACGAGAAGCAAAGATTCAGCTCTCGCACATTCGCTCGAAAATGGAAAGTTAATTTTTTTTCGTTTGGGATTTTGTTTGTACTTTCGTAGCCTACAAAACTGCAAACCTACAAAAACACAAATTATTAAAAAAATATTCCACGCGGTTTCCATTCAAATTTACAAAACTGCACTGAAATCACAAGCAATACACTTATATTAGTTAATCATTTATTTAATTAATTATCATACGAGTAAATAACCCAATACAGTTCAATACAATACTTCACTTCCTCTCGGTTTACAATATAATGTAATAGTTGCATAAACGAACGGATGAAATCAGCACGAAACCAATTACCTTCGATTATTATATGAAATTACAATTATGAAGATATAATTAATGGAATATATTGATGAATTAGCAATTAAATCGCGCACGCGAAGCGGAAATCGACGCAGAATTAAAAACGAACGAAAAAAAAAAAGAACGCACACTTGGGAATCGTGCAAAAATTCGGCTCGTTTCAAAATGTTTTAAATCAATGTGTAATTATCGCATCTCGGACGAAGAAGCGCTGAAAATCTCGTGGCAATCCGTGTGGTCGCGTCACAATCACGCTGTCTTTGACAAATCAATAAATCGCTCGTTTTGTTTTTTTATTTCTTCCTTTAGTGGTGGATTCGTTTAAGTTTCACGTTGGTGTTAACAATAATAAGTTAACGTGTAAGATTTTATCGCCGGTCGGCGCTTTTGTTTAAATAACTTACTAAAATCCTAGAACTAAACCTTCGTTTAATCAACTTCATTACTTATTTAAGAGTATCGCATTCGCATGCGGCGCATTGTAATTGTAATTATGAATGAGTTGGACAATGCGCAGCATTGAAATCTTTCTTTAGCAGCACAAAACTTTAAAATTTGTAGCAGAGAGCAGAATAAGAACAATCTAGCCCAGCGTTTGCGTTAATTATTTAGATAGCGGCTACAGCGAAGATTCGGTTACAATTTTTTTTGTGTTAAATTTAGTTTCTCGGGTAGTCGCATCCGCAATCGCTTAATTTAGGAATAATAGTGTTTACGTTTACTTTTTATTAGTAAGATCCATGCCTAGGATTTAAAAGTTTGATTACGTGTAGTTGTCTGTTCGTTACGGTTCCTCGTCGTCTCTCGTCGCTAGAATTAACGCTAATTAATGATTAGAGGGCGGTTTATAGGTTCTTCTTTAGTGGGTAATTTTATTATGCCAACAATATATTTAGTATTTATAAGTTACTTGATTAGATTAGAGTAAGTAGTAATGTTTAGATATTGATTATCGGTGGTGGAATTCTTCAGCGTTGTTTTGCGTCGATTTTTTCAGGTTTTCAGAGAAAATTTCTTGGTTTTGTTTTCATAGAGATAATCAACTGGTGTTAATTTACGATCGCAAACTTTCGCGCAAGTTGCGGAAATCAATACGAGAGAACACAAGGATAAATATTCCTCCATTAATGTGAACAACTCGCGACTTTTCAGCGTCGAATTCATTCACTTTCTACGTAAACTTGTGAAAAGTTGCCGAGTTGTCCGTGTGTTTCCTTTAATATGCACTAAACTACATTTAGTTTGCTTTAGTTATTTAGATATTTAGTTAGTTTTCTTTACGTTGTACGTTTTTATACGCTAGTTTTATATTTTTGTATTTATTTATTTAGTTTTTGCTTTAATGTTAATTTATACTTGCTCTACGCGTCTTAACATAGGATACATTTAGTTTTTTAGTCGTTTTTCAGTAACGTTTATTAGCTTCGCCCTCGACGATGTATTTAAGTTTAATATGTTTAGTGCATGAGAAGCGTAGGACTTTCGGTTCGATGAGAAGTTAGCACAAAAAGTAAAGCGTTTCGTTAAATTCTAGATCAAGTTAAATGTTGAGTTTCAAGTTTCCTTTCCGTCGTTTTGTTTTCGATGCCGCATGAAAGATGATGATCATTCGAGCGTGGCGTTCGCGCATTGAATGTCCTCCTCGTCGAAAGTCGACGCAAGTCAATAATTGTGAAAGTCTTAATTGTGTGTCGTGTAAGTAATAAGTATAAGTGCGACTGACAGTCATCTATCTCTCTTAATTTTTGTTTAGATTTGTCTTTATGTCGTGTATGTCGATCGGCAGATGGTCGCCCGATCACAAGTCGTGGTTCGTTTCTTCTTCAATTTTTACTCGTTTTTGTGTTTAGTATTTCGATTTATTTATCACAACGCGTTCGATGGATGTAAATGATGCGCATCAATCGAACGCGCAGACATTACGTTTAAACTTGTCACGTTTTTTTTTTGTTTTCGTTTTTAATTTGTGCGCATGCGCGCAGGATTCATCTAGATTCGTTTTTAAGTTTTTAAGTCAAACTGTCAGTATGTCGAGTGCGTGGTGGTAAAGTTGGTGCAAGAGTGCTGAAAGGGTACCGCAGGACTCGCGGTGATGCGGCATGCTGATAACAGGCAAATCGCGCCGGATTATGCGGTTCCAGCAGCACGCGCCGCCGGTACGATGTTGGTGTGTGGAAGTTGCTCATTTTTCACTTGTGTAGAGGGCGCCTGCTGCCGGACGATCGCGCACCGTCCCGATTACGCTTGCATTGCAGCCGCATCACAACGCCCCATCTAAGAGTCGAACTGATAACGCACAATCAAAATCATACAACCAGTGCGCACCACAATCGCCATCACATTCGAGATTCTCAACGCCACATATCGCCGATTTTCATCTTCATCCTCCGCTTCGTTAATTGACTAAGAGAAAAAACGAACCGAATCAACCGAGTTGGTAAAGTAGATACCGAATTAAAGTACGCATCGCTTATAAGGAATATACCGAAATGATTTTACTCAGTGACTAAATTTTAGTTTCGGCCGCGCCGCGAGCGGGCGCAAACGCAACTAAACTGCATCGCATTACTCGCAACACTCGTTCGAACGAACATTCGGAAGCTCTCCGGGGATCAAATCGAACTATGAGTATAAATACATCTAAAGTAATTTTTTGGTTTTTCCATTTGGTTTTTTTTAGTTTTAGTATAGTAACGCGTGTGTGTGTGGTTATCATTCACTTTAAACCCTTGACTAAGATTACTATAGCTTACTTACGCTTAAGTACTTGCTCTTTACTCGCCTAATTAATTAATAATCAGTTAAATGCAGCTGCTAGAATGATTGACGTAGATTGCTGGGGGGGTGTATATTCATCGGAGCTTGCGGAGTTTTGCGTTTCTTCATAAGGGCGTGTCGAAATTGTAATCGTCTCAAAAAGTGATTGTTCTATTATTGGTTTCATTTATATTTTTTTTTTGCCGCGTTTGTCCTGTGTCTGCACTCGAACCGAAAAACAAATTCATGTGTGTTGTTATGTGTGAGAGTGAACCAGGCGAACGAAAACTTATGATCTAAATATTATTATCAATGCTCGTCGTCGCCACCATTGTATTACTTACTCTTGTTTAAAAAACTACATAACAATTGTGTTTACTTTGTATCAATTTCTCGCTCTCGTGTTCCTCTGAAGATTCCGTTCATTATTTGATTCTTGGTAAGTGGGTCAACAATTTCATTTACGGTTCCAGGTTTGCCTCGTCGTGTACGGGGGAAGAAGTGGTTGCAGTTGCTGTTGTCGCTGTTGATGTTGTTGTTGTTGTTGTTGTTGCATAGCTGATTATTACTTAGCGGTGGTTTACAGTTCGGTATGGTGTGGCGTGATGGTGGCATCGGCGACACGGTGGTAGACGCCGTCGTCGACCGGCCCGCCGTGGTGCTCCAGGCCGGCGCCGCCGCCGCCGCCCCCGCGTCGTATCGTATAGAACACAAGCAGAACGGTCCAAACGGTAACGAAAAACGTAATTAGGGAGGGTAGGTTCGTTACGAAGTTCTACATGATCACGCATTTGCCTTTCTCGGCCCACGGATTGTTCTTCTTGTCCGGCGCGTGGATCAGCGGATCGTTCTTCTCGTTTTCCTCCACGTATTCGCGCATTCTGCAACAAATCATTCATAAAATGTCAAAAAATTTAATTTTTTACAAAAAAAAAATTAAAATAGCTGTTAAAACATAGTGTATATACAATATAAAGACATACTGTACAATATAAACATTTGTAGAATAAGTGTACGTGTGGTTGACTACGATGAAAGTCCACTTTGTAATTTTATCCGCTAGCAATGTCGCAATTCATTATTTACGCCGTCTTTGAGTTTCGCAAAGTACTCAGGTACTCCTCCACTGTACACAGTAATATTTCATAAGGATTTTCAAGAGTTTTGAGACATATTGTGGCGAATAAACGCGACGCAGCGGTTTATTTATGCCCGGCGCTGTTATAATCGTTTAAACCTCTTTTACTTTAACTCGCTGGGCAAGTGGAAAGTAAATATCGTTTTTATTCGCTGCGAAAATAAAGAAATCTCCGCTTTTTACTCAATTTACGACTGCCGGTATTCGCAGAAGTAGGATTTGTTGGATGTGGACTTTTCCGCAAGCGCTTCTAAATCGCCGTATTCGATAGTAATTAGTTTGCGAGTATGCGGTGCGCTGGCGCGCGTAAAAGTTTGTTTTAATTTCGGAGCGTGCAGGTTGGGTCCCCGAGCGGCTCCGATTTTCGGCTGCTGCGCGTTCCTAATGCGAAGAAGCTTCCCCCCGGTCGCAAGTCGCTTTTCGGGTTTCATTGAATTATTCATGTCGGGGAACAAACCGAGGCTCAACCCGCTCGCATTCGGTGCTTCCTGTCTTTTCAAAGCGCATTTTTGGCAATCAAAGTTTAAAGTTGCAGGTCCGAATTCGATGCCGGGCATGACCTGTCCGAATGCGCGCATTCGTGGTCATTCATGCGCTCCACGCTGGAAATTAATCAATAATCCCGCAGGAACCATCTCGGCGTGCTTTTTCCCGCAATTCCCCACACGGATTAAATATTTATTTCATTTCGCGGCGGCGGGGCGCAGATACAAAGCATCGAAAACACCCACATGAAAACGCCCGAGGCAAAGCTTGACATTCGATGTGTGTGAATTGGCCGGGAGATGCTGGCAGAGAGTGGAAGAATGCACGCCGATAAAAATATAAAAAAAAAAGCACGGGGGCTACGGCTCCGAAAAGGGACGCGCGAAGCGCATAAGCTCCAGATAGATATTTTTCCGCGATGAGTTTTTTTTTGCCTCATTGATCTTCTTCAAGCGTTCGGCCCGTCAGCGCTGATATGAACTGTTTTCATTTCATTTCGATTTAAGTGGATTTAAAGCGGAATCCGTTTAAACACTCACGCGGGGCGTAATTATATCGAAGTAAATCCCGAAAAACTTTGCTTTGTTAGAGTTGTTGCTGTGTTTCGATGTGTGGAATTTAATTTCTAAAAAAGGTCAACCGCTCTCATTTGATGAAAAACCTTACTTCACATTGACAAGTTAATTAAATTCTTTTTGCGCGCCGGCATTTTCGCCGAAATTGGAAACAATGCGAGCCTCCGCCCGTCGTGGAAATTAATTTATCAGTAGCGGAATTAAAAAGCAAGAAAAACAAATACCAATTAATTAAGATTATACAATGCCGGCAGACCTTCCTAATTGGAAGAAGGAAACGAAGTCCGTAATAATTAATAGCAGCAGGAGGAATTTTGAAAAATCTACAAGGAAGTAGGAAAAATCGCCGTCAAGTTATATTTAGAGACGGTGACGTGCCGGCACTGCTTCTCGATACTTCGAATTCAAATATCTAATGAAGTAAAATCGATAGAGAGGAACGGATTGAAGATTCGTAATTTACGAAAAATTCTTTATAAGATAAAATAATAATAGGTATACATTTTGTGAGGTAAAGGTTCTAAAATCGTGTTTAAAAGGCTGAAAAGAGCGCATTTTTATATTTTTCGGAGTTTTTCGATTGCAAATATCTTGGAAACTAAAAAAGATAGAGAAAAACTGATTAAAGATTCTTAATCTACGGAAAATTCTCTATCAGGTAAGCATTAAAAATAATTAAGTTTCTTGGGGTAAAAGACCCAAAAACGTCACTAAAAGGTCTAGAAAATACAATTATTTGCTTTTATATGCACTTTTTTCAATTGCGTATATCTCATAAACTAAAAATGATAGACAGAAACAGATTGAAGATTCTTAATTTACGGAAAATTCTCTTTAAGATAAGAAAATAAAATATAAAAATTTTGTGTGGTAATGGTTGAGAAATCGTGTTTAAAGAACTAAAAAGAGCACACTCTCTTAATTTTCCAAGTTTTTCGATTGCGAATATCTTGAAAACTAAAAGAGATAGAGAGAAACGATTTAAATTTTCTTAATCTACGGAAAATTCTCTACCAGGAAAGCATTAATTAAGTTTCGTGGGGTAAAAGCTCCAAAAACGTCACTAAAAGTTCTAGAAAATACAATTTTTTGTTTTTTTGCGCACTTTTATCAATTGCGTATATCTCGTATACTAAAAATGATAGACAGAAACGGATTAAAGCTTCTTAATTTACGGAAAATTCTCTATAAGATAAGAAAATAAAATATAAAAATTATGTGTGGTAATGGTTTAGAAATCGTGTTTAAAGAACTAAAAGAGCACACTTTCTTAATTTTCCAAGTTTTTCGATTGCGATTATCTTGGAAACTAAACGAGATTGAGAGAAACGAATAAAAGATTCTTAATCTACGGAAAATTCTCTATCAGGTAAGCATTAAAAATAATTAAGTTTCGGGGGGTGAGAAGTCCAAAAACGTCACTAAAAGTTCTAGAAAATACAATTTTTTGCTTTTTTGTGCACTTTTTTCAAATGCGTATATCTCGTAAACTAAAAATGATAGACAGGAACGGATTAAAGATTCTTAATCTACGAAAAATTCTCTATAAGATAAAGTATTAAAATAAAAGAAATCAAAAAGAAATCATAAAGAAAATGGACGCCAAAGTCGAACATGAGTTGTCCAATAATCGAAAAAAGTGTTTTAGCCTTGTTTTCTGTTTTCCTTACGCAAAATTATCGATAAAGTTATTGATTTAAAGCAACAACTCAAACATTCAATTATCTACCCATTGATCCCCGCGGAAATTGAATGTGCAACACTTGATATGCAGTCAATTAGCCACCGATTACCTACTCGCCGGTCGCAAACAAAGTGCTCCAACCGCATGCGAACTAATTACGAACACAACTTTGATACACCAAGTGTGATTAAATATTTAATCATCATCAAAGTTTTTTCCGCCCGCAACCGCTTGATGGCTAATTATTCAATGAAGGCATGTCCTGATTAAAGTTATTGATTACTTCAATCTTAGATTATTGCGCGCCGAGCTGCGAACCAGTTTGTTCGCTTTTGTGGCTTAAATCTTGTTCTTGCCTTCAGTTCTGAAGCAGTGAAAAGTGACCGCTCGTAGCGCGGAGTTTTATCGCGGCGGGCGAGCCGGGTGCGTTTTACGATCGGCGATAAATGGCCAGTGCACATCGCGCTCGCCTCCGCCGCCTCCGCCGTGGAAGTTCGCGCGCGCTTGCCACTCGACACTGTTTATTTTTCCGCCCACGGGTGCCGAAAGCGTGTACCATGTAGATGCGACCGAGCGGCTCCAATAAAAACTCACTTAATCGAATTAGAGCTATCAGACGTACTGGCGGGCGTCGTGTGTGTCCTTCTGTTTCCTTGATGCCGGAACGTGCGCCGTTTGGAGCGCGGCCAACTTTTCCACGTACCTTAAACTTGCCGGCGAAGAACTTCACATCGCTTTCCGCCGCCGCAAGAAAACGCGCGCGCGGTGGCAATTGGAAAACTCGCCGCTGCAAGTGGTAATGCAAGAAACCGCATAAAACAGCGGAACCAGCGCAGCGCGCGCAAAACGAACGGACGAGGTCGTTAATATAACTTGGCGTCAACCACTGCTAGCCCGGATGCAGCTAAGGGACTGCACTTCGAAATGTAATCCGGGATCTAAATATGAATAAGAATATTACGTATTTCAGTGAATTATGAATGCGCACTCTTACTGCAGAAGGTAACACAACTGGGAAATATAAAGTTATTAATGCTGTGCCAAACCGACACGAGTAGCAACAGCGCATGCGTTGATTTGTTTGACAGACAGCATATGACATTTCATCTGCAAGATAGACAAATGCGCAGGCGCAAACTGCAGCCATTTTTTGTGTGTCAAAACCGTGGAAGACGTTTTAAAGAAAAAGTAGAAGTCGAAAAAGAATATTACATATTTCAGTAAATTTCGTAGGCGTACTCATATTGCAGAAGGTAAACATTAATAATATTATTTGTGTCACGACAAATTCACGTCTGTGTCAACCCATGTTCAGTTGATATCAGAACAGTGGCGGATTATGCTTCAGTGGGGCCCTAGGCGCAAATCAAGTTTGGGGCCCCTAAATCCGAAAATTTTCAAAACGGTTATTAGCCCAGTAAAATTAATAGTTTTAGCGTACGGGCGCCGCAAAGTCTACTTCAACATTCGTTTGTGCCAAAAACTCATTTCCACACCACCATGAGGTAGAGTACGTGGCGCGTTTTTTTTTATCGTGGTATCCCCAGTAGGCTAATCCACACGCACTATTTCAAAATTTAATGGATTTGAAATATTTATTTATTTATAATTTTTCGTGAATATTGGATTTACAATTTATATTTGAGTTGACATGTTTCGCCCAGAGGGCATCTTCATAAGTTTATGAAATATAAATTGTAAATCCAATATTCACGAAAAATTATAAATAAATAGGACCGATCGAAATATCACAGGTTAAATTTTCTGCCATACTATCCGCGATGGAATTATCGTTTTCAATGCTATCTTGGTTCTCGAGTTCATCGTACGTGTGCTCAAAAACGGTAATCGTATTTAAATATAAATTACAAATCTACTTTTCTTGCCTTCTCTTGGGCAAAGATTTCAATAATTTTGTCGTACTCTAGTTTTTTAAAAATATCATTTTCTATGAACATTAATGCGAAGTCATTTAAGTGCTCTTGTGAAAGACTATTGCGCAGATAGTTTTTGACTCGTTTTAAAACTGAAAATGTCCTTTCTCCACTTGCATTAGAAACGGGCAAGGTCAAAAAAATTTGCAGTATTGTGTGTATATTTGGAAAAGTTGATTTTAGACCATTTCTTAATGCTGCATACATTTCATGTGGATCTCTAATATTTTCTTCTTGTACGTATTTTAGAAAATGAGTTAACTCATCAGTGAAATATTCTGGCTCAATATCTTTTTCATACTTAGCAAATAATCGCTCTACACAATCATTAGTCTCAACACGGCTTAATTTTAAATCAAAGAAAATTTTAAAATCGTTAAGAACATTGATATAGACATCGCTCCTTAGAGTAATTTCTGATGTTAATACATCACATACAATAAAAAAAATTCTTGACGAAAATGCTGTATCATTTTTGTTCGTTTCATCATATGGATATTTGCGTTTTCTTTGTCTCATTTAGCCTCCTCTTCAACAGTTTCGAAATTATTTCTGACCTCTGTTATAAATTCATTTAATGATTTTAATAAACTAACACTATTAAGAATATTTGTCTTTGGTTCCTGTAAGTATTTGCTGGTAATTTCGATTCTCTGTAGGAGTTTGTTCCAGAAAATATTTAACAGTGCCTTTATAGAAGCTCTTGTTGATTATTGACTGCAGGTTTGAAAATCACCCACGCCAAATCGTCTATGCATAAAACTTCGAGAAAAAACTTTTGTAGAACTAGTGTTGTCGGGGTTGTGATTCAAGACTCACTGACCACTCTCTGTTTTTCTTTTAATCCAACTACCTACCACCCCAAAAATCTAGATAAAAATTGTAGGAGGATAAACGTTGGTACAACGTGTTCCGCAGATGTGAAAAAATGATAGAAAGACGAAATAGTTAATATTCCAAAAAAGAGAGCTACCCGCTATTTTACAACCTCAATGGAATATTCCTCAACTCAAAAAAATTGGCAATACACTACTCGCATTATAGCTATAACTTTCTAATGCAATATTCAAGAAAAGGTCACAAAAATTCGTGGCAGAAAATATCCAAATTTTATTTTAAACAGTTTGTCATAAAGAAATAAAATCGGAGATAAAAAGTTTTAAGTCAGCTATATATCCGTGACGGTTGCTTTGCGGACACGTGTGAAATGCCGTTTTGGGCGCCAAGCGAAAACCGATACGCTATTCATAAAGACTGAGGTCAAAACCAACTGATGAAGTATTTGTGAAATTACTATGTCTATATGGGACATATAAGTGCCAGGGGCCCCTCAGGCAGCCGGGGCCCCCTAGGCAGCCGGGGCCCTAGGCGCGCGCCTAGTGCGCCTAGGCCGTAATCCGCCACTGCTCCATAATCTAATTGCCAAGGAAATCAAGCGCATGGAAATTACAGAACGATGGAAAACTTCTTGCGGTGATGCACACGCTGAATAATTCACTTTCCCAACTCAACTATCTGAGAGATGCAATTACTTGAAATTAATTGATTACAATGCATGCATGACAGTTTTACGATCGGTTTTCTTCGGCAAATATCGTGTGGCAAAATATGACAGTTCGGAAAGTGCACTTATTCGAGCAAATCGAGTGGAATATTTGGCATTCACACATTTTATTACAAACTCCAATAGATTGTAGGAATATCACGCGGGTATATTCCTTTTTCTCCAACGCTGCATCTCATCTCACGGCGGATTCCCTTGGCGTTTTATTTCGCTGCGCAAAATTTCCACCTGCAGCGCGCGCGCGGCAATAAAGCGCCACGCGCTTACACTGTAAATCATTTTCAACATTTTCTGATTTGATCGCGTTGCATAAATATTTGCGCCGGCAAGTAAACACAGTTTCCGAGAAGCAAACATCAAATAAAAATACATTACGTTTTACATTTACATTGCGTAGGTGCACGTCAGCAGGAGTGAATATGGTTATTATGCGCGCAGATCCACTCGTCGATTTTCCGATTTTCCCCTGGAAGCTGCTTTGTGACACGCCCTTTGTTCTGCGTACGATTGCACGATGCAATCGCTTGTAATGCAGTAACATGAATGGACGTGCGGGAGGTTTCTTGCTTTGCCGGCTCTACGTATTCAGGAGCGGATTTCGAAGAAAATCAGCACGGCGAATTTCGAATGCGCCTTTGACTTGGCGCCATGATGCGCGAATGCTACGCGAATCGCTTCCCCTGTTTGCCTACGTGAATATTTACACACGCGCTGCCATTGTCCGACTTTCTTTCATCCTCTTATACCTACGCCGGGGTTTTTTTAATTCAAAAGAACCAAGATGAAACGCACGCGCGCACGAAAATATTGCACACTTGGTTGCCTAAAGCAACCGAAGGCAATGCGTAGCGCCAAAAGGTTTGATATAAACTCCTCGGAATTAAGCGGGCTGCTAAAAATAAAAAAAAAAAATTCATCTCGCGCGCGCACACACAAAGTATTCATCTTGATGTTTTGTCGAAAACCTCCAACGCAAAAGGCAAAACAAACAGTTTTGAGGTCGGAGGGGTTGGCGCACGAGCGCGCCAACATTCCCCGCATCTCCTAGCAGCGAGAACTAGAAAGGAATCTCTCCTGTAGGGTATGTGGTAAGTGCCTACTCATCATCGGAGTGCACACAGGGAAGTGCATGCGCGACGAGGAGGAAGATATCAGCCGACGTGTTTCACAAGGGCTGCACAACGCCCCTCCGCGCGCACACACAAGCGAGCTGTGGAAATTGTCGTGTCGCGAGCGCCACTAAAAAACGCCTAGCTCAATAAAACCGCTCGCTCGCTTGCCTCCCGATGATAAATTCACATCGAGGTCGCGCCGCCGAATTTAATTCCCGCACACACCAATCAAACTGATCGGCGTAAATATTTCCAGCGCGTTTTTTAACCACCCGCGCACGTGTAATTAGCGTTATTCTTTAATGACGACGACGGGCGACGCTCCGCTAGACTCGATTCGTGGTTCTAATTTCGTGCTATCTAATTTGGTGCGCGACGCGTGAACGCGCGAACCAAGGTATCGCGTGCTACGTACAGCGTAATAAAAAATCCAAACGGGCGTTTAAAGAGTGCAAACGGTGTGCGTGGCGCTCTGTGGCAATGTTTAGATAGCGTTTGCGTAACGCACGCGGCGATTAATTATAAATAATTGTCGGGTTGATGAAACGCGCCGGCGATCAAATTCGGCTCTGAGCGGCGCGCGTCAGGTTGCGCGAATTCAATTCCTGAGTCATTCCGTGAATATTGCGGGTGTTTATCTACTTGCCACGGATTACAACGACTTTATCAGCTGATTCAAAATATTCGACTTTCTAAGCTGATGAAAGCAGCTTATCGTTTTGCGCGTCATGAAATGAAATTTTCCTCGGAAAAACAGGAAAATTTTCGCGTGGTGGATGTTGTTGATTCAGCTGCGTGTGTGCGGCTGCTGGTCTTCGAATGTAAAACGGCCCTTACAATGTGCGACAACCCTTACGGCGGCACCCTCGTGCAACGTTGTTCCCCGACCCAAAAGTCGATACGCGGCGCCGCACGCCGAATCACAATAATACGTATACGCACCCAAAACCCGAACCTGAACCTGAAACCCCCGTGTTGGCGCGCGGCGTGCATGAATACTCCCCCCACAAAAAACAATATCGCGCAAATCTTTAATAATTCTCGTGTTTTGTGTAATTTTTTTCGTGGTGTTTAATAGAATAATAGGTGAGGTACTTACGCGGCGATGCTCTTCGACAGCGGCCACCTTTCCATTGACGCCTGATACTTCATGTTCTCTATTTGCTTCTTCAATGCGTCCTTGTCCATTGCTGCGATCGTACTGGCGTCCATCGGGTGGGGTTGGCGGCGTCGGCGTCACGCAAGCGTCGGTTTGTAATACGAGGCGCGGGCGTCTAGGGGGCGCTTGGCAGCGCGCGTCGCAGCTCCGAATCTCGAGCGCGCCGCTGAAAAAGAGCGCCGGTTATTAGACGCGTCGCTAATCAATCAAACGGCGAATCACAGCGCAAACAAATTATTTCGCTTTGATCTCCGGGCGCAAACAACCAGCCAGAACTCAACTCAACTCAACGAACGACTTAATTCAGCATTGCACGCGCAACTGCGCGCCGTCGAGGTGTTTTTGATAAGAAAGCCTCGGCTTGCCTACTCCGCACACACTCGAGTTGTTAACATTTACATTATCACCGACGTGCCACTCCGCCTCGTCACCAGTCGCGGAGAGCCCGGCAACGAAATTAACACTTTTGCGCTCAGGCGACAACCGGCGACACATACGGATTTATTTTCGGATCAACTGTCTCAACGCATCCTCTACACCCACAACAACTCGCAATACGCTGATTCATTCCTTTCAGCCGAAACGCGTGTTTACGACGATAATCCACCGCCGCTTCTATTTACGATCAAATTGCGCTCGAATTAACAATATTAGCTTCGAATAATCGCTCAAGGTAATAACATTTCATTCGAGAGTCGATGTGTCAATATTTGCGCTGCAAATTGATACTAGATATGTGTCGCCAGGTCGATGATGGTAGGAAGAGCGACGCGCACGGGGAAAACTCATTTATTAGGCGATTGTGATGCCGGTGCGGCGGTGTGCTTGTTGTGTTGTATAAATTGTATTAAATTTGTTCAAAAAATTTATTACGACGTCCTTTGAGTCGCCGCATTATTTATAGGACATAATCCGGTTTCATTTTGCGCTGCCTTCGCTGAGGAGCTTATTATCCTTTTCTTGGTACATTGTAAGGATATTGAAAATGTATGCAAGATATTCGCCGGGTTTAACTCTTTTGTTAAATTAATCTTGTTTTGGGTAGAAAATCCTATGTTGGAGATGCTGTACATCTTTTGAACACAGCTATACAACCAGTTATACTCGTTTAATTTAATTTTTTACCGTTTTTGTAACAAAATTCTATGTTGGAGACGCTGTATATCTTTTAAACCCAGTATGAAGACAGTTATACACTTTTAATTTAGTTTTTTTGCCGTTTCCGGAACAAAATCCTATGTTGGAGATGCTGTACATCTTTTGAACGCAGTTATACAACCAGTTATACTCGTTTAATATAATTTTTTACCGTTTTTGTAACAAAATTCAATGTTGGAGACGCGCTATATCTTTTAAACACAGTATGCAACCGGTTATACTCTTTTAATTTGTTTTTTTTGCAGTTTCCGGAACAAAATCCTATATTGGAGATGCGGTATATCTTTTGAACGCAGTTATTCAACCAGTTATACCTGTTTAATTTAAATTTTCGTTGTTTTTGTAGCAAAATCCTATGTTGGAGATGCGGTTTATCTTCTGAACGCAGTTATACTCTTTTAATTTTGTTTTTTGGCGTTTTTGTAACAAAATCTTATGTTGGAGATGCGGTATAAATGTCGAACACTAGTTTAGCACGATAAAAACTTCAAAATTTTACTATTTTCTGCAATTATTACCTTTAAAACGTAACGAAATAAAACGTCGCGAAGCACTGAAGTAGACAATCGAATTACACGTAATTTTCTTTACCGGATCACATAATCTTGTTTGCTCGTTATTGAATTATAGTCATCCCTAGGAAGAGTCTTCAAAAATCAATTCGTCTGGCCTACCTTTCGCTTCAAGCCTCTTCTGGACTGTTTATTTCATTCGTTAGGCATTGATTGCTCCACATTTCATATTTCAATAGATTTCCGAGATGAAATCTCTGATACAAACATAATAAGGACACACTAGACTAAAATTAGCAACGTGAGTTGGGTGTAAATAAAAATCATCTTGCTCTGTTCTCATGGAAACTCACCTCGCAAGTTTGCATGCAATCCGAGCGCTTGTGTGTGCAATTAAACTCTGAGTAAGTCGGCGATTATTCTTCGGAGCACCTCTTTTCCACGGTCCACGCGCTGAACTTTGAAGCACTTCGCAAACCCTTGAAGGTCTGTCTGTTGACGCGCGCGTGGCTAATTCGTGATTCCCGTCGAGCTTGCGTCGGACGTGCGGTGCTCCTCGCTTTGTGGTGCTTCGTCGTCGAAGTCGCATTCACAAGTGATGAACGCCGGGCTTTTTATAGGAAAAATAGGTTTGCGTCATGCAATCTATCTATAATTTACCATCCCCGTGTGTGTATTCCGTGGTAATCTCCATAGAATCGATATTTTACCAAACGTCGCCGTCTCGATCCGTTTCGACTTTTCATAATGCGCTCGCGAGGCTAATACCCGCGGCCTAAACTGCTTACTCGCCGGCCGACACCCTCGCGACGGAAAATGAAAACCCGTTTAAATACCGTACGGCCGGAAGCCGGCTGCGTCGGCGAGCGAGCAAACTCCTGCAAGTCGGGCGCGCGTATTGAATATATCGGATTACATTCTTCGATTACCTGCAATGGTGGGCGGCGTATTCAATTTTTGATATGCGTCTTCCACGCAAACCGTCGGCGGCGTGCATTTGTGTGTGCGTCGGCGGCGTCGAGCAACTCTATTTGCGTTCAGTTTTTCCGCGCAGCAAATCGTCTGCTTCAGATTCCTATCTTGTTATCAACCTTTCTATTTTCTTTCGGATATTCGGAGCCTGATTTACATACCTTAATATTCTCGGTCTGGTTTTTATTTTATTTTTGCTTGACATGCAATTATAAGCCGCACAAAACCTACATTGCGCATGCGCAGTAGCACATAACTATTAACTATAATCAAATAATTTTTTTCCTAAGGTAAAAAGCAAATTTTGGTCTGATTCAGGAGTGGACGAGTTGATATTGTTTACTGTTGTCAAAAATTGGTTAGGAATTCAACAAATCTGGTGTTTCCAGAGCGGAAAACATAATTTGATGGTACCCTTAGTTGTAAAACTTTTCAGAATCATGTTTTTAAGTCGTGGTACCCTCGGTGACTTGCTTTTTATTCAGAATTTCTGTCAATTTGTTATTGTAGTTTACCTTCAGAACCCGGTGCGGCAAAAACATAAGAATATTGGTTGTTGGTAGTTTTGGGGCAATATCTAAAGGTACCCTAAGGTTATTCTTATTTTTCATGCTGTAAAAATCGTTCAGATGAAGTTTTTAACTTGTGGTACCCTCAGCATCAAGATACTTACACTTCTTAGTATGAATTTCTGTCGTTTTTCTCCTGTGGTTTACCTGCAACACTTGGTAAGACACAAAGTTCATTATTAGTAGTTTTGAGAGCAAGCTTTGAAGGTACCCTAGAGTAAATCTTCTTCCCCTGTCTTTAAACATCTTTTTTATAAATTTCTAAGTTGTGGTGCCCTAGAAACCTGAATACTAGTAGATTATAAACCGCCCAAACCCTTTTTTGAAAGTCCATTGCGCATGCGCAGTTGCACATCGCTAATAACTATAATTAAACATTTTTTTCTCTCTCTCAGCTCTCAGCGGTGTTTGTTTTCGTATTTAGTGAATTGATTTGTTACCAACGAAACTCATTAAATCTCCGCCTGCTTAGCTGATGCCCATAAAAAAGACATTCGTGCCTCGCCACGTTGATTTGACTACGACTACGAATTTACTAAGTGTTCGGTGCAAAGTTGTTAATTTCTACAGTAAAAGCAAGCCACCACTCTAGGCGAAGACACATTGTGTGGCACACATGCACGGCACGCACACAGGCACCGCGCCATGTCCATATAAGATAGTGAAAGTGAGTGAAAGTAAACCACTGCTGGTGTGTTGTAGGTACGGACGCAAGACTCCAAACTATGGCCAAACGAACGCAAAACTCGATTCCATCCTGGAGATATTTCATCTAATGCCAACAAGTCGTCGATACATACGATTCGTTTACTGATTTCTATCTTCTAATCAACTCAAATTGAAGATCTGGTACCGCAGGGTACCTGATAATAAAATAAATCATTTTAACAAATTTTTTGTTTAAAAAAATTAATAATTTAGATTTAGGTTGACAACCTAAGTTGATTGTCACCACATGGCAGAAATTTCTTCGCCACAATTTGCAATTATGGCATTTCGAGTGCGTGGTAGGTAATAAATGCACTCGGCGACTTCTAATAATGGTGATCTGCGCCGAAGGGACCTCATTTCTTTTTCGAGGCACTCATTTATTTATTTATTCGTCGAAAGCCGGCGCAACGGAGCGCATGCAATTTGTGGCACGATGACCTTTCGCCACGCACCTGCTACATGGTTACGTGCACAATTTTTTTACATCGCTTTATTCATCCTTTTCATTACGCCTCCGGCACCTAACTCATTCATCACCTGTGGGTTCATTAGTTTGTGTACCGTTTACCGACGAGTACCATCGCATTTTCCGCGCAATCATGACCCATATTCATTTCTTTCAATTCGAAATGAATTCTTCCTCTTTGCCGTGCGTTGTTCGTGACGTGCTGCAACGAAGAAATCCTAGCTGCTGAGCTTTAATAATGTTTGATAGAATGTCTATGACATTTTCCGTCTATTCGACTGTATCTTCTTCCTATTTTCATTTTCCTGCGCCAGTCACATCTCCGTCACAGTCTCACACTCGCATTATGTATTTCCACATTGATATCATCTGCGTGCAAACGTCGTGAAGTCGTGTTTATTCAAGTGAACTTTATAAATTGCTTGTTAGAAAAGTCACTAGCAGAAAGTCTCGTCTGCGTTCGTCTCAACACCGGGCGCGTGTGTTGGCACTTTACATCTTTACTGCGACATCCTTTTGCAATTTCGCACGTCTTATTGCCGATATTCTTCCTTTCCAGCATTCACCAGCGACGCCTCCACTGTCGCGCTCTCAAACTTAATTATTTTTAATGATTAAGTGCTTCGCTATCGATTTATTCGCCGCGCACGACTGCAAATCCATTTAGCGCGCGTTTTACACCGACGCCGCACGAAATTTCCATCAAATATTTACTCCAATAACGGCCCTGACTCACTTGAAACCCGCTCATTACCGTCAGCGGTTCATTCAACGCATTGAAAAAAATACTAATTCAATAGCAATTATAGACAAATCAACAGTTTTTCAAGAGAAGCCAACAATAAATCCGGCGAAAAAAATTACAAAACAATGGAAGAATGAACAATGAAGTTCAGTTGGAGGTGTGTAACAGTTGTAAGTAATTAAAAATGTGCATAGAGATAGCGCTTGAAGTTTACATGTACGAATGAAGTGACCAGCATTCAATGAATGCTAGAAACTTGAATTTTTGTAGAAAATTTATTCGCTGCGTTGCAAGATTTAAAATATGCAGCGGTGATTGAAACCAGACGAAGGTTACCGGCTCGATTAGGCAAGACGCTAACAATACTCCTTTATTCTCGAAGAGCAGAAGGAATTTTCGTGGGTTTCGCGCAAAAAAATCGCGTCGATATGATCGGCGCGAATCGATCAAGTAATATAATAAAATATTTCGTGTTTATTGTTGATAGTGTAACCAGCTTGATTCATTTCGGTTCTCTCCTTGATATTTTATGAAAGGCGCTAACCCGGTAACCAGTTGCTTGGTAATATGTTAATAATATGTGGATTAGTCATCAAATTCAACAGCGCAGGTCGCCTTAAGGAAGTCAATAAAATAAAGTAAATAGCATTGATTCGATAATACAAGCGAACTTTGGTCCGATGAAGGAGTGGACGAGTTGAAATTGTTTCCTGTTGCCAAAAATTTGCTAAGAATTGAAGAAATTGCGTGTTTTAAGAGTGGAAAACAAAATTTAATGGTACCCTTATTGGGAAAATCTTCAGAATTAGGTTTTAAGTAGTGGTACCCTCGGAGACTCGGTTTTTACTCTGAATTTCTGTCAATTTGTTGCTGTAGTTTACCTGCAGGATTTGGTACCGCAAAAACATAAGAATATTGACTGTTAGTAGTTTTGGGGCAATATCTGAAGGTACCCTAGGGTTATTCTTATTTTTCTTGATGTGAAAAGAGTCCAGATGAAGTTTTTATCTTGTGGTACCCTCAGCAACTGGATACTTGCACTTCTTAGTCTAAATTTCTGTCATTTTCTTTCTGTTATTCTCCTGCAACACTTGGTAGGACACAATGTTCGTTGTTACAAGTTCTGGGAGCAATTTTGGAAGGTACCCGATAGTAAATCGTCTTTCTCTGGCTGTGAACATCTTTCCAATAATATTTTTAAGTTGTGGTACCCTCAGCAACTGGATACTTACACTTCTTATTCAGAATTTTTGTCGTTTTCCTTCTGGTGTTTACCTGCAACTCATGGTAAGACACGATATTCATTGCTGATAGTTTCGGGAGCTATTATTGAAGGTACCCTATAGTAAATTTCCTCTCTCTGGCTGTAAACATCTTCCTTATGAAGTTTTAACTTCTGGTACCCTAGGAACCTGGCCACCTTCATTTCTAGCCGGCATTTCGATCGATTTCCTCTGCTGTTGGAAATAATATGCAAGAGGTCAGCAGGCGGCGAGGCAGAAACATGACAACCAGCATTTCCAAGACACTAAACGGCTATAGTCGAGTGCCTCTGACTGTTGCCATGAATAACAAAATAAACATACTTAAAGAAGAACAAGAACAGTGGGACTAGACTGGACTACTCTCGAAGTGAGTAGAACGCGGACAACTTTCCAATTGTTGTGCTTTATGCACGCACGCCTAGCGTGCAGTCAAGTCCGGATTAGCTGCCTTGTGGTCTTTGACGCGCAGTTCGCTCCGAAGGCCCCGAGGTCCGCAATCCGTAATGCTCGAATTATTTAGCGACCACCCGCTACCACACTATAGCAGTGTGCGGGTGCATTAACATTATCGTGAATTATATCGGCGGACATCTAGCGCAGCGATATTTTTCCATCATGTCCAGCAGCAGCACGCACTCGTACCTATTACATATCCCCGTCACCTGGCTTCACTTGCGTCTCTTGGGGTACCCCGCGCGCCGCCGCACCGAGAGCGCTGCCGTTCCGCGGCCTCACCTCGGCTTCTTGCGCCTCTTTAGACCTCCGCAAGAACACCGCCGGAGAGTGGGGCGCGAAACGCCATAACCGTTTACCATTTACTCCAAGACGATTTCATTTATCGTGTTCGTGTTTCTTTCAGATAGTTTAGTGCGTTCAGTTAATTCATACGCAGCGGACACGGCCCAGCGACGGCGTGTGCGACACCATCGATCACCAATCGCCGCCCAAGAATGTAATATCGATCTAAAACCGAGTGCTCGCCGTTATTAACCGTCCGCCAAACTAAGACTCAGTTCACAGGAGATTATAATAGTTGATAAAAGTTTCGTTACGTTCCCGCAGGAAGTTATTATTGCAAACATGGTAAGAGTGACTTTTTTTTTCTTTTGATTCATATTCTATGCATATGCCCTTTACGCTAGACTGCTAGACTGGTGGAGAGAGCTTTACACGCAGAAGTAAAAGGCGGCGATCGAAAAGGTGTCATGCCTCGAGTTAAATGAATTTACAGGAGTTATACTGAAGTAGAAGAGCGATTAAAACGCATTGCGCTTTCGGTGCTAGTAGGTCAGGCTTGTTATTAAGCGAGCGGGCTGACGAATGAAAGACTCACATATTTACGCATACATACACCATGCCTGCACTCTGCAATCTTTGTCATTCGCATACGTGCTTCAATATTACCACTGCGTATCGATCTATTAAATAATAATCATAGCAGCACATTCGGCGTAATTACAAAATCGACCTTTCGTCGTCCAAGCGCAATAAACGCAACTTTTACATTTTAATTGCGTCGCGTTTGGCCTGGGGATCCCCGGTTCCAGTGAAGGAAAGTCCTTAATTAGACTTCGGCGGAGCGTCGTTAAACGACCGCGTGACATTTGAAATTTTTGTTTTGAACTAGCCGATTACAACACGCGCTCGCAAGAAAACACCATACGAATTATCCTTTTGTTCGCTTGTGTAAAATCGGTTGCATGCGTCTGTCTGGTGCTAAGTGATCGTTCAACCATTTGAACTTCTCCGCTGTTTTGTTATGTAACAGCCACCGATCGCGTAATATCGAGCGTATTGGGCTAGCATTCTTCCTCCTCCTGTCGCTCCGAATCGGACGACAGGCGAAAAAACGCGCGGCGCTGACGCGTGACGCTCGAAAATGAAGAATGAAGCATATCAAGATTGTGCGGCAGCATATTGTCGGGCAAAATTTGGCGAAACCGGCTCTGGGATGCATGAACAGCATAAAGTCATAGGTGTAGCAATCGACTAACAAGATTTTTCGTTGAATTTCAACGATTTCAATTCCGAAAGATCTGTAATCTTCAAAGGCATTAAATTTAATTAAAATTAATTGAATTGGGAAACCGTTCGGATGGAATTCGTGTCGCTGGACCTTCAAATCGATACAAGCAATTAGCATTTTTAAGACCACGCGCGCGCGAAAAATGTGAAACGTTCAAGGCCCGGCCATTTCCGCTTTGATTTGCAATCGGGTGCACTTAATTTATTACTCGACGGCCTTAGCGTTTCATAAGTCAAATCTTGCATCATGCCCACCGAAACATATAACTCAGGTTACCGAAGTAACCAAGAGCGCAAAATATGCGCGGCACGCACGCAAATCGCAAAAATCATGCCGCGCGATGGAAAAATTAGAGCGCGCGCGCTGTTTATGCATGTTTTCATATTTCGCAAGCAAATCCGTCACTTGGAGAGTGCTCGAAACAAAATTATGATGTAGAGGCAGACTGCTACCTGGCCATCTGACAAAGACACTTTTCAAATACCAAGGCTGCAATTCGCGCGGCGTGTTTTCGGTTCAATTTCGCGTTTTTGCTACTTCGTAGTTATTCTACGAGTTGTGCCTCCAATGTGTGCATGCTTGATGCTTGACATATACCGTATTTATTCAGTCGTCGTGCCTCGACGTTATGCAATCCGACGAAAAGCAGGCGGACTTTTTTTAATTGCCGCGTTAACATAAATTTGCGAGGCATCGCGACGCGCGCCGCATGCACGACACACACTCACATCTATAAATATTCAGCAGGCTTATCGATTTGCGTGCTGCTGCGGGGAAGAAGTGCGCGGGGAAGGCGCCTGCATCATCTCAGGCGGAGGATACATGCCAAAGATGACAAACTTGTTCTCTCAGCATCAGCGCGCGTTGTTGTTGTTATTTGTCGGCGCGTTTTTTTGTGTGCGCGCGCTGTTTACGACTGGCTAAATTCGAAACTTGCACACGATTTTTGAGCCGCTGCGCACGTGGATTACGAGAATTCGAGGCAATTCTAGCGCAAATTCGTAATTGCAATGTGGTCATTTGGAGCAACGAACTTTCAAGCGACGGGCGCCGTGCAAATTGGGATCATATCGGGCGAGCGAATGCAAACTCGACGATAATTATGCCCGTATTTCTATTCCGCGTGCGTATGTTTCGACTTTTATAATCAACAATTTTAATTTATGGTAATCCGGCCGTATTTATTATAATATCGCAAAGTATAACATTGTTTTGGGTTAACAACTGGTCGAAAAGCGAGTGCAAGCGTTTGAAATTTCAAAAACGCTCAATTTCGTTCGCATTCAGTTCGTTTTACGTTCCACATCCGCCGCGAATTTTACTTTTTGCTACAAAATAAAATCAGAAGAAATCAAATAACAATTCATGATTCATGCATGTTGATCACCACATTGAGTTCTAGTTTTAATGCATGCGTAATGTAATGATTCAATGCAAGCAGTTTTGATTTTTGCATGTTACGAGCGCGTTTTTCATACCATCGGTAAGTAAATGTCACATTGATATTGTTTGACGGCAGCTCTCTCTTCTTCAAGTGTCTAGAGTAAGGGCTGTTAGTGTTATGTTACTCTCCGTCGTAGATCTCTAGCAGTCTAACGCTTTCTCGGCGTTTATTCCTTGTGTCATTTGCACTGCTCCACTTTGAGCTCCACATTCTGCGCCGACGACTAATTGAGTCGTTTGAAGTCGCTCGGCCCCATTGTGAGAAGCTTCGAAACTCAAATGCGTCCACCATCGGCTATCAAACATTTTGTGTTTCGTTATTCGTCGATATCAAAAAAGTGCGTTTGTGTCGACGAAGACATTAGACCATTCGACATTAGCGCGCGCGCAACAATGCAAACTTTCTATTAAAATTTAATATCGCCGGTTTTCGTCGGTTTTATTTACAAGCGTGTTTAACTACTTACATGTTTACAAGGCGAGACGCGAAATGTGCTCGTCGGAGTTCGACAACTTTCGAAACAGCTTAGCGTGTTTGATCAGATCTTTGCCAAAAATCTCGTCGATAGTTCCGCCGTGCGCCCAGCTTGATTGATTCACACACAAACGACTTTTCCTGCTGATGCGTCCGCAGGCCTCCACACCTGCTTACGTAAAAATCCAACCGGTCAGCAGCAGCAGCGGTGGATTCAGACATCGGTTGAGTAACTGCGCGCTTGGTCAATTCGCGAATTCCGCGAAGTCCTGACTTTTCACCATGCAAAGAAACGCGGAAATCTAAAAACAAACAAACACGTTCTTAAAACACATTCGAATCCTTTTAGTCTACTAATAATAATAATCTAATTGTTTAACAAACGTTTTCGGAAGTTGTCGAAATCTTACATGATCCTTTTGTTGCGTGTGTGCCTACTTGTCTGCACCTGTACTTAAACTCTTATATAATCCACGCAGCCGGAACTGTTTATCGTATTACAGGTCCGGTAAAGCAAGTGCGCGCTAATTGAAAATATCAATGTGCACATTCGAAAGGAAAAGTGCGCAATAACTAATAATTACACGTTTTAAACGTGCTGGATAATTTCTCATTGCTGCGCGTTGTTTTTTTTTTGCGCCTTCTTTCTCTTAATAAGAAACTACATTTCTCGTTTCTCCATTGAATGTATTCATTTTCTTATTGTCTTCGGTTTTTTGTCCGCATCCTTTCTTTTTAATCATTGAAAGCGCTAATTTCACGCATCTTCATTGGATGCACAGTTAGTGTCCTCAGGAATTAAAAAAAATAATGAATGGAAACAAGCGAGAGAGGCGCGAAGAGAAGAAAAAACACATCGCACGCCGCTAGTCGCCTTAGTTTTCCAGGCGCGCATATTAATGGTAATCTCCTCATCGAGATTGCATCGTACGTGATAATCACGAAGGCTGCTCGTTAATATTTCATGCAGGGACGCGTCGATTCTAATCGGCAATCGGCTAAAACTAAACGACACTCGATTCGAACAATATACAAAGTCAAACAAAAATTTTTCACTCAAAAAATTTAAAAAAACATTTTTTTTTAATGTTTTAGCTTCAAAAACCTTAAAAATTTTACATTTTTTGTGTTAAATTGTATTTTCTGTAACACCCAGTGTATCCTTGCGTTTCAACATGGCATAAGACGTTGGATGGCATCGCAACACGTCGCTGTGCACTGTGTAGTAATCCACGATGACACGATTCGTGGCCACTGATTGAAAAGCGCTGTAATTCGATCATTAATCCTTGAAAATCGACGCAAAACAGTTAATTGTCCGCACGAATATCGTCATATTCTAATGATGCGACAAACGGTCGTCGATGACGCAAGACGCCGTTTTCACGATTGCCTTCAATGCACCAATTACCCAGCGTTTGACTTTTGACGAAATCGTAAACAACAATTTCTCCAATTTACCGAACAGCAGGACAATCACTCGTGCGGCGTCCTTGGCAGCGCAAAACAATCATGTTTGCCACCGTTAATATAAATCAATAACACGCATTGCACGCCGATAAGTCTTGTTTTTATAACGGTGCAATTAAAACATTCCTCAAATGATAATACGTTCATCATCACATGTATACATTCACTTTTCGTGCGTTGGCATAAATGAATTAATAAACTGTGTGTGTGTGTGTGTTTAAAAGTCACGACATCGCATTAAAACGTAATTAAACAGCGCTTTTACGAAAAGTTTCGGTTCCGCATAGCTGTTATGTATCATAAGCAACGGCTTCAACAGATTCTATTATCTTCGCTCATCTTCTGCGCTGGAAAAAGTCCTAAATTTTTGATTACGCACACGTTCGTATCGGTTTCACGTCTTGTGTAATCTATAACTACATCGATTGTCGCATTATATCATCACGTTGACTCGCTGATATGTCGCGGCGTTGGTCTTTCCACATTTCTTCGCCGAGGTGTTTCAATTCCTCGTAGAAGTGTCTAACCACACGTTCGGTAGTTGGAGGTTTAGTTTTACATAACACCGGCCAAAGGCCTAGAAACTGTAACACGTCGATGTAGAAAAAACGCGCGCGCGTGAGTTTCTCTTCGAGTGCAATTAATTGAAAAGGAAAAGCTTCATCGTTCATTTACATCTGTTTGAAGCTGATACAAAAAAAAACACATAATTTATTATTTCTCTCGCATTGTTTGTGTTTGTTTTCTGATTATGAATATTTTCACAACTTGCATTGTATTGCAAGTGCGACATATTGAATTCCGCGGTTGTGGTTGCAACATGTCTTCTACATAGTAAGCGATTGTGTGGATAAAAGTTGAGTTGAGTCCGATATGTCCGATGGTGGCGATTTGGTGGGACCAGTATGTATAATACTTGTGTGTTGGCATGCGGGCAATATGTTCTAAGTTACGAGCGAGTTATAATTATGCGCCATTCGAAAAATATCTGCAGCTTTCGTAGCGTTCGCGCCGTGGATATTATCGACCAGTGTGTGTGTGTGTTGTGTTTGATTTCTTGCTATCCTTGATACTTTTTTAATTACATTTTGTGCGCGCTGGCGAGAGCGAACTCGCCTCCATCGCGCACCTTTTGCTTTTCGTGCGCATTGTCTGCGATTCGCGTGTATACAGGAAAGAAACGCTATTCACGAACTCACAACTCACTGCAAGCAACAAGAAACCAGTAGAAGTGCCTACCAATAACGCATATTGGCGCTGCTTGAGGAGCTATACTCGTTTCTTTGCTTCCTCTTTCCTGTTCCTCTTAAATGTATTTACTTTTATTTTTTCTTCCGCACCTCTAGAACCTCTCTTAGTTGATTTTTATAAATTACCACTGGTCATACTTGACCTTTTCGGTTTTTTTGCGGAAAAAAAATTTAATATTTGTGTGATTTTGTTGCAGATTCCTGCGAGGTGGTTCCGATGCAGGAACACAATCGCAATCGCACTTATCATCGCTCTAGTTATTGTACAAATTGACGCCGAAACAAAAGGTAAACGTTTTCGTCTTACACGCAGATTTCAAGGCCAATTCTTTGTTGTTTCTTCGATAAAATACAAATTACAGCTCCAAATAATAATAACGACTGAAGGAAATGTTGACCTAGAATAAATCTCTAACTTTTCGCAACTTGCTGCACACTCAACGAAACCGAAAATTGCAATTCAAATCACGCGAGTCAAGAAACTGCAGCTTTCACTGCGTGCGCGCTCACGTTTGTTGCATCTTCAGCCGTCCCTCGCGGCGAACTTTGGCTTCTTCTTCGCTTGTCGCGGCAAGAACCAAATTGACATCATAAACAACTACGCGGCGAGAAAACGCGCGAGAACCAGGCTCAGGCGGATGCGTGGTGATTGTGCTCGCAGCCACGGCCTCGCAACACACACAACAATGGCGTCGTCGGCTTGTACCCCTTTGTTTCCACGATTTAACAATCGCATTGTGCACTTCTTGCGCAAAAACAACTTACTCCTCTCGGCGGCGCGAGGAGTAAGTACACATTTTCGCGTTTCGTGTTTGCTTTTTTTTTTCATTCTCTCGACAGGCAAATAATGAAAACCTTGGCATAATTGAAAGTGTATGTGTTTTTTTTTTTCTGTTGTTTGCATACAGTGACGCGGCGTAGATTAAGACGCCCGCAGACTTCTGTCACCTCATCGGTGTCGACAAGTGGTGACCAGGAGGTGTCAGCAAGCGTCAACCGCCTGCGGACACGTGGTAGAGGTGGATCAAAAAAGACCAGCGATAATACAGTGGCCGCTGCCACCAGCGTCAGCAAAAAAGATAAAGATGGATACAAAGTGGTCTGTTACTATACGAATTGGTCCCAATACCGACCAAAAATCGGAAAATTCACACCGGAAGACATCACGCCTGATCTATGCACACATATCATCTTCTCATTCGGCTGGTTGAAAAAGGGTAAACTTTCGTCCTTCGAGAGTAATGACGAAGCGAAGGATGGCAAGACAGGTCTCTACGATCGCATCAATAAATTGAAGAAAGCAAATCCATCATTAAAAACCCTCCTAGCCATTGGTGGATGGTCCTTCGGCACCCAGAAGTTTAAGGACATGTCGGGTACCCGCTATGCTCGCCAGACATTCATCTACAGCGCCATTCCATTCCTGCGAGACCGTGGTTTCGACGGATTGGACATCGATTGGGAATACCCGAAAGGATCCGACGACAAGAAAAACTACGTTCACTTATTGAAAGGTCAGTACATGTTGATTTCCAGCGCGGTTTTCGGCTGCATGCGCGTTCTAATTGCATCGCCAACGTGAAACCCCATCGTTTTCGCGAATAATATTTATTATGTTATTAGACCGCAACTTTCTACTGTAATGATAATCATTACTCGTCGCCGGCGTGTGTATTGGCAGTACGCACAATTCAATTAGTTACTTTCGATGGCGTCGTGTGAGTCGCGCGGAATAAAAGGAAAATCATTTGAATGCGCGCCGTATGTCGGCGTGTGTGCATATGGGAACAAGGTTGAAGAAAGTCCACTGCTGAATTAACATACTCGTTATACAGTTCGGTGTGTCGTGACTAAAATGTCGATACTCTGTAATTTTCGTCTCCCTGGGTGATTCTAATTTCAATTTTTTCGTTTGGCAGAATTACGAGAGGCGTTTGAAGCCGAAGCGCAAGAAATCAAAAAACCCAGGTTGTTGTTATCTGCAGCTGTGCCTGTTGGACCTGATAACATCAAATCTGGTTATGATGTACCAGCAGTCGCCTCCTATCTGGACTTTATTAATTTGATGGCGTATGATTTCCATGGTAAATGGGAGCGTGAAACAGGTCATAATGCGCCGTTGTACGCACCGAGCAGTGACAGTGAGTGGAGGAAGCAGTTGTCCGTTGATCACGCGGCTAATCTCTGGGTTAAACTGGGAGCACCTCGTGAGAAACTCATCATTGGTATGCCCACCTATGGCAGGACCTTTACGTTGAGCAATCCAAGTAAATACTCCGTTAATTCACCGGCTAGTGGCGGGGGTAAGGAAGGTACCTATACCAAAGAAGGTGGTTTCTTGGCTTATTATGAAGTGTGTGAAATGTTGCGTAATGGTGCGTCTTACGTCTGGGATGAGGAGATGAAGGTACCCTATGCGGTTCATGGTGATCAATGGGTTGGTTTTGATGATGAGAAGTCCATCCGGCATAAAATGAAGTGGATCAAGGAGGGTGGGTATGGTGGTGCGATGGTATGGACGGTGGACATGGATGATTTCTCTGGAACTGTATGTGGAGGTAATGTGAAGTATCCGTTGATCGGTGCTATGCGTGAGGAGCTTCGTGGTATCTCCAGAGGCAAGGGAGCTAAGGATGTGGATTGGTTGGAAGTTGCTGGTACCATTGAGGAAGAAGAGGAGATTGAGAAACCTGCGGCTGTGAAGGTTCCAGTGTCTGATGTTATCAATCGAATTAGGAAACCCAACAAGAAGGTGGTCCACAAAGGATCATTGGCTTTGGATAAAAATAGTAAGTTTTTTTTATCTCCTCCATAAGTAGGAAACCCCTGATTATGAATTAATGTGATTTATAGCACGTGGACCACAAGTCTTCTGTTACATCACCAGCTGGTCCCAGAAACGACCAGGTGCTGGTAAGTTCACACCTGAGAACGTCAACCCCAGTCTCTGCACACATATCATCTATGCCTTCGCCACATTGAAGGACTTCAAACTTGCTGAAGCTGATGAAAAAGATGAAGAAATGTACGAACGTGTGATTGCTCTCCGTGAAAAGAACCCCGAACTACGCGTGTTGTTAGCTATTGGTGGATGGGCTTTCGGTTCCACTCCATTCAAAGAACTCACCGGGAACACTTTCCGTATGAATCAATTCGTGTACGATGCCATTGAGTTCTTGCGTGATTACAAGTTCAACGGCCTGGACGTTGACTGGGAATACCCACGAGGTGCGGACGACCGCGCCGCTTATGTCAATCTGTTGAAAGAACTCCGATTGGCGTTTGAAGGCGAGGCGAAGACCAGCGGACAGCCACGACTTTTACTCACCGCTGCCGTACCAGCATCCTTCGAGGCCATTGCAGCCGGATACGATGTCCCAGAGATATCGAAATACTTGGACTTTATCAATGTGATGACCTACGACTTCCACGGTCAGTGGGAGCGTACGGTCGGACACAATTCGCCATTGTTCCCCTTGGAGAGCGCCACAAGTTACCAGAAGAAGTTGACCGTTGATTTCTCGGCCCGCGAGTGGGTGAAACAAGGCGCGCCCAAGGAGAAACTCATGATTGGTATGCCCACGTACGGCCGCAGCTTTGAATTGGTCAATGTTACCCAGTTTGATATCGGGGCACCTGCCTCCGGAGGTGGTACCCCCGGAAAGTATACATCCGAAGCGGGTTTCATGAGTTTCTATGAGGTTTGCGACTTTTTGCATGAAGATAACACAACATTAGTGTGGGACAACGAGCAGCAGGTACCCTTTGCGTACAGGGGTAACCAATGGGTTGGATTTGATGATGAAAGGAGTTTAAAAACCAAGGTAACATAACCCCCATAATCCCCAACATCAAATAAATACAATAAAAACGCTTTATTTCTCTATTTAGATGGCATGGTTGAAAGAAGAAGGCTTTGGTGGTATTATGATCTGGTCCATGGACATGGACGACTTCCAGGGACAATGCGCAAGTGGTAAATACCCGCTGATTCAAGCCATGCGTCAGGAACTCGAAGGATACAAAGTGAAACTTGAATTCAACGGGCCTTTTGAAAGCTCCAACCCAATTGGGCAATACACAACAAAAGATCGTAAGTGAATACAATCAAAAACAAGAAAAAAGTTAAAAACCTAAAAAAATCTTCTAGCTAACGAAGTGACGTGTGAAGAAGAAGACGGTCACATCAGCTACCATCCAGACAAGAACGACTGCACGAGATACTTCATGTGTGAAGGGGAGCGCAAACATCACATGCCCTGCCCGTCGAATCTCGTCTTCAATCCCGACCAGAACGTCTGCGACTGGCCGGAGAACGTCGAGGGCTGCATGCAGCACACACCGGCGCCGGCACGATAGAAGCACCCACAAACGGAGAAAGAACCTACACCTACACTCACACACACATTACACACACACAATGCCTGTACATCGAGATGACGCGGTGGGGTCTGTAAAATACTAAATAGAAAAATGGAAACTGGTACTGTGATCGCGGTTACTGTGTTGTGTTTTTTTATTTATATACTCTCTTCGTTCGCAAATGTTTTCTTCCAAAATACATACGATAAAATTACTTGTTTTATAAACAGTTAATTAACTTTTATATTTAAACTTAATGTACGTTTAGTATTATTATTCGAAGATTTATTATATGTACGTGTATGTTTTCATAAGAGAATTTTAAGTATTAATGTTGTGACGTTGTATTGAGCCAAAAAAATACCCGAATCAAATGTTTGGTCGAATTTATTTCAATCAATTAGTTTAGTACATCTTGCTTGTAGAAAAGAAACAAAGGGGAAAACTTAATCGGAGTTCGACGATGAGCTCGAAGACGATTGCGGTGAGTATCTTCGCTTTTTCAGCTTGCGATGCCTCGATTTCGAATCAGAATAACTACTGCGATGCTTAGATGATCTAGAACTGCTTAAAAATTGATAAAATCAAGTAAATTTATATATTTTATCAACTCTTACCTTTTATGTTTCGATTTACTTCGTTTTTCGCGTTCTTTCGGTTTAGTCTTAATCTCGCCCTCTTCCGGATCGGATTCACTGGGCGTTGTTGCATCGTCAGTTCGGGAACGCTCATCTTTATCATCAGCTTTGCGCTCCGATTGCATTTTGAGGAACAGCGCGGCGCGTTTGCGACGTTCCGCTTGCAGCGCACGTCCGCGCACAGCTGATGCCAGTCTGTCTTTGATGCGTTCCTCGGCGAAGCGAGTCAAGCCATTCTTTTCTACGAGAGCCTCCTCGGTGAGATCAATCATATCTATGATCGAATCTGCACTTAATACCTTACCATTTGTTACAGGAGCGCTATCTGTGGACGTTTTGCCAGTGGAGTTCTCCACTTTCGGTACCAGCTGTACCTTTGAAGGCACCTTACTACCTGAGTCCTTGGACGTTGCGCCTTCTTCGTCGCTCTCCTCAAGCGGCAGGGCGCTTTTTATGTCTTTCTGTGGTTCCTCTTTAGGTTTTTTTATTGAGAAACTCACAGCAGCTATAATTGAATGTTTAGTTAATTAAATTTAATATTATTTCAGAAATTTGTGATAATTTGTAAACATACCCAATACTTTCGACTCTTTTTGTTTCGGTTTTTTTTTCTCAGGCTCTTTTTAATAACCTCAACACTCGGAGGTGTTGGCTTAGGTTGTGTGGATTGAGATTGTGAGATATTGCTTGATTTCGACCTGAATTCATTGACTTTGTACTGATAGTACTTGTTGTATTTGTGAGAATCATGCAGGAAGTCAAAGCGTGGATCACCCTTCTCCTTGACGCTTTGCTCGAAAGAAGGGCCATTTTCGAGACGTACGTCGCCATTTTGTCCACAATCAAGGCAACATCTTTCGGCGGGATGATAAACGTACTCTTTCATCCGTTTGGGATTCATCCTCGTCCAGTTGATCGTCCGAATCACTACTGTAATGCACCAAACTGAACTTTTGTTCTTTTGGTTCCACTTTCGGTTCGGGCTCGGGTTTTGGTTCGTCTCCAGTGGTTTTTACAGTTGTGGTGTATTGAGCGCAAGCTGCTTGCGCATATTGGACAGCTTGCTGTTGTATTTGCTCTTGCAAATGAATGTTTTGAAGAATTACATTAATATCACAATTTCCTACAACAGAAATCATGGGTAACGCGATTATTTATCAATGATTTAAAATGAAATGAAAAAATCAAAGTAACCATCTTTTGTTTGTTTGTTTTCGGTAACCATCACCTTTTAGTATTTGTTTTGTGTTTTGTGTATGTGTCAACGAGCGTCATTAGTTGATTATAGTAGTTACCCTGTGTAGCATACTGTTGAGCGATCTGATGATAGAACTGGTAGTACTGCGATTCATAATACTGGTTGTAGTTATCCGACATTTCCTGCTCCTGCTTCTGCGTGGATGGCGCCGTCTCATCGTGTTTCTCCACGGACCCCTTGATACGTGAAACCAGCTGCGTGTACGCACAATCCGCCGTCGGTTTGTACTGCAGCGCGGGCGCCGGCGGCGCCATGGCGTTCACCTAAACAAATAAGCCAACTTTAGAAGCAATGCGCGTGACGATCGCGGACCGCGCCACCACCCCGACAACTCCAATTCGCCACGATCTCATCATCATCTCAGCAAACTATCGGAATGCAAAACAAACGCGTCGGATCGTTTTTTTGGTTTTGGTTTTGGTTTTGATGTGTTCAAGTGAAAAGGAACCAAAATACAGCGAGAGTAACAACAGAACGGTCGGAAAAATGAATCAAAAAACAGTGTATGATACAAACTGCGCTTAATGAAGAAGACATATTACGTTCAAACAACATACCATCAGCACGCACAACCGTCGACAAGGCCGAAGACGCATTTCTGCGCCCGATGACTGAATAAACACATTTAGAGCTAGATATTCGAATCGTGAATAGAGATAGAATCAAATGAATGTCGCAATTAGTCGATTCGGCTGGTCGGTGCCTCGTCAGCTTACCGTTTGGGCCGCGGGCAAGCTCGTGACGGTCGTCGCTAGCAACGGATGCAAATAATGATCGCTCTCGCCAGCATTTACGCTCGCACTTGCTGTATTATCGTCGCCATTTTCTTCTAATGTTCCCTCTTCAAATAAAAACACATATTTTGTAATAAAATTGCATAAAATCACCTAAAAACACATTAAACTAACCTTCTTGCGGTTTATACTGTCCGGATTTAATGGAATTTAACAAATGTCGGTAGTATTTCTGCAGTGGATCATCTTTATTCATAAAAGCAAACTGTGGATTGTTACTCTGCTTTGCTTTTATCAATATCTCCATCTGTGGGCCTTGCCGGGACACAAACTGCGCGGTTTTCTCAATGCGCGCGTTTTCTTTCACTGTTTTCGGCTGTTAAACAAAATAATCTTATGAATTTTGTTATTTTACATGCAAATATTCAATATACAATCACTATATCCACAGGCACATCCAATCCTTTTGGTGGAATGAATTCTTTGTCTTCTTCCTCACAGGTAGACACTACAGGATTGTTACTTTCCTCTGACTCGGCCGCGCGCATCATAATTATATTGAAATTCATTTGCTTTCTGTCTTTTTAATTCCTCCTCTGATAAAATTCGAGATATTTTTGAATTGAATAATAGAAATAATGAAATAATTGTACCTTTATACACGTTTTCTTCCTCTTCATTACTGTGTAATGAATAATAACGTTCTTCATCACACAGCTGCTCAAGTTTCCTTTCAGCTTCACTGCGACCCAACCATCTTGTAGCATCATAGCCCTCACGAGACGCTTCACAGCTTGATAAATCGGACAAAGCCCCACGTCCATCATAGCTAAACATATAGATTATGATATTAGGTTATAATTGACTGCATTGGTATAATATTACCGGTCTATTTTGAGTCGTTCGTCGCCCATCCATGGTATCAAATGTTTGCCTTGGTCAATGTAGAGCGCACGCTCGTCGTCTCGGAACAGCTTGCACGCATACCCGAACACCAGCAGGTCGTCAAAATTCTCCTTGGTTTTTTTCTTGCGCAGGATGCCCGTTTCGCCCCATTTGGACGTCATTCTTACTGCCCATTAAATTAAATAAACAATTCTTGAAGGTAGGCAGGTTGGCGTTGAAGGTAGCTGGTATTCGATGGCCAGTCACCGCGCGTATTGTGTTAGGCTTCGCGTTTGGGGACAGCCAGTCCGGTTGTTGTTGTATGTTGGGTTGCCTAGAAAGAAGTAAATCATCGGTGATAATCGCCGCGTTTCGTTATTATTCATGCTGCTTCCCATGTGGACGTTGCTTGGTTAACACAATTTGTTGACTCTGAGGTGAATTCGGCAAAGTTTGAGTTTATTTCAAGATGACAACGAAAACTACGTTTCGTGCACCTTCTGGTATTTGTACAGACTGCGGTTCGATTCTTCCGCTTGTGCAAAGAACCGGTAATATTTGTTGTTACACTTGTAAAAAAGAATATCCAGTGGATGGTAAGTGTTATTTTAAAGTTATTCTGTATTTAAATGAATATTAGAGAATGTTTTGAATGTTTTTTTGTGTTTACAGTGTTTGGTGATCAGGCTATACAGTATACAATCAATTTTAACTCATTGGAGACCTGTAAAAAGCAGCAAGACAGTGAAAACCAGCAAAAGAATAAAAAGGGTGATGAAGATGAAGAAGAAGGACCTGTTGTTGAGCGCAAATGCCCGAAATGCGATAATAACCGCATGTCTTATGCTACTCTACAGTTGAGATCTGCTGATGAAGGCCAAACAGTCTTCTATACATGCACAAAGTGTAAATTTAAAGAAACTGAGAATTCGTAGTGTTTGTCAAGTGGCTGTAACTTGTTATTTTTACATTAAATGGTTTGTATCAAGACGAGTGGCTTGGATTTGTGCACGCTTAAAATTCCAGGCTATTTCGGTGGATCCTGCGAGATGCAGGACACAATCATATCGACGCGGCGAGGCGAGCAGATGGCGCTAAGCAGGGCGGACGCGAGAGGCGCTGCGCGCGATTCGAGCGCACACGACGGCAGCGGTCGCTGGCCGAGCGAGAGTTCGCTGCGCTCGTCGGAGGTGCGGACGTCGTACCGTACATCGCCTCCGCCTCCCTGCCAACGACGAATCGACGGGACGTGACCCCGGACACCACCCTCGCGGCGCGCGGCGAAGACATGTAGTGCGAGTGGCAGTGTTCGAAGCAGCTCCTCCGCCCTCAGTCGCGACTCCCGGCAATCCTGCAGCGCGCGAGCGCCCCGTGCGAGGCCAGCCAGCCAGCGAGCGTGTGTGAGTGCCGTGCCGTGCCCGGTCGCAGCAAGCAGGAGCGCCCCGAGCGCCCGCCACCCCGATACGCGACCGCGGCGGCCGTCCAGGCGCGTCCGAGCCTGCTGCAGCGGTGCGCGGCGGCGCACGCCATGGCCCCAGCCGCGGTGCGGCGGCCTGCGGGCGCGACGGCGGCGTAAACATGGCGCGTGTATAGCGCAGCGCGCGGCAGGAAGGCTATACGCCGTGCGACGCACGACCACTGCGAGTGCAATTCGCGTGCGCGTGTGCGTGCCAGTAGTGTATAAACAGCCGAGTGGCCCGAGAATGACGCCCTCCGTGCGTGTCCTGCTGATGTCGATGTAAACAAACGCACCGCGAGCGCAACCAGCAACGGCGTTAAGATGGCCGACCTGGAGGCGGTGCTGGCGGACGTCAGCTACTTGATGGCGATGGAGAAGAGTAAGTGCACGCCGGCGGCGCGCGCCAGCAAGAAAATAGTGCTTCCCGACCCCAGGTAGGTACCACCCGCCGCTCCCCACCTTATCAAGCACTCATCGCACTCTGATTTCGGTTGCAGCGTTCGATCCGTGATGCACAAATACCTCGAGAAGAAGAACGAAGTCAATTTCGACAAGATTTTCCACCAGACACTGGGTAAGCCGCCGCCCCCGCCCCCTATGGCTTAATAAAACCGCTTTGACGCGCTTATTCTCTCTCTCTTTTGCAGGCTTCCTGCTGTTCAAGGACTTCTGCGAGAGCAGCGTCTCCGAGGTTCCGGTGCCGCAGCTGCGCTTCTATGAAGAGGTACGTTATCGCCGGCGGCGGCGGACGTGTCCGCATTGATTTCCAGTCGCCGCCGGCGGCGGCTGAATGCGTGTTGACAATGCGACAATCGCGCATTCAATATCTAGGACACTATATTTATACTTTGATTGTTTTGAAACGGGAGCCTATCGCGCGCCCGCCGCCCATTGACAGCGTGAATGCATCGTCCTGCGGCCGGTTTTAATTAGTCCCGCGCGGGCGGCATTCAGCGCTAATGGGAGCGCGCGCGCGCTGAATAGTTTTCGATTCGCGTGAATGCCCCGGCCGCTAATGGAATTTTTAATGCCTCTTCCATTTGTGTGCCTGCAGATCAAGCAGTACGAGAAGCTGGAGTGCTCCGAGGAGCGCATGAAGCAGGCGCGCGATATCTACGACAACTTCATCATGAAGGAGCTGCTCTCGCATTCGCACGTAAGTTTCGCGCGCTGTCCGATGCGCGGCTAGTAGCCGCCGTTCGGCGCGCGATCTATTTTCGAATTGTTTATTTATGCGAGCCGCCAATTTCCATATGCTTAACATTTGTTTCGACGTGTGCCGCGCAGGACTATTCCAAGGAGTGCCTGCAGCACGTTCAAAAGCATCTCATGAAGAACGACGTGCCGGTTCAGCTGTTTGAGGTAATACGCATGCGCGCGCGCACGCATTCGGCCATGTTTTCAAACTGTGTGCTCATGCTTCCAGCCGTACATCGAGGAGATCTACAACCAGCTGCGCGATGAGCCCTTCAAGAAGTTCATCGAGAGCGACAAGTACACGCGCTTCTGCCAGTGGAAGAACCTGGAGCTGAATATCCAGCTGACGATGAACGATTTCAGTGTGCATCGCATCATCGGCCGCGGCGGGTTCGGCGAAGTGTACGGCTGTCGTAAGGCCGACACCGGTAAGATGTACGCCATGAAATGCCTGGATAAGAAGCGTATTAAGATGAAGCAGGGTGAGACACTTGCGCTCAATGAGCGCATCATGCTGTCGCTGGTGAGCACCGGCATCGACTGCCCGTTCATCGTCTGCATGACCTACGCCTTCCACGCCCGACAAGCTCTGCTTCATTCTCGACCTGATGAACGGCGGCGATCTGCACTATCATCTCAGCCAACATGGCGTCTTCAACGAGAGCGAGATGAAGTTCTACGCCGCTGAGGTCATCCTCGGCCTGGAGCACATGCATCGGCGTTATATTGTCTACCGCGACCTTAAACCCGCGAATATTTTATTGGACGAGCACGGACATGTACGTATCTCCGATCTGGGTCTTGCCTGCGATTTCTCCAAGAAGAAACCGCACGCCAGCGTCGGTACGCACGGATACATGGCGCCGGAAGTGCTGTCAAAAGGCACGCCGTATGACAGCAGTGCCGATTGGTTCAGTTTCGGCTGTATGCTGTACAAGCTGCTGAAGGGACACTCGCCTTTCCGTCAGCATAAGACAAAGGATAAACACGAGATTGATCGTATGACGCTCACGATGAATGTTGAGCTGCCGGACGCGTTCAGCAAGGAGCTGAAGTCACTGCTCGAGGGTTTGTTGCAACGCGACGTTGACAAACGCTTGGGTTGTCGCGGTGCTGGCGCTGACGAAGTGAAAGAACACGCGTTCTTCGCTGGTATTGATTGGCAGCAGGTGTATCTGCAGAAGTACACACCGCCGCTGATCCCGCCGCGCGGTGAAGTCAACGCCGCCGACGCCTTCGATATTGGCAGCTTCGACGAGGAAGACACCAGGGCATTAAGCTCACCGACACCGATCAGGAGCTCTACAAGAACTTCCGCTGGTGATCAGCGAGCGGTGGCAGAACGAGGTGGCCGAGACGGTCTTCGAGACGATCAACTTCGAGGCGGACAAAGTCGAGCACAAGAAGAAGGCCAAGCACAAGTACAAATTCGGCAATCTGGACGAGAAGGAGTCCGATTGCATCCTGCACGGGTACATAAAGAAGCTGGGCGGGCCGTGGACGTCCTCGTGGCAGATGCGCTACGCCAAGCTCTACCCCAACCGACTCGAACTGCATCCGGACAGCGCGAAACCCGAAATGGTGTTCATGGACCAGATCGAGGAGGTCTCCTCCGAGCTGACGCAGGTGAAGAACGAGAAGTGCATCGTGGTGCGCATGCGCGACGGCAAGATCGTGCTCACGAATCCGGACGAAATCGGCCTAAAGGAATGGCTCACCTCCCTCAAGTCGGCGCACAAGCAGAGCCAGGAGCTGCTCGGCTCCATGGCGAAGAAGGCGGGCAAGATCTACGGCACCACCGACGCCACGCCCGTCAGCGTCAACAACAAGAACGTCTTCGGCAATACCAACGGCAACTGATTGCAGATCATCATCCGCGCGACCGAATCAAACGTAAACCAGTAAAATGTACAGTAATTTATAAACACAACAAGCAACATGATGTAAGTAGCGTTATGGTAAGTAAGCGACGTAAACACAACCAACCGTAGCCCAGCAGCAAGTGGATATTCTTTCTCTAGTTTTACGACTTCTTCAGTTCGATAAACATACATGACAGTATTATTTAACACGCGGCGCGTGCGCCCGCCCGCCCGCCATCTTCCCACCACCCTCTAGGATACAGCGTGCCAACATATTTTGATTAATGACAATCCGAGACGTGTCGAGCGAGAAGCCTAAGCAACAAAATGCACACACACACACAAAGCTAAACAAACAAACAAACAAACAAACGGCATTTAATTAATGAACATGAATTAAGTTAATCGATTGATTGTGTAAAAAGTATTCGTAGCCATGTAACACATGTCTGTCTCTCTTTCTCTTAACGATCCCTATGACCTTATTCTTTGTATTTAACTTAATTTTATCGATAAGGTAGGAAGCAAATGAAACAAGTAAAGTGTCTGTATATATATATTACGTGTATAGCAACAATGTGGTCAATTTTGGTGCTTACCATATTGAAATGCAAGGCAACACATGGACATGAATGGTAATAAAGTGATTTATAGATTATCCCAGCGCCTGTTTCTTCGCATTTCACGCCAGCAGGACCAAATTGACAACGTAGACATGAGTAGTTTTAATATATTACAAGAGATTTATATATTTTATAATTGTATATTACAAAGAGTCGTCATCATGCGAGGGGAAATGTGATCCGCCTGGAATTTCTCCTGATACTATGTCCTCTGCAGATTTCACGCCGAATTGCAGCTTGACAATGTAAATTTTTCGGTTGGACATGGCAATAATATAAGCGTGGTTGTCATAGGTGAGACTTAGCCTCTTGAACTGCTCGTCGCTGCTCCCGGGGAAGATATCACTGTGCTGGCAGAGTGTGAGCAGTGACATTATAATATCAGCCGTCTTTTCGTCGTTTTGTAAGTCGCCATCGGAGCTTATCACGGCGCCATCCTCGTTCAGCAGGAGGAAACCCAGCTGACCCGGCTGATTTCTGCAATACTTCTCCATGTTGTGTTTTTTTTTGCCTGGATATACAAGTGTGTTTAGCGTGGTGAATGAAGTGTGTTTTGATTGTTACTTACGTGTTGACGTGCAGATTATTTGTTTATGATTGTTTACGATTAATAACCTCTGCAGAAAACCACTGACAAGCAGAAACTTGATATTATTCTGATGTTATTGTGATCGTGTTGCGAAGTGTTCATTGGGTTGCCTACACGGAAAATATAAAACTATGAATGTTTTATTATTATTTTTTGTTATAATAAATAAAATATTGATTGTTGTGTGTTAATAAGAATTAAATTTATAATATTTGTTGATTATTATTGTATTTAGTTAAATATTTCTTGTTAATAAATGAAGTTTTTGTGCTGCGCATGCGCGTAAACTCGACGGGCAGCCATTGCACCTTTCGACTTCGCAGCAGACGACAGTTTCCCATAGCACTCCAACGAATTTGTAATTTTGGAAACCGTCTTCAAGAGAATGGCTTCTGTAATCACCCACGCTGCCAAGCGTTTCCTGGCCACCCAGGTGCGCGTCCAGGGTCCATCCGCTGTCTCCGGTGGCCACGAAGGTGATGATTTCTCCGTCATTTCTAACCTATTGATTATTACATAAGCCCTGTGTGCATATAACATTTATTTTTCGTCTATAATCTAACGTTGTAAATCTTCAGGTGGCTATAAAGTATGGCGCAACATGACCTTCTTCGTCGCATTCCCTGCGATCGTCCTCTGCGCTGTGAACTGCGTCATGGCACACAACGAGGGCGGCCACGCGCGCCCTGAATTCGTTAAGTATGAGTACCTCCGCGTGAGGACAAAGCGTTTCCCATGGGGCGAGGGCAACCGCTCGTTGTTCCACAACCCGCATATGAATGCCCTGCCCGATGGCTATGAAGAAGAGCATTAGATAATAGCTGTGAACACAGGTAGTACCAAATTATTATTGTCATGATTACTGTATAAAAATAAACACATAGAAATACAATGCATCTTCAGGTTGTATTTGCACATAAATTATTAAATATTTCGTTTAAAATGTCAAGTATTTTGATTAATCATGGACAAGAATCATGCATGTGGGTCAGAATCAGTGAAAATCATGCTTAGATCAGTCAATTAAACCAACTAATCACACCTTGCTTTTGTTTCAATGATTGTAATAATATTTTCTAGGAAAAACAGGGATTTCCCCCGAAATTGTGCGTTATAATAACGTATATATGTTCTAATATCCTTCCTATATGTATTTTTAAAAATTATTATTTAAGACTAATGTGTTTACCCCTACTACTTTGTTAAGGTTGACTGAGGGTGTAAAAAAAACAGATTTCTGGGTTTATACAATGGTTATTCCCCTTCAAAGTTTAGTTTTAAACAAATGCTTATATTTAAAGATACTTTAGTGCGAAATACACAATATAACGCGTTTTTAAACATGTGAAACGCTTCAAAATAGTTATTTTCATGTGTGCAGCAGGATTTGACTGCCTTGACTGCCAGTCTGCCCGCACAGTCATGTTACAAACCTGCTGCGACTACAGCGCCATCCGTCCACAGACCGTGAACTAAACAGAGTGGGTGGTTGATAACATAAGCCGCGCTGGCCCAATCAGAACGCTCCACATTCAACGCGCTACACGAATAAAATCGGCGTCTGGCCGCCGTGTCACATCTCGAGCAGACGTCGTTGTGTCCGGCCGGTCTTCGAGCGAAAGTACACGTTTTGAGGTTTGAACATCGTCGCACCGGCCACAAATACCATAAAAACCCACCGGGAAGAAAACATGCTGCTGCTCTGGACGTGTTTGCTGGCGGCGACGTCGGCGAGCGCGCTGTATACGTCATCTTCAGGTGTCGTGGACCTCACCGCCGCCAACTTCAACAAGCTGGTCGTCAACTCCGACGAGGTATGGCTGGTGGAATTCTACGCACCATGGTGCGGACACTGCAAGAACCTTGTACCCGAGTATCAGAAGGCAGCGAAGGCACTGCGCGGCGTTGTTAAGGTAGGTGCTGTTAACGCCGACGAAGAGAAGTCTCTCGGCGGTCAATTCGGCATTCGAGGATTCCCAACGATCAAAATCTTCGGCGCGAATAAGAACACTCCGGAGGATTTCAACGGAGCGCGTACTGCTGAAGGTATGGTAGATGCAGCGCTCGCTGCAGCAAAGAAAAAAGTAAAAGTAGCACTTGGAGGCGGTGGCAGTGGAGGATCTTCTGGTTCATCAGGCAGCGGTGGAAATGATGTAGTTGAATTAACAGACGCCAATTTTGACTCGAAAGTACTCAACAGCGATGATATGTGGCTGGTGGAGTTCTACGCGCCGTGGTGTGGCCATTGTAAGAACCTCGCGCCGCACTGGGAGAAAGCCGCTGGTGAGTTGAAGGGTAAAATCAAGCTTGGCGCACTCGACGCCACTGTACACACATTGAAAGCACAAAAGTACGGCATTCAGGGATACCCGACTATTAAATTCTTCCGTCCGGGTAAGAAAACCGACGCTGAGGAGTATGACGGCGGACGCACAAGCAGCGATATCGTCACCTGGGCCTTGGATAAACTCGCCGCCAATGTCCCAGCGCCTGAAATCGTACAAATCACTGATCCTGCTGTATTTACAAAGAATTGTGATGCCAGTATTCCATTGTGTGTTGTAACTGTACTTCCACACATTTATGATTGTCAAGCGAAATGCCGTGATGAATATCTCGAAGTCCTGCGTTCACTGGGTGAGAAATACAAGCAGAAGATGTGGGGTTGGCTGTGGACGCAAGCAGGTGATCAGTTAGCTCTAGAAGAGTCTTTGGACATCGGCGGTTTTGGTTATCCTGCGCTCGCTGTTGTAAATGTGAAGAAAATGAAGTATTCGCTGCTGCGAGGATCGTTCAGCAAGCAAGGCATTGATGAATTCCTGCGCGATTTGTCCTATGGTAGAGGTAACACTGCACCAGTCAAGGGGGCGGCGTTGGCTGAGATTGTAAGCGTAGACGCGTGGGACGGCAAGGATGCTGAAATGCCAGTCGAGGAAGAGTTGGACTTGTCCGATGTGGATCTGGATGACGACGCGCCGAAGGACGAGTTGTAATTAGTGTGAATGTGTTTAGAATATTTTTGTATGTAACATTAACTGCGTTTTCCATTTGTATAAGAAAACATCAAACATGAAATTTTCGTTATAAAATGCATGAAAATTAAAAAGTACTGATACCAATTCCACGGAGTTTTGAACGTTGACCGCTAGATGGCCGGATGATGGTAACTGAAATCTGTAATCGACGCACTGCGCCAGGCGTCAGTTATCCATGAGTTGGCAGCTAGTTAGGTTGTAAGGTGTAGTGTTAATATTCAGGTATTATTTCTTCATTTTATTATTATTTAACCTGTGTCCGGTTTATCTAAAACATTATATGTTTGTCCCATGTGCGTATATAACCCCAAAGCGCTTTTGTTTGTTTCTGAAAATGTTTTCTAGGTCAATAACCTCCATGTTTTTTTTCCCTACATGTTCAGCTGCGTAATTTTTCAGTTGCGAGAAATTCAAACGACGAAATTCATTAACAAAGACGTATATATTTATATATTATTATTATTACATGTTAGAAGGATGATTAACTAAACAGAATGTAATGCATGCCAAAAATCGATTCTCACTTGCACACGGCCAATGCACGCTGCACCACCAATTGGTGTTTGGTACAAGATGCAATCTGTTTATAGAGATTTTTTTATATAAAATACCACTCCCACTCTTAAGCACATTCATTCAGCTACAAAACTTAAATAAAACTCATATAATGCATGGATAATATAGATAATGACTAAGAAATTATCGGACTTACTATATGTAATAACAATAATTAAACCATAAACAAAATAAAACGCGCCATCAATCCAACAGATTCAGCTTGCTGTTGGTCTTTCGAAGTTGCGCTCGCCATGGAATGATGGCAATCTCCTCCTCGCTGCTTTCATTGGACTCCTCGTCCTCTTCCTCACGCGGTTTCCTATCAACCTGCGGCTCTTCCCTGGGCTGTTCCTCCTGATAATCAGGTTCGTCCTGATTGTTGTTGTTGGGTTCAGGCATCAATTTGAGCGTTGCTTTATTGGAGGGATCTTCCACTTTGGGTGTGTAGAGTGTGTGCCTTAATAAGTTTCATGAAAAAAAATTCAAAATGGCGAAAATGGCTGCTTTTTTATGGGAAATTACCTAATTTTGCTTTCCGCTTCCTCCTTCTTGGCCATAAGCTGGCGCTTCCATTGCGGAATGGCCGATAGACGTTTTTCTTCAGCTTCTCGCTGTAATTGTTCCTCGAGCTCTTTGCGCGCGCGCTCCGCTGCCTTCTTCGCGAGCATCTGCCTCTTCCAGGCGGGTATCGCGTTGCCGGTGTTGTCCTTGTCGGGAATCTGTAAGAAATTGTTTGACGGCAATGAGATGTCTGCCTCGCTAGCCAGGCCTACGCTAGGATGTTGTTTGCGTCCGGATACCTTTTCGACAAAGTTCGTCGTGCTGTACTGTTTGGAAATCTCCGTGTACATCTCCTTCTCGTGCTTCTCTTCCACCTTGGCGCGCTCGATCTTCATCTTCTTGATACCGGTGATGTCCTTGCTCATCTTCAGCTCGGCAATGAGGTCGGTTTTCTGCGCGACGAAATCCGTCGTCAAGCTCTGCAGACTCATACTGCGCACGGGGGCGGAGAAAGTTTTCCCGGCCGCCATCTTGTTGTCAATCCGACGCAACTGCACTGAGTTGATATCGTGGATGCTGATTGCCGACAGCGGTTGTTGTTTCTTCTTTGCTTGAGTGATTTCCTCAGCGCCGGGCACGTTCCTGTTCGGGGGTGGTAATGGAGGCGGCTGTGACTCCGGCAGTGGCGGTGGTAGCGGTGGAGGTGGGGATGTAGCCACCGGTTGTTGAGCGGCGGCTAACAACTCAACCCCATCGCATTTTCCGATACTTTTTAAATATTCCGAAGGTTTGATAAGATGATTGGTGGCGGAAGCACCCGCCGATTGCGGGAAAGATGGTGGGACGAATGGAAGCACTCGGGTCTTCCCCGCCAGCGTCGGCTGTGACAGTTTGCTGGCGTCGCTCGGTGACGCCGATGATGAATCCAGCGAAATGATTGTCAGATCCGAGCAGGAGGAGTTGAGGCGTTTCGCGCCTGCGAAGTGAAATGAAAAGGCGATGCGTTAGGCGCGAGTGGCGATCTTCGACTAACCGTATGCTTCAATTAAATTTAATTGCGATCGGGAGAGAAGAGCGCGCGAAACGCTCTAGTTGCATCGCGCCGCATTTGCATGCGGATCGCGAAATGGATTTGAAAATATATCAACGCTTAATGAATGAATAATGTTAATTGTTTTTAATTAACTCTGCGAGTGCGTAGCCTTTCTCTTCGCGGGCCTCGTGCATTTCTAGGTCAATTTATTCGTGCAGTGTCGCATTGTGTAACCAGATGCATGCATGACGTTTGCAGTTAGATTGGTGCTTGTAATACTTACTCAGCGCGGACATGCTGCGACACATTCCTTTGACGACATCCGACGGACGCACAGAGGGTTCCTCTAAAATTTCAACTTCATCAGTACCACGCTGTTCATCTTCGCCGGAATTTTCTTCAGCGTTTCTTTTTTCTTCGGTAGTATTCGTGGGACGTGCGCGGGTGTTACGATCCCCGCCACTGGGTAAGGGCGGCGGTGGGGGCGGCATACTAGCCGCCTTCCCCAGCGGTTTATGCCGGCTGTAATCATTATCGCTGAGCGTGGACGCCGGCGAAGCGCTGTTGGTGGTTGTAAGTTTAACGATAACATTACATCCACTCGCGGAGGTGGAGGCGCCGGAACTTGCCGATCCACTACGGCTGTGTGATCCACTATCCCTGGACCGTGACCGATTCGCCGCCTTCGCATGTTTATTCTTTGCGCCCCCCACTGGGGGCGGCATGTGCATTAGCGTGTTCATCACGCACCATATAGATATCTTCGTAGTCATGATCATGATCATCACCGGAGGCGGCACCACCTCCCTCCGAGCTGGAGGACGCCGCCGAGGATGTGTTCTCGTCCGACCCGGCTCCGCTGCTGCTGGAGTGCACTTCGACTTTCACTGAAACAACACATCTTCAAGCATGGTTCCTGAGGAAATTTGGGACTTACCCGTAAGGGCGGAGAGAGACGCGTTGTTCGGGAACAGGTCCTTAACGCGGTTATAGATCACCTCTTGTGGGTTATGCAAATAAAAAGACTCCCCACCTCCACTCCCTCCATTAGTGCTGCTGCATGTGGAGCTGGCACTACCACAGTCACTACCAGCAGACGCATGTCTATGATGGTGTGCTGATGCGGCGACACCCATTGGGTTGATGTAAAGACCATCTTGTGGTGCGTGCGGGGTTTCTACCCCTGCGGCTGCGCGAGCTAGTGGCGGGTGCAGGTAGAACGGCTCGGCCTGGTGCCGTTTGCAAGTTGAGCAATCAAAATTTGACTGAAATTGATTCATTTTTTGATTGAAATTTGAAGAACTATTGAAGGTAAACAGGGGGCTGGAGACTTACCCTTTTGGATGAGTTCCTAGCACATGAGCAAGACGCGTATTTCTTATCGCCATTACCATTGGCGTCCTTATAATCCGGCGTGGTACCATGTTGGACCAGCACATTCAAACACTCCACCTGCTGGTTCTCAGCTGCGTCATTGATCGGACTCTTACCGTACTTATCCAAAGACAAACGCGCGCCATGTTTGAGCAACCATCGAACAGTCTCGAGGTGTCCCCTGGATGCAGCGAAGTGCAGCGGGGTCGCACCATCTCCATCGCGTAGATTTGGATCGACACCTTGATCCTTCAAAAGGTAAGTCGCATATTAGCGGATATAGGAGATAGAAGGTTGTAGAAGGAGGTGGTCAGTGCACTCACTTGTATCATCCACTTGACGCAGTTCAAGCAGCCCATCTGGCTGGCGGCATGAATAGGCGCCATGCCGTCCTTGGCGCGCACGTACAAGCTGCCGCCGGCCTCCAGCACGAGGAACTTGAGCACCTCCAGGTGCCCTTCTTGCGCCGCCAGATAGACGGGCGTCACGTCGTTGTCCATTTGCGTGTTGGCGCTGCAAAATCAGCTCGGCGTTAGCGCAAATCGGTTTAGAAAGGAAGGAAATGAAGGAAGGAAGCATGCCGAACGAGTTCTTCGAGCTGTAATATCTAGCATTATGAAGAGAAACGCGATTAGCGCGAGCGAGAACGCCATCGCCGCTGGTAGCCGCACGGATACGGCCAGCTGACGCCGTAACTAGTGCACACTTAATTCTCTGCGGCGCGCGCTTTTTAATTCTTTCTCTTTGGAATGGAACGCTTTGTACCAACCACAGCGACGGCTGCTGCTGTTGGCTCGCGGGTCGCGAATTCAAAAGCACAACTTGACCCGTCAACTGCAATTGACGGATTAAATAGTTTAAATACCTTATACGCGTGATGCGATTCTTGCGATTCGTTGTTGCCATGTTACCGTTCATCGACGACGACGACGACGAGTTGCGCACGCTCGTCCTGCAAATCATGTTATCAGCGGCGCTGGGCACCCAAGCAGGGTCACTACTCGACGCGCACAACGCGAATCCATTCGATAATCCACTCAATTTGTTTTGTTTATGATTTGTTTTGGGATGAATCGATGCACTTTTCGGTTTCACTGCGCTAATTGATCCGCCGGCGGCGCCGTTATGCCGCCGAATGCGCAAGAATGACTGAATCGCGAGCAGCGTCCATCCACTTCTTTGTCGAGTTCCGTACGGCTCTTTTCTACATTATTACGGTACGGACACGGTCGAGGAGTTCGGCCAGCGCCTCAAGTTGCTTGAACCGCTGCGCGCACTGCGACTGCTCCTCGGCCACGGCGGTGCGCTGCTCGTAATCGTTCGATTGTCGAGCGCGAATAATAACAAAATCGCGCCGGAGGGGCACACGATGAATGCGCCAAAGAAGAAAGTAAATTTCACCCGAAAAAGTGGCGCGTGCTCACGCGGACGACACGAATTTGTGCGTTATTATTATATTTTTTCGGTTTTTTTTCGGTAATCATATTCGCGCTAATTAATTAATTACCATCGCCGATGCAATGCCGTCGATGCTTTCTTCGGGCCATGAATCAGCGCGCGTCATAATTACGTTCTTGGTTTCTAATTTCGCGTTGTTTTCGTGCTCGAATTATCAGAAAAAAAGCACATCGCAGTTGCTGCTTACATTGAATAACGCAGGTCGACGGAGGTGGATGAGTCCACCAGCAATCGCACGCAGTCCAGACACCCCCGGGCGGCGGCGTAGTGCAACGCTAGCGTGGTATTCCCGCCGCCTCCGGCGCTCACGTGGCTGCCGTCGGCGGTGCTAGCGGCGCTATGCTGCCGCTCCAACGCCGGCATTCTCTGGCGATGCTGTCGCACGGACGCCTCCCAAACGAGCCAGCGCAGCACGTGCAATCGGCCGAATCTGCAACAACAAAAACCACACACAACATTGTTACTGTAAATTGTTAAGGTCTAATAAGATTAATGGGTGAACGTCTGCCTGCGCGCGCGCGCGCCTAGCTAGAAATCGAAGCATGACGCATGAATAATTGCGGGCGCGCGATACGCGCGATAATTAACCGCCGCGCAATTAAATAATTAATTGTTAAGTCATTAAGTCGTGAAATTATTTTAACGATGTGGAGAGCCAACTGCACATGACGAAACTGTCAGGCCTATTTGTTTTCTGGAGTGGTTGCTCAGCGGCGGCTACCTCATGTTCTGGATCTTCAGCGCGTCGATGCCGTTGCCAATGCGCCGCTGCTCCTCGTGCATCCATCGCACGCGGCGATCACTGCGACCATCACAGTAACAACGCGCAGCATCACAATGTTGCACCGCCTGCTTGGATCGAAAGCATTTCCAGCGTCGACGACGGCGGCGTTTGCGTTTCCTCGACGGGCGTTGGGCCATTTTTAATTTTATAGCGTCACAACGCAGTGAGAGCATGATACGCACCCGGATGTGTCGGATAACACGCTTTTCCAGGCGTAGTTTATCCCGTAGAGAGTCAAAACGATCGAAATCAAAAATACGCGTTTTTTGGATTTCATCGATGGAAGACCGGCAGAAACCAACGTTGTCGTCTAGGCAGACTTGTTCATATCCGTCTATTTGCTCATAACTGCCTTGCCAACTCGGCAGAGATCTATTTGTCTCATACAGGGGGTTCTCATACAGAGAAATCGCATCACTATCTTCTGAACACTCAACTATCCTGGTCAAATCACACTTTGTTTCTTTTACATTCCTCTCAGGCTGTGACACATCATAGAGCAGATTTTCCTCATAGCGAAAACCCAATCTCTCCGCGAAGAGATCCACGAACAGATCTTCATTCTTCGGGAAATTACGCCGATAATCTCCGAGGACTTTCAGGTCTTTTTCTTCACTTGGGTCAGCAACAACCGGATTTATACTCTCAACTGTTTGACTATCAAGTGTATCACTATCGTAGAAATTTTCTTCCCCTGTATTTCCTGTTATCTTTTGTGGTAGATGCAGTAGGTGGCTGCGGTTGTGCATCCACCCTTTGCTGATGGTCCATTGTTTCAACCATTCGGGTTTCTCTTGTTTCGGCATGGTACGCATTGGATGGAATCTCGCGTGCGACTGGCCCTGCACGCTTAGTGTAATCACGCGCCGCATGCCGTGGACAATGGGATTGTCATCCGGAACGCCCGGTTGTGAAATAGCCGGAAGTCGATTCGCGTTCGGCCGGACACGAAGCATGCGGACAATGCGGTATGAATATGACGTCTGATTTTCAATTACCGCCTGCATTATTTTTCAGCCGCGAGGTTTTAAATGGTATAGTTGTGCTTTATTTACAATTATATGGAGGAGAATATCTTGTGAACCGCTAGGTGTGAAGGAATTGTTCTAAAAGGTTAACTGCGTTTTCTCAGTGTAATTAACTTGCTTCCACTTGCAAAAAAACTGTTTATGATAATTTTTTGAGTAGATTGATAGGAAAATTAGTTTTTTTGTTATAAAAAAAACAATTTTAGGGTTTATTACGTGACTTAGTACTCTATTTTCTTTTTTGTTTGTATAAATTTACTGCTATTCTTCAAAACGCACTCAAAAGTGTTCGTTAATTGACAACATCATGTCATGGAGAGTTTTGCAAATCGTTTTATAAACAGTACGAGGTCATACCCGGTTTTTCTCATGGTACAGTGCGTGGAATACCGTATGAATGCCGAAAAAACAATGCGCAAACACCTTCGTAATTCCTGGACAGGTGTAGCGACTCAATAAAAATTCTCCTTGTGCTTCAATTTAACCATCTAACCATCTGACTTACCAATATCGACAAATACGAAATTATTATTGCATTTTAATACTAGCTGGTAGTATGTGGCGAAAGAAGAAGGCAATGATTGTGCGTGTAATTCGACTTTTGTCTGTTTCTAACTGTCTAGCCTCGATAAATCGAATTTCATGGGAAACGGAAAATATGCCGATTTAAATGTACCAACGCGTTCGATTTGTGATGTTCAGTTACAACGTACACACGTACGCTACTTGAAAACTTTTAACGACTTGTTAAATGAATTTCCGTAAACATGCATTTTGACAGCAATTAAGTAGAAACTTTTTTTTTCGTTTCACGTTGGCTACTCTCGCGTCCAGATTCGGTCTGTATTTAATTGTGCGAGCGCAATTATGAATTCTAAAAAATCAAATGCGCGATTAAAAGCGCCGAAACGCGAAACTGGGTCACGTTCAGCGGACGAGACGCTCGCGCATGTTGATGAACCTGCCGGCGGCGGCGCGCGAACAGCAGGATAACAGCGTCATGTGGTCAGCGAGGAGCACGCAGACTGACCCGGCGCGCGGAGAAAACGTGAAAACGCGCGTGTCGCAATGGAGAAATGTGAAAACAGCCTAGATTGCGCGCCGCCGCGGGCGGTGAAATTAATCAAATCTCGTTTTTCCGCTCATCGACGGATCCAGACAATAAGACGTGACACTCGTTTAGCGCTAATTAAAATGAATAACTTGTGCTGCGCATCATCAACTCATAGAGTGCATTTTTACATTTTTATTTTTCGATTTTCTGTGTGACGTTCTGAATTACTTTGAACGTGATTTTTTGACTTCAGAGAGAATTTCATGCATGAATTTTTCCTTTGAGTGTATGTGGATTATTGTCGTGATGATCCGCGATGCTTTTCAATAATAAATCACGAGAAATTCCCGATCGTGCGGCGCGAATACTAACGAGAGAAATTCATCGCACCCGGTAATCGGTAAGAGAACAATTAACGATTAACTCCAAGTTTAATTGGAACTGCGCGAAAGAAATTAGAAATTTAATTACGCCAGATGTGTGTTGTGCACACTCGGCCAAACAACAATTAACGCAATTACCCACCGACGACAACGGCGATGTGTAGATTTGCACCGCTTACGCGAACATCGCGTCCACTTCGCGATTGCGACGACGATGATGCAGATTTTACTCTCGGGTATATTTGAAAGTTATTTTATTAATATTTCGATGAGTATCGGCGTATTATGTGTGCTACAATGGAGACGCTGAATAAAGCTGCGATTCGGATGCAAACACAAGCGAAGAGAAAACCGCGCAAAAGAAAGAACGCAAGAATGAAAGTGTTGCTCTATGGCCGGCGCAACCTCAATTTCTCCTCGGATCTTCTCGCATTCATCGTCTGTCTGTTTTATTATATGCGCTATTATTTTATTGCCTTTTAATATTTGTCTCTTTGATTTGCTTTGCTTTTGCCAAACGTGCAGTGCAACGCTTTCCAGCCGCCACACACACACACACACACACATAAAACGTGTTAAAAACAACATTCGGCAAGCGTAAATTAAATAAAACGAAATTTAAACAAAAAAGTGTGTCAGCGCGCTGGATATTGCACACAAAAACATAACGCGCCATGCTCGACAATTGACGATTTCCTGCGAACCGGTGACCTTACACCGCACGAATGGCAATTAGACGAGGCGTTGCGAAACGGCACTCACCTGTTTTGTGTTCAGAAGCTCGTTGCGGCAATGAGGAGTAATCCAATGACACGTTCGCACATCGAGCTTTTCGCGGTCAAAGTTTGCGCTGTCGAACTGTACTGCAACGAATAATGCAGCCCAACGGTAAACCGCGCTCTCGTGCAGCCTGCTGATGAAGAGCGGCACAGGTGAGCACGCGCGCGTCGAGGTGAAGAGCTGTGTGTGTATCGCGCGTCTTAAGCTCGCGAGTTTCGCGTGGCGAATGCGAGCGCTCGCGCGCTTCTTCGCGTCTTCGCTTCCGCGGAGCCTCCTCCCTCCACACAAGAAGAAAACACGCTTTTTTCGACGCCGCGAGAGAGACTTTCCAATCTTTTTCACCGCTATGTCACACGCGGTAAACATACAGCTGGAAAGCGCGTGATTTTTACATGGTTTATTTTAATTAAGATAATTTGCGTTTTAAATTTACAAGTTTAAATCTATCAAAAATGTTTTTTCCAAATAAATATGTTAAATTTTGAAGGAGGATTACTTCTTCTTCAAGGAAGCGAAGGTGGACAGCATCAGATCCCTTGCAAACCTCGCTTTTTTCTTCATTCGGAGTGACTACCTCCTTCTCCATCTCGTCCTTGAGCAGCCCGGGCAGTTGGAAGTTCTCTAGTTTCTTCAGCTCCTCCGCCATGGTCGCCATGTCAATCTCTGTGGGACCTGTGGGACCTGCAGCGTTTTGGGCTTCTGCCAGACGTGGATTTCCACGTTTTGGTTTGAGGAGGAAACGCTCGTCTAATACCTCCGATGCAACGCTGTCTTCATTGCTCCCTGAAGGCAGTTCCACCAAGGATGCGCCTTCGTTGAATGCCGGGTCGAATGTACGCGGCACGCTCGGGTGCAGGTTGAAAAACGATTGATTCCTCTGTAAGGGCTGGCTGAGTAACAACTCGGCCGCGGGTATGTCGACGGGATCGCTCCCGAGGAAGTCGTTGAGATCTACGAGTGCTACATAGTTACCCTCATCGAAGGCACTGAGTGGTTCGGCTTCCTCTTCCTCTTCTTCCTCGTCCATTTCTTCCTCCATTTCTTCCACTTCGGGCTCGGCCTCCTCGAAGTCTGGGACCTCCATCTCGCTGCTTTGAAGCTCCGTGAAGATTAAGTCGTCGTCATCGTCGTTCTCCGGCATTTGCGGATGCGACATGATGACGATGAGATTTGCCAGACCGATAACGCGAGAATTTTTTCGAGATGGATGTTTATTTTAACCGAACGACTTGGATCAAAACTTTTGAAAATTCAACTTTTAGGTGTATGACAACCAGTGGCAGCGCCCTCTGTGAAAATATGCTCTCAAAGTGCATAACTACTTGAATAATTCAGTGAGAGTTAATATTACGCGCGCGATTGTAGGTATTATTGATCATTATCAATATTAATATTATAATAATCGTAATATAATTGATAATACAGTTTTTTTTGTTTAAATTACGAATATTATTATAAATTTATAGCTTTGCAGGTTGTATTTTAGTGCACTGTATTACCGACATGGCTAAAATGACCGCAAATCTTCAACTCCGGCAAATTTTCACGAATTTATCCGCACAACAACGTGAAAAATGGTTGTTGCCATCCCTGTGGCTCAAAAATACATCTTGCGTAAGTCATTTTCATTCACAAACAACATAAACATTAATATTTCTCGTGTTTTAATAACCAAATCAAAAATCTTAGGTTAACTATGCTACAAAAGCAGAGAAAAAGCGAGGATTGGACCGAAGGCCAATCCCCAAAGTGGAACACACAATGAAAAGTATTGCTGCAAAGGGTTTCCTACGCCCCACACAAGATTATTCGCCACCTGCCAGTTTCAAGGAAGATTTACATCAAATCTGCTCCAAGCATTTGCAGAATCACACTGATGATACACTGCTAGGAGAGAAAAAGGCTGCTATTTTGATTGAGACAGCCACAAAGTTTAGTTTCTCAGTGCCCAATTCACTCCTGCATCAAGTTATAGCAGTGAGTGACTTGATTTCCTTCTACGGACAAGAATCCAGCACAAAAACACCCCTGGATAAGATGAAAACAATGGATTTGCCTCCGAATTTACATGTGCAGTATGATTATGTCAGGTGGCATCCAGAGACAGATACACAGTTTGGTGGAATCACTGCATTCCCAGAAAGTTCTACTTTGGTTACTGGTTTGAAGTACAGAGAAAAATACAGAGGACATAAGCAGTCTGTGTATGTTCCTAGAGAATAAGAGCAGAATTGGATGTGTAGTTTAATGTCCTTATAAATATTTGTTAAAAAATTCAATGAAGAATGATTTATTTGTGTATTTTATGTTTATTAATGACATGTGTTGAAGAGTAAGCTGTGTGAGGTGTTCGCGTGGTTCCCGCGGTGGTTCATAGAGGTCGATAGTAGTATCGTAGGCGCGGACGACCCGGGCTGAGTCGCGGACGGTCGAGGCCGAGAGTTATTTTGACTGCGATTGGACTAGAACGGCGCGGGGCGAGAGAGGGCAGCGAGAGCGTAGAAGGTCGGCCGGTCCGTCGGTGCCCGACGCGTCGCGCTTCGCGCTCAACACCGCACACCGCCGCTCAGCGTCCGTCCGAGCCGACAAAACACGCCGAGCGCACACGAAAGCAGCGAAGCGACGAAGGCTGCACACAGCTCACACCGCACACAGCAGCCGCAGCAGCGAAACGCGCCGGACGAGAGAGTATAGTAGTGCACGGACGACAGAGGGACGACAACGCGAAGAGTGCGACGCTAATCGAGACGAGAACCGACCGCGACGCATCGGCGGCTCCCTTGCCGCGCGTGCAGTGCATGAATTGTGTGGTGGATGCGAATTATCAGTGCTGTGCACACCGGAGTGTTACTCTCGCCCATGCCCAGCGCCAGTGCGGGCCGCGCGTGTTTCATAATAAAATGTGAAAACGATCGGGCGCGGAATCCACGAACCACGAGCGCGCTCGCTATTTTTGGCCGGAGTGTATTTTCATCTTCTGTGTAGTCGGCGCGCGCGTGTGCGTGCTGGCGGCACGTCGGTGAGCGCACGGACAAAGGCGGCGCCGGCGTGTGTGCGTGCGACGTCGGCTATCCCGAGTCGGCAGATAGTCGGCAAGCGTAGTCGTGAACTCGTCCGGTATGTCCGCGAGCATGCGCCGTGCGAGCGGCGACGCGAAACACGTTCGACGCGGCGGCGTTCAGCGGCGAGACGACCAACAGCCACAGCCAGTCTAGACGGCACGCATACACGCGCGCACCGTCCGTAGACAAACAATACCGACGCATAGACACAACACACAACAAGCGCCCAGCGCTGCGCTGCCGCGCGCCGCGAGTCAAGTGCACGCAGTTGTGTGTGGAGCACCACCAGCGAGATGTGCGGTACGCGCGCGGAGGAGTGCTGAGAGCGACGCCAACGCGAAGATGCCCCTCTAGCCGCCCGCGCCGGACACCCACCACCGCCACATGATGATGGTCACGCCGCATCTGAAGACCGTCCTCAAGGACTACCAGCACAGCGCCGTGAAGAGTCTGCACGGGCCGGCGCACCACTTGCATCCGCCGCTGAGTGGAGTCGCCGCGGCGGCGGCGGCCGCCCCCTACGAGGAGGACGCATGTTCGCCGACGACGGCGGCGGGCAGCAGCGCGCCCGCTGCCTACGTGCCGCCGCTGCCCGTGCAACAACTGCCGATCCTCACCACGTCCGACACCTCCTCCTCGGACCTCTCCTTCACGCCGCTCGAAGACGTGTCGATCTCGTGCTTCTCCGTCGGCGGCGAGAAGCGCCTCTGTTTACCGCAGGTGCTGCAGTCCGTTCTCGGCGATTTCACGCTCGCGCAGATTAACAATCAGTGCGACAACCTGCTCATCTACTGCTCGCGCTGCACGCCGGAGCAGCTCAACGTGCTGAAGGGTCAGGCTATTTTGCCCTCCTCAGCGTTTTCCTGCGGCCTCATCACCAAAAGCGACGCGGAACGGTTATGCAGCGCGTTGCTGTACGCGCGCGCCAAGTCCACCTCGACGAAAATCAAAAAAGAACCCACAACACGTACGTAAACCTCAATTTTCCCTACAAAACTATCTAAAAATTGTTAATTTTCAATTTACAGATGCTTCGTATACGGAGAATAATGTCGACGCACACCACCCGGTTGCAAAAAGCGCGCCGGCAGCGGTCAAGACCGAAGACGGCGGCGATCGGTGCAATGGGGCGCGCGTGCGGCCAACGCCGCGTGCCGGCGGCCGTGTCTTCCGCGTGCGGCACGAGTGCTTCGGTCGCGCCGTCGGCGTGCTGCACGAGGCGCTCTACGACGCCAAGCAGGCCAAGTGCATCGAGTGCGTGGAGTGCAAGGGCTGGCACAGTCCGCAGCAGTTCGTCAAGCACGTGCACTGGCAGCACGCACGCGGCGAAAGCCACACGGTGCACTGGGGCTTCGACAGCGCCAAGTGGCGGCATTATCTGCTGCCGCTCGCTGATGCGGAGGAGTGCTGTGCTCGCCCGCTGGCTGACGAAGCCGACGCCGATCGTGTGCTGGACCTGATGCGCGATCGATACGAAGGGGTCGCGCCGTTCGCCGCCTACGAGGAGGAGAAGGCCGAGATTAAGAAGGAAGTCAATGGTAACGCAGTGATACCACCCGCCAAGGAGTGGAATATGCCGCTGAAACGCAAACTGGTGAGTGGTTTGTTTTCGTTTTACCCTCCCCCCCCGCCATCGCTGCTGCTGCTTGTTACTTTGTTTTCGCATTCCATTTCGATTACTTTTCCGGAGCGCCGAAGCCTTTGCAATAGACATAACAAGCCGCACGAGCCATCAACATTTTGTTTGTTATTTTGGCGCCTTATCTCAACGTCATGCATGTGCGCCTATTGAATTTCGCTCGTTATTGCACTTTAATGCGGTCGTAAACCGTAAAATGTTGTAAACTGTGACAATAATGCACGTTCAATTATATGAGCATGTTTTCGTTGGTAATTTGAGTTGGTTGGCTGTGATTATTTTCATAATACGACCAAAAACGTGCCCGGGCCTTTAATGAAGCACGCACAATTTACGTTTTTGTTTGTTGGTTATAACGCGTAAAAGTTAAAAACCCCAGCGTGTGTATGAAAATACGGTTCAAAGTGCATGATAGCGGGCAATAATGTTGATATTGCGACACGCATCGCGCGCACGCAGTATCAATCAATGAACTCCTTTCTTTCGAGTTTCGAGTTGTGCTCATGTTTATAATTGCGCACCGCTCCGCGCGCTGTGGAAAATGTTTACGCGCTGCGAATCGCACACACAAAGGAAATAAGTGCGAGTTGTGGAGAACTAGACAACGCCGAGACTAGGCCTGCTCGTGAAGAAGTAACATATTTGTGCGCGCTCCGTGTTCGAACGAATTCAACCTGTCTGTGGCGTACGTACGTACGTACCACCGCGGTGTCTGTTGCGGCGCACTCCGTCTGTCCAATGGTCTGGCGACGATGGCGTGCGCGCGGGGAGCGCGTTGCGTAGCCTTCGCGGCGTGTGTTACGTTCGGTTTTGTTGCGTCGTACCTACGCGCGATTCGCCGCGACCCGCGCGGCTATTGAACTTTCTTCCTTTGCCTTCGGAGTGCGCCCGTCGCTCGCACTCGCCGAACGCCGCGAGCCGCGTACTTACAACATGCATGCAGCGCCGGCATGCAACCTTGCGACTTGGCTTACTAATGCGCTCGCGCCGCTCGCCGGGATCTCTTTGCGCTAGTGCACGTGCGCAGATGTTGTTGCATGATGCGAGTTGAGTTTTTACTACACGCCGTTGCTTGTGTGTGTTTACTTGTTGATCGCTGATATGTTTACGGCGCGTACAAATGAAAAGCAGCGTCGCTTGCAATAAACTCGCGAATTATGGCGCTTTGCGGTCGGCCAGTGTGACCTAGAGTCCTTGATACGGCGTGAGCCTCGCCGCCGTCGCGACGCCCGTCACCGCCGGCGCGCCGTGCCGCCGCGATCGATATCGGACGTCCAGACCCCAGACTGGGGCGACGCGTCGCCCTCCTCACCACCGCCGCCGCCGCCGCCTCGCCACATTGCCCCATCAATCCGGTACGCGTCGGCGGCGCCGCTCGGCGCGTGGGCGGCAGGTCGATACAGCCGAGACGGATCCGCGCCGCGATGGTGGTGGTGGTGGTGGTTTGCCCGCTTCGGCTAGTCGCGCCACCAGACGCAGACACAACCCCCGGTCGCCTCACCCCGCGTCGCGCCCACCGCCGCCGCCGCAGCCTCGGTCTCGCGATGAGGAAACGAGGGCAAACGCACGGCGCAATATCCATGCGTGCACACAACTCAAAAAGAGCGCCGCGCGCGCTCTTTTGTTCCGCATCGGCGTATCCTTCGGATTGTGCGCTTTGTTTTATTCGTCGCCCAGCGCCTCATTCTAATTTCGCTTTTTCGCCTTTGTGCGCCGCGCTGGGATTGCTTTGTGCGCTCGGCGCTCGACTTGAATGCGTCGCGAACACGTGTGCCCGGTTGAATCGACCATTCAATTCGCGGCGCTTTGTGCGCGTCCTTTGTCTCTTCCCCTTGCGACTCCCTTTTCATCCCGTTTTTTTTTCTACTGCTTTTGCTTAGCATGCGTAAGATTTGGCCGCGTTTTGCACGCGTGTAGCATGTCGAGATATAATGCGAGGGTAAATGTTTTCAGCTGCATCAAGTATCCAAGACGTCGCCACCGCCACGACCACCGCCGTCACCTCCGCCGCCGATCAAACGCGACACCCCCTCGCCGCTGTTTGCCTCCAAGAAAGCGAAACTCTCCGGCGAGGAATACATGCTCATGACGCAGCCGTATCTCCCGCCGATGGACCACCCGTACGTCTTCCAGCAGTTCCATCTGTCGTTCCCGTACGCCCGACCGCCGAACGCATTACCGCTGGGCGTGGGCCATCAGTCGGCGAAGGAGGCCAAGCTGCGGCAGGCGATCGTCAAGAGTAATGCGGACCTGGCGCGAATTCCCGCCGATGACCCACCGCTGCCGCCCACGCCGAAGAAACAGCGTCTTATACATCATCACATGCAGGAGCAGCAGCGCCGGAAGCTGGAGGAGGTGCAGAAATCACCGGATTCCACCACCGTGCCCACCACTCCCAGCACGCCTGCCGAACGCAAATACTCCGAGATTGATTTGTCCACCACCGACACGGAGGATACGGCGTCCGAGGGCACGGAGGCGCCGAAAGCCGCAGCGGTGGACGCACCGCGCCCACCCGACAATGACCCCGCCAGCCCTGAAATGGAGCGCCTGTTTGAATTGCTAGCGCTCAACCCGCATCCGGAGAAGACGCGCATCGTCGACATGTTCCGCCGCCTGCTCGACGAGCGCGCCGCTAGGGACGAGCGCATTGTTCAGCTCGAGGCGCAGGTGGAGGCGCTGCAGCGGCGGCGAGGGCGGTCGCCCGCGCGCGAATGTAACGCCGAGGCGGCTGCCGCCACCGGTAGTGATGAGGCGCTTGAGTCCACAGCGCAGGGTGGGGGCGGACGCTGTGAGCCCAGCCCCGTCGACGAGAAACCAGTACAAACTGACTATAAGAGTGTCATAACGTCGCCGGCGCGGAACGATAGCGAAGCAATACAGGAGGACGACGACGGCGGCGGCGGCGGCGATGCAGCGACGTCCACGTCGAGCGGCGACGATGCGAACCCACACTGCCCGTCTGCGAGCGCTGCGCCGGCGGCGGCGACCACGACGTAAACACCGAACTAATTCGAGAGAAAGCAATCAAATTTTACATTTCGACGGTTTTTTAACGAGTATCACACACACACACACACGAAACATGCGCGCGCGCGACGATCGGTTTACGAGGCGCCTCTTATTTACGACGGTGTCACTCGCCATGGTTTATTTACGGAACTCTGCTTCTTGTCGCGTGTTTATAAGGGCGACGACGCCCGCGGTGCGCTGACGCTTTTCTTTTGCCCTTTTCGCGGCGACGAAATTGTCACACAAAAAGTTATTGTTGATATTCTTTGAAATTTTAAAAATACGAATGAGGAGGGAAAACAAAGAAGTACAAATAATATATAAACATAGAGATAGATATACATATATATAAATATATATATATATAAACGACATGTAGATAGGAAGAAGACAAAGAGCGCGAGCGATAGTGATGATAAGTGAAGGAATGTTAGACTCAAAGTCAGTCCTTATTTGGAAACTTTTAACGTTCGAACAACACAACAACAAAAAAAACGCAGCTTTTAAAATTTTAAAATCCAAAACACAACTCAGGTTCGATTTTACTACAGAAACAAAAAAACAAAGTGGAAGACATGATGAAAAATAAACGCTGGTCGTATTATTACTATTATTATACAAAACAAGAAAAGAAAAACTACGCAAACAATTGATGCAAATAAAAACGAATTCAAAGATATAACGTGGTGAAACACATTTTGACGACAAGTGCCCATATTTCTATTTTTATTGTTATCATTATTATTTAATAAGGTTTACTCACTTTTATTATTATTTATGTATTACGCTATTACGGAGTTAATAATGTACGTTCTGTATTCGTAAGTGTTTTCGATTATTATTAATAGTATATATTATTATATATATATTTGTTTGTGATCTCAGCATCAGAATTAATCTAAGAGAAGTAATAAACTTGTTCTCTTTTTATTTTGTTTTTGCGCTGCGCTCGAGAATCGGGTGATAGATAAGTTTGACAAATGAGGCGCGTACAGATTATGATTTGAACACGACTAGCGCGGCATCTGTGACAGGTCTTTACATGTTGTAACAGACACGAACAGATGGCGCTACTTGTCTGATAAAATTCTAATACACGCCATATTCTCTTCTGTTGAGCGCAGTAAAACAAAAACTGATCTGAAAATAAGGTACGTGGAAGTGCTTTCAGAGTGAACAGAGTTGAAAATACTGAATTCTTAGTGACTTTTGTTGAGATTACATTGAAATCATGCATGCATTAATTGTTTTGTTCAAAAGTTGTCAAATCATGAAAACCATTCACAAATCAGCACTGAGGAATGAAATAACACACCTTAGTAGTTTTTTTCAAAGGTTTAACTTATTGTGAATTATCAGTTGGTACAATTTAATCTACTGCTCCTTCATATCCTTGAGACGGCGCACATTGGAACGAACTGACGCAGCGGCGGTTGTAGAGTAGACCCATGCGCCGCCAGCGACCACGCGTTTACACCTTTGCAAGCCCAGATACCGACCACCGAACGCTTCATCGCATCCTAAAATGACAAACAAATTAGTGATACATCTATCTACTATGATAAATTAGGTGAGTCGTATTTGTTTTATATTTACCTTGCCACAGAAACTGCAACTGTATTTGCTGTGCTGTGTGATTTCCATCTTCTTAACCATTTTACGCAGGGAGGCACCGTAACGGGTACCATATTTGCCGGTGATTCCAACCTTCTTGGTGCGTTTCGCCTAGAAGAACAAACACAACACACAACTTTAATATATTGTAGTCCAAATTGTTTCAAACACTTCGGATAACCTCCAATCGCGAACGTAAACATTTTCACACAAAAACCGCGGGAGGACCGAAGTGATCGAAAATATCACACGGGACGGACGTATTAGGTATATTGTCACTGTAATTAGCGATTGGATTTCGGTAGTTTTGGTCGATGGTGAAGATATTCCAAGATTTGCTCACCATTTTATCGTTCGTGTGGCGCGCTCGACAGTCACGTAGAGAAAGAAAGCTCCGCGGAGGATGACAACACAAGCTGACTGAAGCGCCACATTTGCGCACCTTGGCTACTGACAGTAAGCGCGGCAACCCAACATACACTATTTGAACAAATCGTGAAATTCCCACACGTAAATGTATTCCGATCAAATTTTGAATGGTTTAGTAATGTGTGTTTAAGATGTACGTATTATTAATACTTTGATCAATTGTGTTACAGGCGAGAGTTTGATATGAAAGTAATCTTGCGAAGGCCACACCTCCTTGTAACACTGGGCGCACTTGCACGTGCGAATCTGTGTAAACGACACACGAACGACTCTCACCCACTCACACACGCATAGCCGCCAGCCTCATCGCAATCAATTCCAAACAGCAAACATATTGACTGATACTCGCACGATTTACACCACTTGTCGGCGACAGTGGCACAACATCGCCGCTGGGGCGGTCAGCGGTGCTCGCAATAACAACCTGCGAACATATTGCAGCGAGAATAATCGTCCAGGTATGTTTTGTCGAAAATTTCTTTCATATGCGCAATGTGTTAGGTTACAATCTCTTGCGAATTTGATCGCAATTTGTTTATGGCATTCCTGCATTCCTGCACCAGCAATCATTTGTTTATCATGGATAATTAATTCGTGTTAATGGTAAAGCTTAAAGTTCCCCAATCAATAATGCATGTTGACTTTCACTGGACACTGAATTCTCCCTCTTGAAAGGTCATTCAATCACAATCACCATCATGCACCACTGAAAGTTCATTTGGTGCTGAATTATTCACCAGCTGGATTGCCTTGTTGGATCAAAGTGCGTGTGTACGCCCACCTACTTAATTACGAATAATGAGGCGTGCGGCGTGCTCTGGTTATCGGCTGATTTCAATTCGATTTGGTATTTTGTAGGAGGAGGTCTCCGGAGTTAGCTGGGAACATGACAGGCTGCAGCTGGTTTTAAGTCGCACAGCACGCAGGCAGAGCGTCGGTGATGCGCGGTGCGAGCTGGTGCAGCGTATACAAGGCGCTCTTCCTTCTTATTGTGGGCCTGATTGTAATGGAGTACCTGTTTGGCACCACCATGGAGTACAAGAAGTGGGAGAGGTGGGGTGAATCTGTTTTCACCACCAACAACACTAGGTAAAAGATGTTTCCACATTTGTGGGCATAATTGAACAAATTTTCTTGGATTTTTAGAACAATTGATACTTTTCATAGTCCACTACTTTTAAAAAGCTTGCTTCGCAAACGCAACGACACGGCAGCGGTTTTGCCAGTGCCGCCTATCTCAGCTTCCCTCGTCAGTCCGAATCAGTCGGAACCGAATGCAACGAACGTATCGCAGCCGTCGCACAACGCAATCAACGACGAAATGTCCAGTCCGTCGTTTAATTTAACTTCCAGCACATCGGCAAGTCCGACCAACATTTCCAGCCTGGGGAATGTTACCAACGAGCAGCCGCTATGCGCCGACAACCCGCCAGACTTGGGCAATGCCGTCAAAGTATTAAAAACCGACGCGCCGTCGGTGCTCGAATTAGAAGCCCGATTTTCGTGGCTGGAGCCTGGGGGGCACGGTCATCCGGTGACGTGCCGCGCGTTGAAAAAAGTCGCCATTGTAGTGCCGTTTCGCTGTCGCGCCGAACACTTGCTGCTCTTCCTGCAGCACATGCATCCGTTTCTGCGCCGACAGCAGATTGACTACGCCATCTTCGTGGTTGAACAGGATGGACGTGGACCGTTCAATCGAGCTGCGCTCATGAACGTTGGTTTCGTCGAGGCGAGCAAGACCGACAATTTTGACTGCTTTATCTTTCACGATGTCGATTTGCTGCCGGAGGACGAACGGAATTTGTACACATGTCCCGAAATGCCGAGGCACATGAGCGTCGCCGTCGACGTATTCGAATATGCGTAAGTTACAACATCTTTTAATCGCAAGGGATTGTTTTATAAATAAATTTGTTTCAGTTTGCCGTATAGGGAAATTTTCGGTGGTGTAAGTGCGATTACCACGAAGCATTTTCGACTGCTCAACGGCTTCTCGAATTCGTTCTGGGGCTGGGGCGGCGAGGACGATGACATGTCAAATCGTATTCGTTACCATAATCTGTACATTTCACGCTATCCGAAGACAATCGCGAAGTACACAATGCTTGCGCACAAGAAAGAAAAAGCAAATCCTGACCGGTATTATAGACGCATTAGTTTGACGTATAGACGGCTAATCATAACAATTTTTATTCAAATCTTTTAGATATGAGGCACTGAAGTCCGGCAAGCTCAAATACGACACAGACGGCCTCTCCAACCTACAGTATACGCTCATGCAGCGAAAGGACAACAAGCTGTACACATGGTTGCTGGTGCACGTAGGCCCGCCGAGATGATGGTACGAGAAGGTGCGAAACTGGCTAGGCGCCTGAAAGTCCGCCAGATATATGAATCATTCCGAATGTTTGAACTCGTTGAGTACGTTGGCCAAATTTTCTAGTCTTACCAATCGCTTACTATTAAGTAAATCTGTGATATCATTATGTTACTTAGTCTTAACACCTGATGAGATTATGTGAGAATGTGCGATATTAATAGATTTAATTCGACCGAATATTGATTTGGAAAACACCGCACAATGCAATTTATAATATAGCGATTCCTCGTCAATCAAATTTAAATGCGTTGTATTCACCAAATCTCTAAACCCGCAGGAAGTAGCATAAAACCCTCATAAAAAAGTTTTGCTTTTGTTCGTGTTTTCAGGTTTATCGCAATTTTGTTTGTTCGCGAATATCTCGTCAACTAAAAGAGATATATACGAACAGATTTCAAATTCTTAATCTACGGAAAATTTTCTATAAGATAAGCCAATTAAAATGCATATATAAGAGATACATAGGCACTCGCTCACTGCCTCATTTTGAAATGCTTTGTATTTTCTGGAAGTACAATAAAGTATTCTCAGGTGGCGCCACGATGCATGTTTTAACTAAAAATATTCCTGCGAATGAAAGTCGGCGTGCACAGTTGTGATGCCGGCACGCAGCTCTTACTTCGTGCGGCAGATAAGAATACTCCGTCGAGCATTCGTGTTTCTCGTTGTAAATTCGGTATATCGCGTTATAGTTTATTGAATTTAGTGTTAATTGCCGTGTTTGGTCATTCGGTAAATATTTATCGCGTATGTAATCTTCGGAATTCAATATTTTGTGTGTTTATTACGTTTTCGCGTGAATTTCTGATCGGTTGTCGTCGGACGCCGGCCGGCAGACTTTGTGTGTGATAATAAATAATATTTTGGACTTGTGTTAACCATTTTTTGACTTCTGCACAACTTGTTGGCTCAATGTGTTACCTGGTACGAATTCTAATTTAAATAATTATGAATAACAAGACGAAATTTATGGTAAACTTTGGGTTCTGCCGGAACTCATTGTTCGAAATTGTGTAACTAATGTTTTGTTCCTTCTTTATTTCAGTATCTACATTTGATTTATGGTGTTCGATACACTTGTAAGTAAAAGTTTTCAACATTCATAGTATCGGTTTTCCTGATTTCTTACAAAACTCAAATCATAAATCGTAATTTCATGATTTAAATTTTAGTTCACTAGCATGAACTAAAAATCATAAAATAGAATTGTATTTGCTTTGAATCATATCAGCGTTTGTGTATAAACCACTTTCTTATCGCATTCGCCGTGCGAGATGCTACGAGTAACATTCTCGTCGCGCTGTCGCATGCAGCACATTTCAGTTTAGTTCTTATCACAGGAACCGTGCCTATTGCAATTCGGGCACATGGTCGCGTGCCATCGATGCGCCGCCGGCTTTGCGCATCTATTGCAATTCGCGTACAAGGTCGTGTGGCATCGACGCGCTGGCTTTGCGCATCTATTGTTTTTACCTGCCGGCTTTATGCAGCAGGCACAGGGTCTTATTGTGAACTGTCGCATTCTTGCGTGCGGAGTTTCGCATGCTCTATTGGTGGATTGCAGCTAGTTTCGTGCCGGTCTTTGGCGTATCCAGACGTATATCACGCAACGCGTTTTGGTTTATCAAACCTCTATTTCAATCGACTTAGTGGTAATATGCATCTGCAATGTTTTCTTAATAAGTAATTGTGCGTTGTGCTTGCTTTTGATGTTTATCTTTCAAATTACAATGCTACGGTTTTATTGTCGGTTATTGTGGGACGTGGTCGGTCGCCAGATCAATAGGAAACCTATTTGTGCTTGAGTAAGTTACTTTTATCTGACCATTGCGATACTCAGCACATAAAGTTTGTTTTCTCCCATGTGTGAATATAATATTATCATATTGTATGAAATGTTTTTGTTTTAACTTATGTTTTCTTTTAATTACAGTACTTGCCGTACCCTTGCAATCCGAGGAGCGCTGCATTGGTAAGTTTATAATGAAGTTATATTACTCGGTTAAATGTTTTATCATATTTCACCTGCGTATTGCAATAGCCCACGAACTAGGGGGGCCGTATATATTTCATTTAATGGTAATATTGAAAACTTGAAAAATTTTAGCACTTTTAGTCGCGTTTTTCGACCTTTTACTGTAGGAAATATAATTATTTTATATTTTTATCTGATAGATAATTTTCCAATCTTTCATAATCAATAATTCGTTGGTAGCGATCTCTTTTAGTTTAAAAGATATTAATTTTCAAAAATCGTCGAAAAAAAGTATCAAGCACCCCCCCTTGGCAATTTTTTCTTAAGAATTAAAATTTGATCTTTCACATTTCCGTTTTAACTATCATATCTTATAGAGATAAGTCTGTAGATTAAGACGCTGCGATCAGATCTTAATTATCTCTTTTAGTTTACGAGATATTCGCGATTAAAGAAAATGGGCAAAAATTGAAAAATGTCACTTTTTAGCACTTTCAGTCGCATTTTTCGGCCTTTTACTGTAGGAAATATAATTGTTTTATATTTTTATCAGATAGAGAATTTTCCATTCTTTCATAATCGGCAATTCGTGGGTTGCCATCTCTTTTAGTTTAGGAGATATGAATTTTTAAAAATCGTCGAAAAAAAGTATCAAGCACCCCCCCTTGGCAATTTTTTCTTAAGAATTAAAATTTGATCTCTCACATTTCCGTTTTAACTATCATATCTTATAGAGATAAGTCTGTAGATTAAGACGCTGCGATCAGATCTTAATTATCTCTTTTAGTTTACGAGATATTCGCGATTAAAGAAAATGGGCAAAAATTGAAAAATGTCACTTTTTAGCACTTTCAGTCGCATTTTTCGGCCTTTTACTGTAGGAAATATAATTGTTTTATATTTTTATCAGATAGAGAATTTTCCAATCTTTCATAATCGGCAATTCGTGGGTTGCCATCTCTTTTAGTTTAGGAGATATGAATTTTTAAAAATCGTCGAAAAAAAGTATCAAGCACCCCTTGGCAATTTTTTCTTAAGAATTAAAATTTGATCTCTCACATTTCCGTTTTAACTATCATATCTTATAGAGATAAGTCTGTAGATTAAGACGCTGCGATCAGATCTTAATTATCTCTTTTAGTTTACGAGATATTCGCGATTAAAGAAAATGGGCAAAAATTGAAAAATGTCACTTTTTAGCACTTTCAGTCGCATTTTTCGGCCTTTTACTGTAGGAAATATAATTGTTTTATATTTTTATCAGATAGAGAATTTTCCAATCTTTCATAATCGGCAATTCGTGGGTTGCCATCTCTTTTAGTTTAGGAGATATGAATTTTTAAAAATCGTCGAAAAAAAGTATCAAGCACCCCCCCTTGGCAATTTTTTCTTAAGAATTAAAATTTGATCTCTCACATTTCCGTTTTAACTATCATATCTTATAGAGATAAGTCCGTAGATTAAGACGCTGCGATCAGATCTTAATTATCTCTTTTAGTTTACGAGATATTCGCGATTAAAGAAAATGGGCAAAAATTGAAAAATGTCACTTTTTAGCACTTTCAGTCGCGTTTTTCGGCCTTTTACTGAAGGAAATATAATTGTTTTATATTTTTATCTGATAGAGAATTTTCCAATCTTTCATAATCGGCAATTCGTGGGTTGCCATCTCTTTTCGTTTAAGAGATATGAATTTTTAAAAATCGTCGAAAAAAAGTATCAAGCACCCCCCCTTGGCAATTTTTTCTTAAGAATTAAAATTTGATCTCTCACATTTCCGTTTTAACTATCATATCTTATAGAGATAAGTCCGTAGATTAAGACGCTGCGATCAGATCTTAATTATCTCTTTTAGTTTACGAGATATTCGCGATTAAAGAAAATGGGCAAAATTGAAAAATGTCACTTTTTAGCACTTTCAGTCGCGTTTTTCGGCCTTTTACTGTAGGAAATATAATTGTTTTATATTTTTATCTGATAGAGAATTTTCCAATCTTTCATAATCAACGATTCGTGGGTTGCTATCGCGTTTAGTTTAAGAGATATGAATTTTTAAAAATCGTCGAAAAAAAGTATCAAGCACCCCCCCTTGGCAATTTTTTCTTAAGAATTAAAATTTGATCTCTCACATTTCCGTTTTAACTATCATATCTTATAGAGATAAGTCTGTAGATTAAGACGCTGCGATCAGATCTTAATTATCTCTTTTAGTTTACGAGATATTCGCGATTAAAGAAAATGGGCAAAAATTGAAAAATGTCACTTTTAGCACTTTCAGTCGCGTTTTTCGGCCTTTTACTGTAGGAAATATAATTGTTTTATATTTTTATCTGATAGAGAATTTTCCAATCTTTCATAATCAACGATTCGTGGGTTGCTATCGCGTTTAGTTTAAGAGATATGAATTTTTAAAAATCGTCGAAAAAAAGTATCAAGCACCCCCCCTTGGCAATTTTTTCTTAAGAATTAAAATTTGATCTCTCACATTTCCGTTTTAACTATCATATCTTATAGAGATAAGTCTGTAGATTAAGACGCTGCGATCAGATCTTAATTATCTCTTTTAGTTTACGAGATATTCGCGATTAAAGAAAATGGGCAAAAATTGAAAAATGTCACTTTTTAGCACTTTCAGTCGCGTTTTTCGGCCTTTTACTGTAGGAAATATAATTGTTTTATATTTTTATCTGATAGAGACTTTTCCAATCTTTCATAATCAGCAATTCGTGGGTTGCCATCTCTTTTAGTTTAAGAGATATGAATTTTTAAAAATCGTCGAAAAAAAGTATCAAGCACCCCCCCTTGGCAATTTTTTCTTAAGAATTAAAATTTGATCTCTCACATTTCCATTTTAACTATCATATCTTATAGAGATAAGTCTGTAGATTAAGACGCTGCGATCAGATCTTAATTATCTCTTTTAGTTTACGAGATATTCGCGATTAAAGAAAATGGGCAAAAATTGAAAAATGTCACTTTTTAGCACTTTCAGTCGCGTTTTTCGGCCTTTTACTGTAGGAAATATAATTGTTTTATATTTTTATCTGATAGAGAATTTTCCAATCTTTCATAATCAGCAATTCGTTGGTTGATATCGGGTTTAGTTTAAGAGATATGAATTTTTAAAAATCGTCGAAAAAAAGTATCAAGCACCCCCCCTTGGCAATTTTTTCTTAAGAATTAAAATTTGATCTCTCACATTTCCGTTTTAACTATCATATCTTATAGAGATAAGTCCGTAGATTAAGACGCTGCGATCAGATCTTAATTATCTCTTTTAGTTTACGAGATATTCGCGATTAAAGAAAATGGGCAAAAATTGAAAATGTCACTTTTTAGCACTTTCAGTCGCGTTTTTCGGCCTTTTACTGTAGGAAATATAATTGTTTTATATTTTTATCTGATAGAGAATTTTCCAATCTTTCATAATCAACAATTCGTTGGTTGCTATCGCGTTTAGTTTAAGAGATATGAATTTTTAAAAATCGTCGAAAAAAAGTATCAAGCACCCCCCCTTGGCAATTTTTTCTTAAGAATTAAAATTTGATCTCTCACATTTCCGTTTTAACTATCATATCTTATAGAGATAAGTCCGTAGATTAAGACGCTGCGATCAGATCTTAATTATCTCTTTTAGTTTACGAGATATTCGCGATTAAAGAAAATGGGCAAAAATTGAAAAATGTCACTTTTTAGCACTTTTAGTGGCGTTTTTCGACCTTTTACTGTAGGAATTATAATTGTTTTATATTTTTATCTGATAGAGAATTTTCCAATCTTTCATAATCAGCAATTCGTTGGTTGCTATCTCTTTTAGTTTAAGAGATATGAATTTTTGAAAATCGTCGAAAAAAAGTATCAAGCACCCCCCCTTGGCAATTTTTTCTTAAGAATTAAAATTTCATCTCTCAGATTTCCGTTTTAACTATCCTATCTTATAGAGAAAAGTCCGTAGATTAAGACGCTGCGATCAGATCTTAATTATCTCTTTTAGTTTACGAGATATTCGCGATTGAATAAAATGGGCAAAAATTGAAAAATGTCACTTTTTAGCACTTTTAGTGGCGTTTTTCGACCTTTTACTGTAGGAAATATAATTATTTTATATTTTTATCTGATAGAGAATTTTCCAATCTTTCATAATCAGCAATTCGTTGGTTGCTATCTCTTTTAGTTTAAGAGATATGAATTTTTGAAAATCGTCGAAAAAAAGTATCAAGCACCCCCCCTTGGCAATTTTTTCTTAAGAATTAAAATTTCATCTCTCAGATTTCCGTTTTAACTATCCTATCTGATAGAGATTGGTCCGTAGATTAAGACGCTGCGATCAGATCTTAATTATCTCTTTTAGTTTACGAGATATTCGCGATTGAATAAAATGGGCAAAAATTGAAAAATGTCACTTTTTAGCACTTTTAGTCGCGTTTTTCGACCTTTTACTGTAGGAAATATAATTATTTTATATTTTTATCTGATAGAGAATTTTCCAATCTTTCATAATCAACAATTCGTTGGTAGCTATCTCTTTTAGTTTAAGAGATATGAATTTTTGAAAATCGTCGAAAAAAAGTATCAAGCACCCCCCCTTGGCAATTTTTTCTTAAGGATTAAAATTTCATCTCTCAGATTTCCGTTTTAACTATCCTATCTGATAGAGATTGGTCCGTAGATTAAGACGCTGCGATCAGATCTTATTTATCTCTTTTAGTTTACGAGATATTCGCGATTGAATAAAATGGGCAAAAATTGCAAAATGTCACTTTTTAGCACTTTTAGTCGCGTTTTTCGACCTTTTACTGTAGGAAATATAATTATTTTATATTTTTATCTGATAGAGAATTTTCCAATCTTTCATAATCAACAATTCGTTGGTAGCTATCTCTTTTAGTTTAAGAGATATGAATTTTTGAAAATCGTCGAAAAAAAGTATCAAGCACCCCCCCTTGGCAATTTTTTCTTAAGACTTAAAATTTCATCTCTCAGATTTCCCTTTTAAC